CAAGAGAAACTTTATGGCAACTCGTATAATAAAGACCCAGAAATAAAAATAATTTTTTTAACAGTCATTTTGCCCAAGATTATTTGAAAGGCTTTGAACCAATGAAAAAATGATTGTTAGCTTAATAAATTATTCATTTGTTTATATGGAAATGAGCCAACTAACCTAGAATATCTTTCCTCTTAAAAGCCTGGTTGGTCAGCTATGTTTCAAAATGTTGTAGTATTCTCAACCCGCGACAGGTATAAAAGAATTAGACTGAAACATGAAAAAGTTGGAGCTATTTACCATGGTGTGTTCTGCCTTGGAGAACTCATTTGTCTATGTGTCTTTTGTTCAGGGCCATTTTGTGCATCAGCAAGTGCACCTTTATAGCTCTTGTATAGTTGTAAAAATGCAAGTGATCCTGTCATCACAAATATTATTGTGCTATATTTGCATTGGCCTGCCATGGGACTATTGAAAAGGAAAACTATCACCGGCAGGACTTAACACTCTTAGTGGAGAGCAACTGTATGGATATTGATGTAAAACATATGCCACTAAGATGGTACTTTCTGTACCATGTAAAATGAGGTAACAAGAAGATCCATCCATACATTCTAAAATCTATAATCCAACTGAGTCTGGTGTGCATTATCACTCTGATATCTAGCATCCACTAACGAAGGGCATCACTGATTTCATACACTTGCAGGCTTCTCTAAAAATATAAATGAGATAAACACCTCAATCACAAAATATATAAAAATTATTTGAAAATAAAACATTTTCAAAGAATGCTAGCTAGAAAAGCCATGAAAGCCATTCTTTTTTCACCTTTAAGAATCCAAAGAACTGACATCTTATCAAAGAGACCCATAGCAAGATTTCAAGATTTGCATGAAGACCTTCTATAATTTTTTTTAATAAGGATAGATTTTAATTCTAATCACTTTGTTATTTCTTTGGTATTGGCTACCCTGCCTTATGGTAAAGCAAATGAAATTGAATGATTGAAGAGCTGGCGGGGGTAACGCATGGGAATGTGAGGTGTTTTCATAATTTTTAAGCTTAATTTAGTCTATCTTTTCATCACTCCATACTAGTTTAAGTGGAATCAAAACTGTATAATAATATATTGGGAATGTATGAAGTATCTAACAGTGTTCAGATTAAGCCATTGTCCTTAAAAATCGGAATCATTAACAAAAAAAAAACCTTCTTTCAGAGTCTCCGCATTTCCTGAGTGATGCCACGTTTCGCAGCATTCTGTATATAAGACTTATCACAAAACCGCCAAAGTTGACCGATTTCCCGGCCTTCAAAATGTTCAAATTCCTGGGTCACTTTGGGTCACTTTAGTAAAAATAAGAAGATAAACCTCTGAATTACTTAAATGTCGGACTTAATTAAAAAATACCCCCCTAGAAAAGAAACTACAAACATGTTTTCGGAACCATTCCTAGGCAGTGAACGATGACAGATCAGGATATCACAATTCAAATACTTAAAAATATACGTTTCAGAAAAAATACTCTAGTAAAGCTTTCTTCTATGAAAAGATAAAAAGACAAAGAATGTATGAATGGTCTTACTTACCTCTAGTTAGGATTCTAACCCGGTAAAAATGTCACACAAAAACAACGTAAAAGCGCGACGTGCGAAGGAAAACTCCGCCATCTTGCAAGAAACACAATCGCAGTGCACTGTGGGAAGACGTTCACTCGTGACTTCAGGGCGGAAAAACGTTCTGCGCAAGCTTCTGCGCATCCCTTATCGCAGGCTCAAGGCGGGCTTTTCTGTGTGTTTTGTTTGTTGCTGGAGTTCTGAGTGAAATGCACGAGGTGCGAACGTTTGCTCCCTGTAAAGCATTTTTATTTGACATGTTTGCTTTTTTTTCGTTGCTTGAAAATTACTTTGGATTCAGAACAACCAATGTTAAAGGAAAAACGGATCATTCCGTCAGACTGAGGTGGAATAAAAGGTTTTGAACATTTCTTACGAGGCGAGTATTTTTCTGATTGTGCATCCGATTAATTTATGAGTTGATTTCGCCGGGTTGAATTAAAACCCGCTTGTATTCTGTTATTAGTAGTTACGGTTGCTTTTTTTACATGCCCAGATTTATTACCTTTGCAGAACCAGCTTTATCTTTGTCTTCAGTCAAAAAACCATATTGCTGTTAGAACGTATCAAAGTGAACAAACTTGTCCGCCTATTAAACTTTCTCGGAAATAAAAGGCCAGCAAGCTTACTCAAGATCATTTTTCTGATGCTCAAGTAATAATAGTCAGAGTTTTTTCATTTTTCATTACAGTCATTACATAGTTTTGTTTTCCAGTGCACTGTGAAAGTTTCTGTTCTCTATAAGAATAACTTTCTGTACGCAAATTGTCCTTTTCACTTGCTGTGAAGTAGAGAACGATAACTGCCGGCAGTGACTTCAAAACAATTGACTCTTTTCCCGTAAACAATTCCTGCAGCTTGATTTGACTGAGGCGAGCAAAACAAACCCTTATGTGCAATCTTCTGTATTTTCTAATGATCGGCTGAGTTTAATTTGCTTAAACGAAGACCCTTGCATGGACCAGTTAAGCGTATTGAAAATAGCTAAATTGTGAATCATGGCTTGGCTGCCAAGTTGCAAGTGATCTTTTGCTTTTAAGATCTTTAGGTAGGTTGTTTTGGCACAGAAAATTCATTTCTTCATTGTCAGCAACAGGTTTTTGAAATAATGTAACTTTAACTTTGTTTGAAGGAAATCCTACTTACGCGTAGGTTTTTGACAGATGCTATGCGTGTTCAACTGGACAACACAAAGCAAAATTTATGTATCTGCGCGAAACGAGCAAGTTTAAAAAACTGTAGTTGCTTTGAAACCGATTTTTGGGAAGATTTTACTAGATAAAGATTGATCTTCTTTCTGCTTACATATCAACGCAATAACTTCTACATTGAGGATTTTCTACTTCTACTTCTACTATATTACTTCGCAAAGCCTGTACAGCATCACGCGAAGGATCCGTATATCAAGGTTGACCACAACACCGGGGTCTACGACCCCTACTCTTTACGAACAGTGTGTGGGTTCTTTAACGTCCCACAGTATTAATATAGGCAAGGATTGTGAGACGGGGCCTACGGTTTTTCGTCCTTATCCGAGAAGACTAGAAAGTCTAACCATTTGCAGATGTCATTACAAAGGCAGCACTTTCTTCTCAGTTATTGTTAAGACCCTGAGTGTTGGTCCGGCCGGGGCTTGAACCCGCGACCTCCCGCTCAACAGACCGGTGCTCTCCCAACTGAGCTAACCAGGCGGCGGTTAGTATTGTTTGTATTTTAGTGATCTGCGAAACTACGAGTGTCCGATCGAGCGAGGGTTTTAAAATATCAGCTCGAGTGCGACAAAGTTCAGTGACTTCAAACACATGGTGGGCAAGCGTTAATTTTTTTGGGCAAATCACTGTCCAAAGATGTGTTGTTTTTGTGTCCACAGTGGAGCTCGGGACCTTATATATCCAGAAACTTCCTTATATGAACACATTTTGTGAATGCATATTTAAAATAATCGGACCTCCGCATGCACATTTCCAGTACAACGCAAGGAAAGTAATGTCGTTAAAGTCCGTTTTACTGTGAGGTATTCTTCGAGACAATTAAGTAACGACAAGGTTATAACCACAGCTTGCAACTTTTGAAGACAAATTGCCTGTTCTTTCCAGGTCATGAGTGGAAACATTTTATTTTTAGGCAAGAAAATATTTGAAATCCCGCCATTTTTTCAAACCCGGCCAGGGGATCTGGGCAAAAAAGTTCACGCATGCTCATTACGTTTTTTCGCAATAATCCGGCAAAAAAGAGAAGAACAGAGGCATCTACCGATCTCTGCGACAACGTTCTACAGCTTGAGCAAGATCTATGTTGCAATCTTGACTCACTGAAGTTTTCTACTCCTGTTACACACGTTTATAACCCTTTAAAATATGCTAAAGAAACACACGAAGACTACATGAGAAAGTTCTGTAAAGTTGGACAAAAAGTGCTTTTCTTGGGATTATGAATCCAGGTCCTTTTGGGATGGCGCAGAACGGGGTAAGCAAAAAAATAGCCACATGTTCATTACGTCACTTCTTATCTGTCAAAACTTGACCTGTGGGTTTGCGCCCCTCTGACATTTGGACGTTTGTACTGTGGTGGAGGGAGGGAAAGGTTGCAGTAAAAATATAATAGGGGCAAGGGACTTAAGGGGAGGAATTATACCTTAGGGCGAGTGAAAACGTTTGCCAGAATTAAGTCAATCATCTTTATCTTAATATAGAATGACACTAATTAAGGAGTTAGTGTCTGAAGATCACCATCCCGCACAAAGCCCCCCTCCCCACCCCCACTAATCCTGAACCTTCTGACTCTAGAAAGGGTTTCATACTATCCTGTTCTAGGCTCTGAGATAGTTGGGTCTGCAAAGTTGAGAAAGCATGAACACAAAAATAAAGCGGGAGGAACTGGGGAGAGGGAGCTCTCCCTTTTTCCCGCCACCACCCCCTTTTTCCAGATTACATGCTCTTGTTTTCGTGTGCCTTTCACTTATGCATCATCCATACTATCTGAGAGCCTGAAACAGACTGATTTTGTATGAAATAGAAAGCAGACACAAGAATACCATAATGTAGTACTGTTATGAGATTATTAATGAAAACAAATTGGAGTAAATTCTTACAATAATGTTATTTGCAACTTCATTCATGGAGCTAGGCCATCATCAAAACCTGGATCAGATCAAACCCTGTAAACCCTTGAATGGTACACCCATAAAAAATAACAGAATACCTGAAACAGGTCCCTGAGCATCTTAAACGGTAAAGGCTTTTTTACTGTTTTTTTTAAAGGACTGAAAAACCATTGAAGTCACTAAATGACAAAAGGCTGGGGATAGGATTACATGTGTTGATTATATCCACAATCTTGGACAAAATAAATGGAAAACCTAGACCCCCCCTCTCCCCCAAATCAAGGATGGGAAAATGGCGCGTTTTTGCCCTTCGCGCGCCTTCATCCTTGATTTGGGGGGGATGGGGGTTTGCTGTTCCATTTTATTTTGTCCAAGATTGTCTGAAAGCCTCGACTGGCGTGACTCACAGCGTCATGATAGCAATCATGACAAGAAATCTGTGTTCAAACACTTCAAAGCTAAATGCTTTCAAAGCAAACCTGGTCATTTGTCAGTGAACTCATACAAAACAGAAGAATTGCGCTTATTTCATTTATATAAAATAAATAAATAATCCACTTATCATAAGTCTCTATGAAGTGCGGGATGCATTACTCACTAGGAGAGAGTTCTGCTGCGTGGAAGACGAAAAAAAGACATACTTATGCCTGATTCATTGCAATAATTTTAATAAGCTTGAAGGCAGAACCCCACAAAACATATATAGAAATTGCATCGGCTGGTAATTGCAGGAATAATTATAGTAAGAAAAAAAAATTAATTTGGCTACAAACGAGAATCGAACCTGCCCAAAAAACCTCAGGTAGGCTACTCCTACTCGCCAATGTTGCATGCTAGACCTCTTAGGCAATCCATGGAGAGGCTGTTGCCTTGGCGCTATTTTTAAGAACTGTATCGGTGCCTTTATAGATCATTGTTAGCGATATTTTATCTTTATAGATTGGTTTTTTTCATTCTAGGAAATCGAACACGATTAATGTTGACAAACATAAGGATTAGCACGATTTACAACAGATTACCGACGGTTTTTATCAGTTTTTCACGATTTTGTCGTGGTACAGTAAAGTAAGAGACAGTGAGTCACTTTTATTTCAATTGGCTGTTAATCGTGATTAACCGTTGAAAACCGCTGCAAACCATCTTAAATCACACAAAAACCTTTTGTAAACCGTCAGTGAAACGTCGACCGTGTCATTTTAACAAAGTTCGAGTGCGCTACACACAGTTTAAAAGTTTTAATTAGCAAAGTTTTAGCCTTTCATTGTTGTTGGTATTTCAGCGAGGTATAAAAAGTCCACAGTCTAGTGACTCCTGCGAAATAACATTAATGGTCCTTTTTACCCTGTTACAGAACTCTTTATATGATTTGCGAGTAATGCCATGTTCAAGAGCGCCTTTTTCTAACGTCCCAGACACGATGTGCAAAAATGTTCTCTTAGGGTATAGTAAGTATGGATGTCCTCGGTGACACTTGTGACTGCGGGTCACAAACCAGTGTTTCCAACCAATAAATGTGTTGAAAGATGACTCTCTAATTAACAGTGACCACTATTTCGTGACTTAGACACCTTCAAGACAATCTTGGACAAAATAAATGGAAAACCTAGACCCCCCCTCCCCCCCAAATCAAGGATGGGAAAATGGCACGTTTTTGCCCTTCGTGCGCCTTCATCCTTGATTTGGGGGGGATGGGGGTTTGCTGTTCCATTTTATTTTGTCCAAGATTGCAGGTTTGGTTGACACCAATTCATGTTTCTGTTAAAATAATTATAACATTATAGTCAACTAATGATAAAATGAACACCAGCCATCAGTGGTAAATCCAAACCTTGAGGACAGAGAGAGAGAGGCACCGGTCTGGCCAAAATAAAGTATTTCAAACGAACTTTTTGATGTTTACCAGTGAGTGAACTCCAGTTTTCTTTATACAGGTCCCTTTTGGAGACACAAAACATGTCAAAGAGTGGCCCCAAATTGTAGGACAGGTGAATAAACCAGAGAAAGAACACCCCAAGAGACCAATCCACGGCTTAGACTGTGAACGAGGTGAAGTCAGTGGAAGCCGCCTATGGGGCTTTATCAAGGAACAGAGTAAATCTCCAGATAAATTTTTCCATAGTTGCTTTATTCATAATTATTGCCCTCTGGTTTTTATGTCATCAAGTGGAAAAAACATTACCCCGCCTCAACTACCAAAGCAAGAAAGACAGCAACTCTTGGAAATTTGTGACAATTCCCTGGCAGAGTTTGTTAAACTTTCTGGGGTAAAGATAGTTGTTGGGGTAGGAAAGTTTGCAGAGGAAAGAGCTCACAAAGCTTTAAAAGACTTCAACGTTGAAATTTATTCAATAATGCATCCCAGTCCTGCTAGCCCAGCTGCTAATGCTTGCTGGAGTGACATTGCTTTGAAGCAGTTAACAGACGTGGGGTTAACCGGTTACATAAGAAATGAAAAGTTATAATAAAGGGCCATGAGTATTTTGCCAATTGTTAAATCAGTCAGCTGCCTTAGATTGGATTGATGATAGTGCATAACTTGCCAACATGAGTTTTACTGTTGGTGAGATGTGGAAAAAAAACAGACTAGTTTTTCAAACAGTGGTAATTTGTTGAAAGTACAATACACAGGTCTAGTGGGATTTGGCAGTCAGCTTGCAATGAAGTCTGTAAAGCACTCACAGTATGGATTCATCATCATCTTTGGCCTTCTGAGCAGGCAACTATACAGTATGGATTGTATGAAAGTTTATGAGACTCACACCAAGGTTCTAGCCAGGAAAATAAGTGACGTCTCAATCCAGCAGTTAAAAAAAAAAACAGAAAGAAAAACAAAAAGAGAAAGAAATTCTTTCAAAGACTTGGCATCCATAAGAGGACCATTATGGGCCAACCTGGGTACCCACACATTGTAGCATGAGACGTGTGGCAAGAGAGCAAGCAGATATCATTTCAGCTTGTCACACAATCCTTCATTGGGGAGGATTGTGTGACAAGCCAAAAGAGCCTATGCTTGGGAGGCTTGAGATGGAAACAGCACCTCCCTGCCTCACTTTGACAATGTGGTTATCTACTTTATCACTACAGTCTGACAGGATGGATTACCTTCCAGGGTGGGGGGTACTTTAGGAATTTCTGAGTGGGGATGTGCCGCTGGGACCCTGGAACCCTTAACCTATACCAGAGCTAGTTCAGCTAAATTTTGCTACCCTATACTAGAGTAACCTCCCCAAATTCCCCCTATCTTAGAGTAGCTCTTTACCTGCTCTAGATAAAATCTTCAACCAACTGATCAGTTTCGTGAAAAAGGATACCCTATTCTAGATCCAAATGTTCTGATTTATATACCCTATCCTAGAGTAAACTGCTTAAAAACCATACCCTTCACAGTGGCACATTCCTATATAGCCCATATATAGCAGTACCCCCCCTTACCTTACGTCATTGCAGTGGAAAATAAAGCACAGCTACCGTACTTCACATTATAAGAACTTTATTTTCTCATTAACTATTACATATTTTGTTTGATGTCTGGAATGAAATGCTGAATTTATATTTTGTAAAAAAAAAGAATTAAATAAGTGACGAAATGATTGAGAGAAAAATGAAAACTATAAAAATGAGTTATGAGGCTGCAAGTAAAAACTTGTTAAAACTAAACAACATTTTGATTATTATTATTATAACATTATTTTTATTATGCTATGCAATGTTTGTGTCCTACTCGTAAAGGATATAAATCTAAGTTATATATTATATAAAATCTACGCATTTTGTTGATTTGGAGGTGTACCAAGTGATCTATTACTGTTAGAGGCCTTTAGATTTGAGGACGAGAATAACTACCACAATGAGATTTGATTTAAAGTTTTCTTGTGAATTGTCAAAATACAAACACTCCAGAATGCTCTATAGTGCTTTTTACCAGAAAAATTAGCACTGTTACCTTTATCAGAACAGGTTACGCCTTCTCCGAATCACAAAATGATAAAACTTCTAACATTCTTACAACTATGATATTCTCGCTAAAACTCATGGTAGAGTGACGATGGCTACCACATTTTCTTGCCAAAATGATGCTGGCTCATGCACGAACACTACTTAGTATTAAGAAAATCTTGTACTCCTACTCAACCTCATCTTAGAATCTAAAGCTCTCTATATCAATCAATAATAATATCTTCTGGTGTGTAAAGTAATATTATTACTTAATATTATTACTTAATATTATTCTGGTGTGTAAAGTAATATTATTACTTTACACACCAGAAGAGGCACTCAAGTAAAATCCAAAATATCCGAGAGTTTGAGAGATGAGATGTGTCAGTTTTGGAGTCACTTCAAGATTTCTCAAAAAATTAATAATAATAGCAAGTTCACTTCTTTAAATTAATAAATTTCGACTTCTCTGTAAATTTAAAGAATATTGACGCTTAACAATTCTCACATTAATTTTGAGATGCCAGGATGTTTAAGACCAAAGTAGTGAACATTGACAATAATATTTTTTTAGTCTTCCTTACAGTAATATAACTTTGCTTCCAAGAATAATTGCAAAACAACCGCAGTGTACAAGGAAAGTCGTGTCCAATAGCCCGAGGCTAGTCGATTTTGCTATTGGGCTAGTGATTTTTGTTCTTAACTTGCCCTATGGGCAAGTGCTTTTATTTTTTGGGAAATTCAAATTACAGAAGGACTAATCAATCCTGCCAATCAAAAAGGGTTTTGGGGCCAGTTGAAATGACTTGTGGGCTAGTACATGCTAGCAACAGCTTGCCTGAATGGCAGGCTGTGAAACTGACTTTCTTTGCACCCTGAACTGTACAGGAGACTGAATCTGTAGCATAGAAAACTATGACAAAGGTGAATTAGCACTGAGCTTGTAAATAATGTACTTCATGAGTGTATTCTACAATACTAGAGCGATCAACCATCATATTCTTGGCAAACAGCCGATCTTTATTTCTTGTTCATTTATTTCCAACAGCTCACATTTATTTTGCTGTCTTCTTTTTCACTAAGAAGTTTTGTTTTCTTAGTGATAATTTATCCATCTGGGTGCAAGTGAAACTGATATGCAAACTAAAATGAAAATGAACAGCAAAGCCGAAAAAACGAAAGTGGATGTTTGCCATAAGATGATGATGTTTAACCTCTCTACTGTCTTATTATCAGTAAATTATTCAACTTGTCAGACACTGTACATAATCAACAACTCAGATGTTGCGACAAGTGTTAGGAGACTTGTGGAAAATAACGTTTTTCCTTATATTACTAATCTTTTTACTAGTGAGAGGGACTCGTAATAATATTATATATGGCACAAATGTCTGTCAATTTTCCACAACATATTAATATTAGATTGTGTTTTATATCACTGAACTTTTCTTTTTTTAACTTTGTACAACCAAATAGATTTTCATGTGAACTGGCCATTAGATTCCATTGATATTTTGTGCCTTTAATCTTGGCTCTCTTAAAAATGTAATTTTTGAGTCCAATTCTGCATATAAAAAGTCATTATTTATAGTCTATATTATCATAATTTCACTTATCATTTTCATACATTAAACAACTACCTAACTTTATCTATTGATACATTTTTAATAACAACAAGGTTCCCAAGGAGATGACTTAACAAGGAGAATACTACATGTTTCAACATCTTACTTCTTTTTTGCCAAAGAATGATCGGTGTATTAGAAACAAAGAGAAGTTGCATTTTAACACTGCAAATAACACACTAAAAGAGTGAATTAACCCATTCGCCCCTGAACCACCCAAGTGGATCCACATCCCTTCATCCACTTGGGATGTCATCTGCCTTAATTCTCAAGGACAACTTTGTCATCTAACTTGAGCAGGGTGAAGAGATCTTTCAGACCATACCAGAATAAGCACAATTCAGTCAAGGGGGCCAGAGAAAGAGGCAAAAACCATGTAATATTGACCCAAAAATTTCCTTAAAAATCTTGTACTAACTCGAAAATATGAGTTCTCTGCATGCCCAAACCTTGAAAGCTCATATTTTGTGTCTGGATCAGAAGACAGCAACCAATAAACAGCTTTGTGGTGAGTTTTAGCTCTTTATAGCCAAACAGTGACCAGGCAATGGCTTGAATAGCTTCAAAACGCATTTTTCGAAAAATTCCCAGAAGTGAATGGGTTAAAGAAATTGTTATTACATGACTGGCTAAACAGTCAGGCAATATGAAGCAAGCAAGCCATGTGCTCTGATTACCTACCCTGGCAAGCAAAATGGGCCTTGGCTATCTTACCAGCTTGGAACTTTGTTACCCCAAGTTCTGTTCAGTAGCCTCTTAGCTATAATACACCAAAGTCTTTAATGACCAAGCTTGTTCAGATCAGGCATACTGACCTCATGATTGGCCCATGATTATCATTATACCTTGACCAGTGCTATTATTTATGCATTATTTATGTCATGAGTCCTCGACACACTTAATAGCTCGCACCTCCACAGATACTGGCTCATCCACCATGAGCTTCACTCCAAACCATTTACTTTGAACCTAAATACAAAAACAATTTTTTATTCTAAATACTGAAAATGGTTGCTCACTTATCACAGTCAACATTAAGCATCAACTGGAAAGTCAATAGTTACTTCATATAAGAAGGAGGTGGGAGGGGGGGTGGGGTGTGGGGCGACTCCCTCCTGGATGGAGTCTACCAGAGGTTTTCTCCCCTTACACTTTCTGCAATTTGATTGACTTAGAGCAGTGGTATTTCAGCTTAATTTGAAATACCTACATGTGAAAATTACAAAACTTTTGTGGGCAGTAGTGTAAACAAATAATAGCGTGATTTGTATGTGATACTTGGCATAAATACCACTCGTGATATTTCAAAATTGTCTCAATTTCACTCACCTAACAGCTTGTGAAATTACGTATAACAATTTCGAAATATCACTCGTGGTATTTACGCCAAATATCACTAAAAATCATGCTGTTACCTACACAGAATGCATGTATGTTAATAGGCCATTTCTGAGTTTCAAAACAAGGCCAAGTACAAAACCTTTATTGTGAAAATAAGTTTTATTTGCATGAGAAAAAAATCATTTCCATATCAATGGCTTCGCACTTAGCCACGCTTTGAAACAGAGGCTTGAGGCAACTCGGAAATGGCCTATTGACCTCACTTTGAGACCGTAGGTTTCAAGAAACACTTCTCTTGCCATAACCCACAATCATGCAAAACTTCTAGTGCTGCTTATAAGTAAACTAAAATGGAGATAGAGTCTGATCAAAGGCTACTCTCTCCTGGAAAAATTTTGGATTTAGGTTGCTGGGAAACCGCCCACCTACCCCTCCCCTAAGCTAACATTAACACTTACTTCTCGCTTAGGGCAAAATGATGGCTTAGGGGAGGGGAAGGTGGGCAGTTTCCCAGAAACATAAATTGATCCAAAATTTTATCTACTATAATAATAATATTATTGGAATTCCTTACACATACCTTTTCAAAATGTTCTGATCTTAGTGCCGAATATTCGATCAATATTTCCCGTAATTCCACTTCTTTCCTCCAGTCAAAGTGGGCTAGCTCTGGAGACAGGTCTTTACACAGATGCTCCAGCTTGGTTTTGGCATCGGCACAGTTAGAATTTGCCTTCAATAACAAGAGAACACTTGACTAAACATCAGTGTCATTGTTACAAAACTACAGAGTACTCAGAAAGGTTTTAATAACCCTATAAGTCCCAAATATGACCAACATCAATTTCTCCTAATAACATCACTATATTATAAAGAGAGATGATTATGAGAGTCAATGAAATGACTGCCAACTAATTCTTTAGGGAAATATAATGAGATCAGCCTGGTAAATTTATACATGGATATTGGGGCTTAAAGGGTTATGTGTTCCTTTATCAGGTAATGTATAAAATAGTGTCCCACATGTTAGGTGTGAAGTAGACTCACATTATCAGTAGGAAAGTGAAAAAAAATAAATTTTCCAGCTTGCCCTTCAAGGCAAGTTGTGACTTCATGTTGGATGTTCTAGCCCAAAAACATTTTCCACGCACCTTATAATAATCAATGGACAGAAAAAAAATACAGTCAAACTCCTATTAAGCGGCCACCCTCTGGGAAATGGAAAGTGGCGGCTTAATAGGGGGTTGGCTGCTTAATAAGGGTTCATCAGGAATTAGTCTGCTTAAAGACTTTTAACATCTGTTGCACATTAAAGAATGTTTAAAAATCTCACAAAACCAATTATAAGAGAATCCTGCGACAAGGTCTCAACATGAACCAGGTAAAGTTATGCAAAATCAACTCTAGCCCCAGACAACAGTAAGTATAGGACATGCTATCTTTGAATGCTGAATAGACATGAGATTTGCTCACCTCTGCCCATTTCTGTGTTTGATTGCCAGTATCGGATTCACCTTCTGACAAAGGCTTCTGCGTCGAAAAGTAATATTTTATTATTGAATTAAACAAAAAAGTATTATATAGACCTTTGTCACGTAGCAGCCAATTTGTCCCAAGAGATTAAAAAAAACTATGTTTATGCACGGCTAGCCTCATAGAGAGAAAGAGGCTAGCCATGCATAAACAAAGCTTTTTAAATCTCCTGAGACAAAGTGGCCACTGGTGAGAAAGGCCTATTGTCCTGCAAAACATGTTAAGAGAAAGTCTCATTATAGTAATACAGTCAAATCTATCTTAACAGACACCTCTATCAGACATACACGTCGGTAAAACAGACACCTTCAGTTGGTCCCTGCCTTTCATTACTCCAAGCCTTTTTTTGACTCTCTATAACACAGACATCTCTCTAGGTCGGACACATAAAGGCAGCTTAGAAAGAGTTTACTGTAAAATCAAGTCCATGTTCAAACATCCCTTGGCCCCAGTTGTTCAAAAGCTGGATGGTGCTATCCACCGGATAAATCACTATCAAGTGGATGAGTATTGGGGGAAACAATTGTACTATCCACTGGATAGAGATTTATCCGCTGGATAACGCTATTCACCTTTTGAACAACTGGGGCCTGGAGTGTTTGTTGAGTTGACCTGCGAAAGGCATTGTTTAATATGTTCCTACTATCACAGCAAGTAAGTCTTCAAAATTTTATTTTCCATCATGTTACTGGAAGATTCCCTGATTGGTAGTATATTTTCAGCAGGTAGTGGGCAACAGGAACAAATTGCTGATGCAAAACAGATCAAGCTTATGATGCAAGATGAGGCAAGCTATTCACTCCCAGCCAAACAAGCAACTACAATGATAAAGATTATGGACATGCCTTACATGGAGTCATTATGGTGGACAATTTGGTTAACTGATAATTGCGTTCCATTAACAAAAATTCACTTGGTATACCTAAGAAAGATGCTTTTACATGATATCATCACCTACCTTCGTTTGCTCATTAGCCCTGACTTCTTCATCCCAGTACAGGAACTTTTCTACTGCCGCTTGTATCCTTTGAAGAAGTGCCTATTTTAATCAAAAGATATTTTAGTAATCAAGTTAAGTTAAATTATATAAATTTATATCAAATTCAAGAAAACTTAACTCATAGAAATTTCATTATGTTAACTTCACTTAGTGAATTCACTTCTTGTTAATTACTCGTGCAGGAATGCAGAGATGAATCTGAAATCCATGTTTACCAGATAAATGGATTTAACTTTCAAATAAAATTTCCTGGGACTCATCTTGTGAAAAATCATGAGTCTCAGTCCAGAACCACTGAGTGCCAGTAAAAAAAAAAAAAGAGTTCGAAATTGAAAATATTTGGGACTTTATGTAACCAGACAGTTTATCTGAAGACAGACTGCAAACCTCTATATTACAAGGGGCTAAAATATGCATCGTTAAACCACAGCCATAATAAAAGCCACAGAAAGTATACAAATGGGATATCATGTTTAGATCGATTGATCAATCTTCGGGTCCTTCGGGATGCATGCTATGAATTACTTTGCATCATTGGGGATTTTTATGTGTCACGGACCCAGGAAACAGAGGTAACAAAATCACTGGTTGACAACAAAGCCAGTAAACAGTAAGTGACTGTAAATGAAACCAGAAGTGTGTATAAATGAATAAAACCACAAACCATGGCACTTTTAACATAGTGATTAACACTCTGCAAATCATTCACAATGAGTTTTTCTTCTGTTGTTTCCTACAAAATTTAAATTAGAGAAAAGTTAGGAAGCAAGAAGAGGATAATTAATTTATTGAAGCATCGGTAGCAAGAAACAAGAAATCCCCAGAAAGTGCAGATCCACCTCTGAACATATTTAAATAAAACATATCTTGCAATGCTACATACACGATTATTTTCCAACTCAATGCAGATTTTGCTAAGAGCTTCTGCAGCTATCTGTGGGAAAATCAAAACAAGAACAACAAATTAATTAACAAATTTTGCTTGCAGCCCAAGGATGATAACTGACGTTGAATTTCCTTGTCAGCCCAAATTGCAATAAAATTTCTATTTCCTCGTAGAGCCATGTACTAGAAATAGGTTCTTTAATATTGACTCTTCACCTCTCTACTGTGTACTGTTCTTCCTCTACTCTGCCCTGTCAACCATTATGTTTAACTCGTTTCATCTGACTGAGATTGAAACTACCTAATTTCAATGATGCTTAGACCAAACAAGTATCAGTCACACTTCACCCAGTGCACTGCCTGGTGTGAATGGTTTTCGCGGTGAAACATGTTTCTTTCAGACCAGACTACGCACGTTCCATTGATAAGCAATGTGAATATCACTAACCGACTTTTAATAGATTGCTCAAGATTAATTTTTTAGACTGGGGTAAATTGAGTAAAACTTTTACCAGTTTAAGCTAGTTTTTAAGTGTAGCTATTGTTTAAAGACTCATAGCTACACTGGCAAATTAAATGTACCCTAACAAACATTTTATTAAATTGATGCCTGCATTTAAATTAAGTTGTTATATGCAGCATATGTGGGAAAATAAATTAAAATATAGATAAAATGTACCTTTAAGTATGTATCTGCTGGCTCACAGTCTGCCAAAGATTTAAACCAAACACCAGGACCATCTAAAAACAGTCAGAAAACATTAAATCCATGAAACAACACAGGACAATGACAATGACTGCTCATTTAATTATTGTTAATACCTGTTGTGTTCTTGTTTAAACTGTCCTGAAGATGAGTTATTAATCCCTCAAGGTTATCAGAAAACTGCCCCAAGTATCTCTATAATTTAGGAAATGAGAACATCAAAATGATATTTGTTAACCATGAGAAGTATAGGTTTTATTATTTAAACCACTCAGGTTGTGTCCATAAACCTAGTGACGTGTTACAATCACAAGGCTGTGCTCTAAGGAAAATTCAAGGGAGCCAAGTGCTCTGAACCTGTAAAATCTAGGGTGCCCAGCTTATGATTAGTATGAAAAAACTAAGATTTTCTAGTCACCCGAGAGAGGTGACAGGGGCCAGAGCACAGTCCTGACAAATATCCCAAACTTGTGAGCCACCCCCACCACTCCCCCCCAAAATAATAATAATAAAATAAAACAAGTACAGCACAAAACAACAACAAAAGAAAGGAGAATGGTGACAAAAATGATTAAAAATAAAATTACTAGAAAATAATATTGACAATGACAATTCAGAGCTTAGACAGACAGACAGGAGCAGCTTTTGAACTTTATAACAGTAATGGTGTTTATGGTGATGGTGATGATGATGATAATGGTGATGATGATAATGATAATGATGATGATGATGATGATGATGATGATGATGATGATGATGATGATGATGATGATAACGATGATGATGATGATGATGATGATAGTGGTGATGATGATGATGATAATGATGATGATGATGATGATGATGATGATGATGATGATGATGATGATGATGATGATGATGATGATGATGATAGTGGTGATGATGATGATGATGATGATGATGATGATGATGATGATGATGATGATGATAATGGTGATGATGATGATGATGATGATGATGATGATGATGATGATGATGATGATGATAACCACCATAAAAGTGATCAGCATCAAATTTCTCCTTGTCATGCCGATGCTTTATCAGAGTGGTCTTGAGAATTACGGACACTGATCACACAAGATGAATTTACTTTTCCCACTATTTCTACAGGAAACCAATAAGGAGGACAAATGAGAATTTAAATGTTGATCTTGTGATTTAAAGGGATAACAGTAGGCAGACTACTGACCTGACACTTTATTACGGGAGCATTTTGATCATAGGATTCTTTCCTTAAAAATTCATGTTCTGAAGTATCCTCTTTTCTTCTTTTCTTTTCAAGTTCCTCCCTAGCTTTCTGAATGTCCTAAAAAATTAATATCAAAACAAATGGTCGTTATTAAGAGGACCTGCATTGAGCGGTCACCCTCGATTAAGTGGTCACTTTCTTAAGTCCCAAAAATCATTTCCATCTATTTATCACCGTAAATCTGCCCTGTATTATTTTGGAGGTCATCTCTATTAAGCGGTCACCTTTTCTGTGGTCCCAACTTTATTGTTTTCACCTCTATTGAACGGTCACTTTGTCAAGACACAAGTGCAATAGATACGCTGAGTATGGCATTCAGTGGTATTTTACTCCCTTTCTTTTGGCACAAGAAGAGGTAGAAGTATTAAATGTGTCTTGGCAAGATAAATTGATCAACAAGGAACTATATGGTAATTTATCACCAGTGTCATCAAAAGTGGGTTTCAGAAGGTTGAAGCTAGCTGGCCATTGTGCTAGACACCCAGAGGAGGAAGTGTCTTAACTAGTACTTTGGCAGCCAATGTGTGGGTACATGAGCATGGGCAGACCAGCTGTTACTTATATAGATAACCTTAGTAGGGATACCAGCTTGAACAGCACGGAAGCGCTGAGAACAGCTATGTTGGATAAGGAGACCTGAAAGAGGTGTGATGAATCGAGGCAGGCTCTTACTCAGCCATAGTAATAGAAGTACAAGGTAGAAACACTTCCAGGTCAACTTTTCGTGTTACGCTTTGTCACCATCATTATCAATATTGTCTTGATCAACTCTTTGGTTTGTCAAACCTGTATTAAGCAGTCAGTCGGCCATTCTTAAAGGGTGACCGCTACATGCTGGTTTGACTGCAGACTGTGAGCAGCTGGCAATTTAAAATGAACCACATGATTATGAATTTACCTGTCCTTCACCAGTTAAAAACAAGTTCAAAAGACGGTGCTTCCTTAAAACCTAAAATGGAGAACATATTTGTTATAATGTTAGCATGCAAAAAATGATTATGTCTCCACTTGTGGAACTAAGAAAGTGTTACAGTGGAACATTGATATAATGAAGGGCCAAGGGACTGGCAAATATCAAACTTCCTTTTCTATTACTGGGGTAAAGAAAATCATTTGTTATACCGAGGACTTCGTTAAATAATTTATTATAGAGGTTTGTTATATCGAGGTTCCACTGTATTTTGACATGCTGTTAATTCATGTTTTTTTTTTTAATTTTTTCTTTATGAATTTTAAACAACAAAGTCAAAAAGATATTTTTCTTGTAGACAGACAGTCAAATCAAAGTGATTAAAAGTATGAGTGTCAATTCCATCTCAAGTCTCAAGACTCTTTTTACCTTGTGAGCACATATTCTTGATAAAAACCTTTGAACTTCTCTCATTTTGCCTAAAAGTAATAAAATAAACATTGTAACTACAGTAAAAACCTCCCGTAAGCGACCACCCAGAATACGAAGATTTCGTGGTCGCTTACCTTTCAGCAGGTGGTCGCTTTATATGAGAATTGACAAAACAGAGGGCCTCTTCCAAGAATAGGCCCCGACACATCTACTATAGTCATTAAGTTTCTTGAGTTTCAAGCTGCTACTGAAATTTCTTTGTATACTCTAAGCGCCATGTTACATACATATCCAGTGAACATTGTGCCAAGTAGTAGCTTACAGGAGGTTAAAAACAATGGAAAACTATAAAACCATCAAGCTAAAAATGGCCACGGTCACTTGTAAGAGGTAGTCATTACGATAGGTTTGAACTGAAGGGCTTTGACCGGGAAAATAATGGAACAATGCCACATACCATGCAACGAAGAGTGTATCACCATTGGAGGAATAATTCTTTCAGGACAAGACTCTTCAAAGGCAGATTGAAGCCACTCAAAATCAGCCTCACTACGATGAACCTCATAATCCGAAAATTTATAGTCCGCTAAGGTAGTCTACAGACAAAACATCACAGTGCAAATTAATGCTAATTAATAACATTAGCATGCATAATTCTCCATACTATCCTCCAATATATTTCTTGGTTTTACTTCCTTCTCCTGTACATGAGAGATGTTGGAAAAGATGGGGGATCAGTGGACTTCAAGAAGCTGAATCCATGGACACAAAATCTGAGATCTGCGTTATGAATATGTAACTATCTTACAATCCCATTGTGCAAGGGGATTATCTTATCTAGTTGAGGCAGTAGACAAACATAATGGTGAGAAAATGCCAGAATTTAAAAGCATAAAAGACCATGCTTATGACGACTGGCAAACAAAGGAATATTGCAAAATAGAAATATAAGTAAAAGGTGAAATCTTGGAATGGGTTCCCAAATATGTTTATCTGGGATCAACAATATCTGGAGATGGAGATGAGTCGGAGGAAATAAAGAAAAGGCTTGCTATAGCAACAAACAAGCTGTCGAAGTTGAAATTCTTGTGGAATGGTCAGGATCCTCAAGCAAGACTAAGAATTCACAGAACATGTGTTTTCCCCTCAGCTACATACCGTATATGGCTGTGAGACGTGGACACTTGGAAAAACAACTTTACAAAGAATTAATGCTTTTGAAATGAAGTGCTACAGAAAATTTTTTAAAATATTATGGCTGGAGAACAGAACAAACAAGAGTGCTTTTTAAAAGGCATTAAGTCGAGCTTGTTGCTTGGAGATTAGATAATAAATTAGGACGCATTTAATTCCACAAGAAGCAGGATTTCCTTGCTGAGCTGAAGTATTTTGGCCATTTGAAAAGCAGTAAGGGCTTGGGAAAGATCATGTTGGAGGAGAAGATAGATGGGAAAAGAGAAAGAGGAAGACTGAGAAGGCAGTGGGAAAGGGGATGTTTTTGACATGTCCATGATTGGCAATAATGATGGCTTCATTTTACTACTAGGACTAGAATCCTTATGTTATCTTTGTTCCTTTCATATTTAAATCTGGTTATCCCAGTAAGGCTTATATAACAAAAGCTCTAATTTGTAAAAGACAGCAAACCTTTGAAGGATTAAGGTCATAGTAGTAAAAGGACATCATCGTGCAAATAGCTTATTGACAGACAGTTTCCATTGTGGATAATTTCAAGGATGCAACGTCCTATGGGGACAAGCATTTAAACTCACTCCTTTACATGCAACTGTAGTTTTATAGAAGTTTCTTACCTTTGTTACAACTTTAAAGGTTGCATTTTGCTCATCAGTTTCAGAGCTTGTTACTGTAACTCGTAGTAAGTCTGATGAAGGTGTTGTTGGACTGGAAGGAACAATGACCAAAAATATAAGATTAACTAAAGGAAAGGAGTAATAAAAAGTTCAAATGCTCTACCACTGAGCTACAGGATACCCAAGGGAGCTAACTAAGGCCATTAAGCCAGGTTCATGTGACAAAGATCTGGCATACAAAGCTCCTTAAATACCCCATGGCTGGTGGAACAAAAAAGCAGCTGAGAGGAATGCATAACCATGACAACCCTGGGAGTGGCATCGAACCAGACACCGTCACACTGCTAACCGGTGACACCTTAGAATACTCACCGATATTTATCAAAGTGAAGGGTTGGGTACAGAGCAGAACACTTAATGAGCATGAGCAACGTAAAGTGACAGTGTGGGGAGCAAGGGTGGTGCATTTGTGGTGGGCTTGCCGCCCACCAATGTGACCTGGGCTCAAATCACAGCATCGAAGCCATATGTGGGTTGAGTTTGTTGTTGGTTCCCTTCCTTGCTCCGAGAGGTTTTTCTCTGGGTACTCCGGTTTTTCCCTCTCCTCAAAAGCCAATTGTTTCAAATTCCAATTCAATCTGGAAGATATGGATACCTTTAAACGAGTTCATAAAAACTCCTAAGTGCTACGTGGGTAAGCAAATTACAATTTACAAATGAATGTTATAGGGTGACCTCAACTGAGAATCTGTAAATTCTCAAATGCCCCAGCAAAGCCATGCAAGCATCACTATAAATCTCAGACGAAGGACTGGTCAGCAATGTCTTGAGTTTAATAATAATAATAATAATAATAATTTTATTTATATAGCGCTAAAATCCAATAATTGTCCAAAGCACTACCTAATTACAAAATAGAATATAAAAAATCTAAATTATAAAATATCTACAATATACAATATAATTCAAATATAGCCTAAGTTATCTACTATATAAATCAAAAACATCTTAAAACAAAAGGAATCTCATAACCTATATGCTAACTTAAATAAAAAAGTTTTAAGGGATTGCTTAAAAGTTGCCACTGAAGCACATTTCCTAATCTCTAGAGGTAAATCATTCCACAATTTAGGTCCTGCAATAGAGAAAGCTCTGTCTCCATACGTTTTCAATCTGCTTCTTGGAACCACTAAATATTCTTTACATGAAGAACGCAATGACCTAGAGTATGTTTTAAAATTCAAAAGGTCCGAAATAAAAGAAGGTGCAAGGCCATGAAGGGCCTTGTATACCGATAAAAGGACTTTAAAAGTTATTCTAAACTCAACTGGTAACCAATGAAGATTAATTAAAATAGGAGTTATATGAACATGCTTCGGTGTCAGTGTGACAACACGAGCTGCAGCATTCTGAACTGCCTGTAGTCTAGCTAACAGATACGTAGGAAGGCCATGTAATAAGGAAGTTTTACAGTGATCAAGTTTCGAACTAATAAATGCATGGAGTAAGATTTTACATGTATCTTGGCTTAAGTACTTGCGGATTTTAGCAATATTTCTCAAATGATAGAACGATGATTTACAAATGTTCTTAATGTGCTCCTCAAAACTAAATATGCTATCAAACTGAACCCCTAAATTACGAACAGAGTCACGAGGTGCAATGCACTCAGAACCAACAGTAATGTGACCGATGTCAGGCATAGGATGGAATCTGGAACTGATGACTACAAACTTACACTAAATTTCATTTAGTCACATTTAAACAAAGTGGGATATTAATTTTTAACTCACGTGGTAGGAGTTTTCCCTGAGTCCTTAGGAGAACACACCTTGGAATGTGAAGCCAGGTCAGCTACTCTGTAGCAAACAAGGAGACCAATAATATTACAAAATGAAAATAATATTGAAATAATGAAAAAGATGAAATATATGCTATTCATATATCAATGTTGTAGTTCAAATTAAGGCTATAAAATGATTTCAACCTAGTTTCAAATTATTCATGATTATCAACATCATCGTTACCCTTTCTTGTCTCCCTACTCTTAGTAAATAATTCACAATCGTAGAAGACAAGGACAAGGGAAACAGTTACTGAGGATCACACTAGGTTTATTAATCAACATTTCCTATCTTTATGATTAAAAATTAATCACCTCATTTTTTCATGGCAGATTGCACAGGACAACATCAGGTCATCTGAAGAACTGGCAGGTTTAGCCTGCAAAAATAATGAAAAAGTTATCATTACAGTAATAAATAACTATATTTTTACTGTTAAGAACAGTCAAACAACAACAACAACAAGATTAGCAACAAAAATTAATATTGTATCCTCAACCACCACCTGCCTGGGTTTTTGTTCAGTATAGTTTAGGACAAAGCAGGTGGTATGTTTATTGCTCTCAGGAGTAAAAGAATATTGGCCCTTGCTCTGAGCACTCCTCATTGTAGAGGGATGAAGCATAATTTCAGCATGTCGAAGTGTTGGTCAGTTCATGGTTTCATTTTTGCCTCCTTCTCTCTTTCCTTTTGCTCTGTCAATGCAGCATGACTGGTGCTCAGATGACTCATGGCAGGGTTGAGGAGCTCACCAGCCATGGGAGTGGTTGGTCAGCATGCAAAGAAAGTAGTGTCCGATAGTCCGGGGCTAGTAGATTTTGCTATTGGGCTAGTGAATTTTGTTCTTAACTTGGCTGATGGGCAAGTGAAGTTTTTTGAGGGATTCAAATTACAGAAGAACTGTGAAATCAATTCTGCTCATTAAAGTGTTTTTGGGGCTAGTTGAAACGACGTTTGGGCTTTGCATATGCTTTGGATATTCTACCTTCAGCTTGCCTGAATGGCAAGCTTCAAAAATATTACTTTCTTTGCACCCTGTTGATTCACTGTCTAAGAGCTGGGTGATCATACTTGGGTCCCCCTTATATCTCTCCACTCATCATACAGGGATGTCATTAGGAGCCGTAACCTGCAACACCTCTTACAGCTGAGCTCAGTCATGTTATGGCTGATGGTTGCTGCCTAAAATTATTTGATAAGCATTTTCACGGACCAAGACAAATCAAAATTTATCAATAAACAATACCTTATGAATTAAATATGACTGTTGCCTTGTGTCTTCTGTGTCCTTGATTCTAAGACATGTTAAACGAAAAACCTTTTCCCTTCAAAAACTTTCGGATAAAATTTCTGATCGATCGTTGCTTTTCCCAATGTCATTCTCAGCAGCAAACCTCATTAAGCAATGTGCAGTGCTTACTTTAACATGTTATGGCTGAAATCTTTCATGTTACGCCTGCTTCAAGACTTAATGACAGCCCTGTCTTGTGTTATGGATTTGCTAAATAAACTAACGTTACTGTAACAAAACATGACTACTTACTTTTGATATTAATCCATTTGACTGAGGTTTTATTTCTTTTGGAAGTATTTTATCCAAAAGTTTGATCTGTAATCAGGAAATAATAAAAAAAGAAATTAACAACAGTTCATAGGGATACCATGGCTTTCTCCAAAATCATTATTAGATTAATTATTACAATAATATTATTACTATTGAACCTTCAGTAAATGAGACATCTAGGAGAACAGAAAAAGGATCTGCCTTTTAAAAGATGGCTGATGATGTACTGTTTGTATTTTGCTGGGACCATGAGTGTGTTTCTGCCTACGGCATGTGTCCACTAGTTGGGGGGGCAGAGGGAAAGGTTTGAAAGTAAATCTTCTGCCATGACAATCTCCAATGAATAAATATATAGACTGTGCAGAATACATACTGCTGATTTATTGCCTGATTTATTTATTTGAGTCTTTATGTCTTCTAGCTGCTTTTGATACTTCTGACTTTTTTGTTGTTCCTGTAAAATGAACATGGGACAAGAAAAACAAGGTCATGCTACAACAGTGCACTACTGGGAATGAAGAAAAAAAAACAACAGCAACAACAATAAAACAACTAAAAGATAGGCCCCTGTCAGGACATAAAAATAAAAGCCAGATAGTTCACACAGTAGTAATGAAAAAAAAAGTACATCAATTTTTATCATGTTACCCGAATGACCCCGTGTGCAATTTTGTTGGAAAACCATACGAAAAATAAAGTTCCGCTTATGACACTGCTAGAAAAGCATACTGATTGATGTGGGTTTACTCCGTCACAAAAATTCAAACACAATGGTCATGTGATAAAATTCTTATTGACTGAGTTAGGTCAAGCCCGATGTGAAAATAGTTGGCTCTCGGTCAGGACACACGGACCTCAAGCCAAATACCTACCCATCCAGCCACCCCACTCAGTAAATAAGTATATAGTACGCTAACCTCGTTAGCATCTGATGCACCTAAACTAATCATTTTCCAAGTTCTTTCAAACTGGGATTTTAGAGTGCAATGAAGAATTTTATTCAGTATTACCATGACATATTTTCACTTTGCCTTGACTGTAACTAATACTTACACTGAAACAACAAATGAGTGGAATAACAACACTCTGTGATAAACCATTTAGTGGGGTCCTTGTGTTATTTCATGGAGATTAAACTCTATTAACAACTGTGTCGCTGAATGGAGGTTAGATGTCTGGAGTATCCACGGGGTTCCACTTTTGACACTCAACCCCAAGACTGAAAAAGGCCCAGCACAGTTACTAACAGGACATAATACTACTTAGATGGACGTACATGTATCAATAATATTATACCTCTATTAAAGACTGTTGTGCAATTGCAAGCTCTTCTTTTGAGGTAACCACTACTTCTCCAACAGCATAATACCTATTATAACCAAGACATTTATAGATAATAAGATAATTGCATTGCAAAATGGGTGGACATCAGGGGCAACTTGAGTCACAAACTGAGGAAAACACAGCCCCTGATTTAGAGTTAGCTTTCTTATATCTGTTAATCTTCCATGACTGTTGTGGAAATACAGAGTAAGTTGATGCTCTTGGCCCAATAACCACAGCTTTATGTTTACCTTCCTGGATGTAACATTGAAACAACTTTTTAAAAACGGAAAGAAGTAAATTACCGTAATCAACAAAAAAAGGAGGTAGTCAGTGGTGCTTTCCATTCAACCCAAAATTCCATAAATTTCAGTTGGTACTTTTTAACGGAAAGGACCATTTTGATTTGGTCCAACTGGAATATTCGGAATCAGCTTTGAAGGTGGACCTCTTTGAGCAGTCTGGTCATTTTGGTCGGTTGGACCGAAATGTCCCTTTCCATTTGACAAAATTGTTGTCCCCAGTACCGCTCTTTTGTATCCTGCTTTCAAGAACAATAACCAAATGCGCGGTGGTTTGGGTCGGGTCTGTTCAACTAGATTGTACTATTCCATTGGGCACATGGAATTTCCGAAATTTCAAACCAGAATTTTTGTTAAATGGACAACGCCCCAGGTATAAACAGCATTAGTACATGTTATTAAAACAATATCATAACCCAATGACATGCAGTAGCAAAATTAACTTAACATAATAATTATTAGCCACACAGCAAATTAATGATAATCATCTGATAAATAAGTTGATTTCTCATGCTTAGTGGTATTAACTTAATTTTACATTAATTATTAAAGAAAATATTAGCTTCATTCATCAGCCAGTTAAATCAATAAGACTTGGTTAACCACGTATGACAGGGGCGCACGTAACACGACTGGGTGACGACTGCAGACGTTCTCATTAGAAGTGGCTTGCAAGTATCTTACTGTGATAACAGCTGATGAACTAGCTGTAAATTGTTCTTGTATTCCTGTGCTGACCTTAAAAATCAATAGCAAAGTTAGGGAATTTACATCTTAATAAAAGATGGAATGTCCAATATACCAAAGCCTGATTTTCATCATTTAATACAGTCAAATCCTGTTAATACAGACACTGAGGGATCATAGAAAGAGTCCGTTTTAACCCGTTAACCCCCAATAGTGACCAACATCAGTTTTCTCCTAACAATATCCATAGATTGTCAAGTGCAACATCTATGAGAATTAATCAAATGATCACAAAGAGAAGAATCTCTCATCTTTTATCAAGTTCTCCCAACTTATTCTGTAAGGAAATGTACAGAGATCAGTTTGGAGAATTTGTTTGTGGATATTGGGGCTTAAAGGGTTAAGCCCCCATATCTACATATTAATTCTCCATACTGACCTTCATACATTTCCTTAAAAAAATAGTTGAGAGAGTTTGATAACAGATCAAAGCATTTTTTCTTTCGTGATCATTTTATTAACTCTCATAATCATTTCTCTTGGCAACATATGGATATTGTTAGGAGAAAATTGTTGTTGGTCACTATTGGGACTTAAAGGGTTAATGGGGTGTCTGTATTAAGTGGGTTGAATTTAGAGAAAATGTATGGGCTTTTGTTCCCGAGGGACAAAGCAAACTGTCCATAATAATGAGGTGTCTGTGTTAAGCAGGGGTTGGTAAAGTTGGGTTCAACTGTATAGCCTGCTGATTGTCTTGTTACAGAAAGGGATTAAGGGTAGATAAAGTTGGGAAAGGGTCCAGGTAGGTCAACTGCTAACAAAATCATTGACAAAGTGTTCCTGGGCAACCATAATAACAGAGCTTCTTGCCCAAAGGAAAACCTGGAATTCAAGCCTTTTTTGAGCCCTGGGTTAGCCTTGAAAGAAACTGCTATGCTGATAGGCAAAAAAGAACAGAAGAATTCCACATGACAGTTTCCGAGGTAAGTTCTATGCCTCAATTAAGAACCCAAACTGGCTCAACCAATCACAACCAAGTGAAATGTATCAAACACTACACACATGTAGAAGTCACATGTTGTTAAAGGCTGTTCTTGGTGTTGAATCCTGCATGCAACTCAGTGGACTTAAAGTTTGACAACACAAAAGGATTACTAGCACTACTGAAAAATTCAGAAGCACAAATTATTTCCTTAACAATTCATTATAACCTATTTTGAGGAGACCTAATTTAACTGACAAGCGACGATTTTGGAATAAACAAACAAACGAAACAAACCTGCAGGCACTGGGTATAATAATGTGTAACAAAGTCGATGTCTTCATTCATTATTAGGAGCTGAATACATGGCGACTGGCAAGATGAGAGGCAGTTGTAGTCCCCGTCTAACTACAGTGTAGTGCTTTGCACTCCCATGTTAAATCACACCTTTTGTATCAGTTTTGAGATCCCATGTGAAGTGTTCTCAACCTATCTCACTATCTGTAGTTCAAAGCCCTCGCATACTCCTATGTCCTATTATGGTATAGAACTTTCCACAATTTTTTCAACTTTTGATCTGGACTAGTTTGCAAAAATCTGTCAATACTGCTAGAAAGAACCCCTTAAGATCAGTAAAGCTGCCAAGTTTGAAGGTGATTTGTTAAAAATGAACAAAGACATAGCTCTGCAAAGTCACACAATTTTATAGACAGTTGTATGGTGGGGAGGCAAGTTTGTGCCTCCCACCCCTCCCCACACCATACCATGTAGAGCAATACAAGCCCTAGGATTTCACCGTAATGATCGTTTCCGGTACTGTGTTGTTACTGGATCTTATTATTATTACCCATCGTTTTCCACGGTGTCTGGGCAAAGAACCGAAAAATTGTTTTCCATGGGATTTGAAATCCTAGGGCTTGCAATATCTTTCGTCTCTTTGAATGTACATGTATCACCTTTAAACTTAGTAAGTTACCTAAGGCCCTCTTTCCAGCACTGTCGATTGATATTTGCTTACAGGTCTCCATCAAAAGTTTAAAAAAACCCTGGAAGGGTCTATTCCTACATAGGGATCATGGATCAATAATTTATGTTTCTGGGAAATTGCCTACCTACCCCTCCCCTTAGCCAACATTAACACTTACTTTTCACTCAGGGCAAAATATTGACTTTGGGGAGGGGTAGGTGGACAGTTTCCCAGAAACGTATAATGATCTGAGATCATAGATGGCACTAACCGTTCAAGAAGGGCAGCATTCTCCTTGTAAGCTTCATCAAGCTTCCTCTTTAGCTGTTCTATCTCTTCAGCCAGACAGTCTCTCTCACTTTTAACCTAGAAAATTAACAACGAATTAGTTTGCCTACAATCATTGTTGATTTCTCAGTAACAGGTCAAATTGAACTTAGTTTGATGGAAATATCATTTTTTCTCATCAAAAATCTATTAAACATGCTTGTTACTTGGAATGCAAGCATGAGGCACAAGGGATAACACAAAAGTTCTGTTTCTAGTGAAATGAATATTGCACAAGCTCAATCTCATGCACAAAAAAAGGAAAAATTTGTCCCTTGTGCTCATGCCTACGTTTACGTTTTCAGGGTTGCCACTCATCAGAAAGTTAAAAATTCCCTGACTTTTCCTGACCTTCTATTAATGAGAAACAATCCATGTTTACATTCTCCTTAGCTTTTTTTGCAGACCATCGACAGTTTTCTCTTCATTTTCAACGTCTTTCCGCTTTTTACGGAAAGAGGAAGAAGGAATTTGGAAGAAAGAATCCACAATGAAAACCACTGACCACGGCTACAACATGTGTCAGACCTTGAGTGTCAAATTGATTGCTTTGCTTACTTTGCAGCATACTTTTCATTTTTTCTGAAAGAAAATACAATTCAAAATCTTGAAGAAAACTTGTGAACTATAAACAAGAAAACAGAATTCCCTGACTTTTCACTGACTTTGACAACATCAAAGATTTTCCCTGACTTTTTGAAAAATTCCCCGACTTTTCCCTGACCTTGAAAAATTTTCAGTTTTTCCTGACTTTTCCCTGACTGTGGCAACCCTGTTCTTGCAACGCTTTCAAGGAAAATTGAGGACTCATAAATGCTTGCTCTTGCATGCAATATCAAGCTAACTAATGGCCTGAAACGAGAGTATGCACTTTACTTCACTGAGAGAAAACATTCCCGGCCTCTCTCGTGAAGAAGGACCCATCTCATCAGTAAAATTTGGAGAGGACACCATTTTCCTGCAAAGGCAGTACACAGGCTAGACAAGGGCGAACAAGTCTAGACAACTTATTTTTGAATTAAATGACTCAGACATCTTAGCTCCAGATAATCAGCATGGAATGGGGACGGTTACGTGACCGGAAATTACAATAAACACCCAGTTCTATCCCATTTGATCTGAGTCACATAAATTTCACACTTTAAAGTTTTAATTTTTTAATTAATTCTGTTAATAAATCGATATTGAAGACAAAAAATTAACATCGACAAAAACCGGCTTCACAAGTTCAATCTTCTCCCACATCTATTATTTATGACCTACAATTTCTTGTTAACTTTTCCAGCTAATGAAAATCGGCAAAAAACATTTTCTGCATAGAAAAAAACGGAAGTCGAAAATACTTTCTAAACTTATCTCATATGGAGTTAATTAAGATGATCGCCGTTAATACAATCTTTTTTGACGCGGGCAGGTAGAAATAATATATAGCTAAATATAATGACGTAAGGTGTTTGAGTTATGTTTATGTTTTCAAACGGTTTCACAATGAGAAGAAGGGAATGAATATATAAACTATTTAAGTTGTTCCAGAACGCGGTGGGCTTATACAATTAACTGATCATCAGGTATCGAGAAGACCATTTCAAATATATCATTAATTTTGCTATTCTGTTGCTTTTCTTGGCAGCAAAGGTAGTATTGTAAAAGGAATGCAATCGGCACGGAAGATGATATCTTACAAAGTCGAAACTAAAGTTAAGCTTACCTTGAAAAAGTCGTCCTGGCTATCCTCACTTGTAGAAACCAAGCAATCCTCTGATTTCGCCGCTGACAGTCTTCCATTTTGTTTTGTTGTACTATCCATCTCGATCACGTAGTCAACAGGTACGATTCCCCGCTCAATGGTAGGGTAATCTTTAGTCTTTAATAAAGGATTGTTCTTCCAAACCGTCCTCTCGACATTCACCCAATAGTTGTCCCTGCGGCTGAGAAATGTAAAAATCTCACCTATGTGAAATGAAAGAGGATTTGCTCCATCAGAAAAGCAAGCATCTGCTGCTGTAAAATCCCTCAAAGCCTGCAGATATCGAGGTCTCCGTTTGCTTTTTTTGCGAGAAGCAATCTTAGAGCTCATTTTGTCAAAGCGATTCTGTAGTAAAAATGCCTCTTGCGAAACTCCCGCCGGCAAAGACATGGTTGCATTTTCGACCGAAAAACACCGTCGTATTATAACATTCCTTTGAAATATGGAACGCCAGTGTAGCCGAAAAGTCTTTATAAACCACAAGGTCCCATATATTGAAGCTCTCAACGATATTGGCTAAAGTTGTAAACAGAAAAGCCAGGGATTAATAATACTCACCTACCAGACACTCATCTTCCATCGGTCCCAAGAGAAAACTACCCAGAATGCCATAGTAGAACGGAAATGCCTTTGCACCCAAACCGGAAGTTGTCTCTGTTCAAGATGTGGTTTACCCTGGTTTACCCAAACAAACTCACTGGGCTGAGATTCACTATCAAAACCCAGAGTTAAAACCGGTATCCGATCGGCTCCTGTTAAAATCCGTAGGGAGGGAAAATACAGACTTAGTTTCGTTAGTGCCCTGATTTTTTAAGTTTTCAAAAGTAAGCACCAGTATCTGGAACAGCGTTGTAGTTAAATTGGCTGACTTGATCTTTACAATTATGCATCAGTCAATTCCACCTGCGCCCAGGCCCCCCCCGGGCTGACCCCCGGGAATTAGCATTTTTTTCGCCTTGGATGGCAAATTCCCGAGGGTGGGGACTCTTGAGCTGGCAAATCCCCCGGGGTGGGGAAAAAAAAAGAGGGCAAATGCCCCGTCCTCCGTCAACAGTGCAACGTTTTTTATTGATCGCACAGTCCAATAGTGCCATTTTAATGTGCGATTTTTTGTTTCAATTAACGTCTTCCTTTGTAATAGCGCGAGGATTCTAATTAAGACTTCATGCCGCGACGACATGCGCCAGTTTATGGTTTTAGTATTGATATAAAAGTATTGACATTAAAATTAACAGAGCGCTGTAAACTTATATGTTATGAATAGTTTTAAAAATATGAAAGGGTGATCTTCAAATAATATCAACAGAACGTTGATTCAATAACCAAAAAACGTTGATTCACATCAATAGGTCCAATTTCGCTATGTAATTCTCGCTTGATAAGCAATGAAGAAATGTATACATCCATGTAGAATCGTGAGCATGCCTTTACAAAGCTCTACAATTTATTCCTGTCCTTGACAGATGAGCCAATCTGCTTTTTTTTCCAGTAAAACCTTCTGCGTAGTTATATTCTGATAGGAAACCGCGTGCGTGTCAAACGCTCGGGAATGGCCCGGGGGTTGGCAAATGCCCCACCCCCGGGGACTGACAAGGCGGGTAAATGCCCCGCAGTAGCCCGGGGGGGGGGCGGGCTGGGCGCAGGTGGAATTGACTGATGCATTAAGCTCTCTAAGCCCTAATAGTGATCAGCATAAAAGCAGAGTTATCATGAGAATTGAAAAAATGATCACAAAAGATGAATTAAACTTATACTTTAACAACTTCCTCCCACTGCCACAAGAGGAAATGCCTAGGGGCCCGCAACAAATAAGAATTTTAATTTTGATATTAGGATCTAATAGGGGTTAAACTTCATTTGTCAACTGAGTTAATAAGGTAAATTAGCTGTTACAAATCAATTTACTATTGGACTCATGGCGTTTACAGAGGGGCTGTGCTAAATAGAATTTTGGTCTAGAACAGGACATCACTTATAGGATCATTCGTCAGGATTTCACAAAAGAAGTGCACAAGTATAGAAAAAACTTTAAAAGCTGTACTTCATTTAGTATTGGTGGAAAGGTAGGTGAAAAGTGGACCTGCGACTACAGTGGTAGTCTTGTATGGGTGGGATGATCAACAACAAGTAATCGGCTCCTGTCAACAAATATCTTGTATGGAAGGTCCAAACCTTTTGCTACCCTTTTTCGGACAAGATTCCTTTTTTAATGTCCTTGATTCGTTTCATTTCACTATACAGAACTATGTGGTTTCATATTGTTTTTGGAAACAATGGAGCGAACGACAGGCCCTCTCAGGCTCTGGTTTGAGGATGTTAGCGTTGTGCATAGGCGCTAGTCCTGGGTCGAGTGAAGAAGAAGAAGAATGTTTACGATTACGTCAATTTATTCTGGTGTAACAACATGGCGTCCGAGTTATCTGTAGGGGATTCCGTTCCAGATTCAGTGGAACCTGGATGTTCTGACGATCAGAAATACATTGACCGAGTGAAAAAATTTCTAAAGCCCCTCGAGAATCGATGGGACTATGTTCAAAGCGTTCTTCTGTGGGAAAAACCGATTCATTCCTTGTGTTATTTCATCGTGATGACAGCTCTCTTCGGGTGAGTTGAAGTGCGGGGTTAAAATGCTAGAGAGAGAGAGAATTCATTATGTAATGCGCTGACGTGATGTAATCTTGACCACAGTTCAGTGGCAAGTGGACGTTTCCGTGTTGTTCTGCTGCTGGTTGTGATAATAGCGTCATCATTGCTCATAGATGATGTGAGATCCAAGGTGCGGTTGTTGCTACTTGCAGGTACGTCATTAACGAACGAATCCACTTGTTCATCGACTTGAGAATGTATTTCCGACGGATCGGATGTGTTTAATTATAAATGACTCTTTTATAAACTTTATTAACATACTTATTTCCTAAATTCGATCAGGTGGATTTGGTGAAGTCAGCGATGAAGACAGGTAAGCAGATTTTGCGACTATTCATAATATTTTAGGAGCCGCCGTTGTTAATCAACCGAAGCTTATATCTTTGCGGTTTCACTGACAGCAAAAAATATTTTGAACACAACCATGACATAAACTACATTGTAATCATCGTCATTTAAAATAAGTGTTTTGTTTTTGTTTTTCTGATTGCTGACACAAATTCTTGTGTTGCCATAAAAAACGTTTGTTACCGAAACGAGCGAATGTTAAGAGAATTTACATGTACGGTACATTGTGAACCCCATTAATTGAATATTTAATGTGGTTAATATTTTATCGCATAGATTCCCCAGAAAAATAAGCTAATCTCGTTTTCTAAATTTGTTATTTATTACAGCCGAGATACAACACTGTCTTTTTCACGACTGTGTGAAAGATTGGCAGCAATATGGAGTTTCTTCATGACTTGGTTTGAAAGAGTAAATAGAATGAAAAGTGAGAACATATACAAGGTATGTAAATAGAGAATATTACACGGTGGCGAGAAGATATGAATTTTATGTTCGAGTGGCTAGAACAATATCTCACGAGTGAGCGCAGCGAACGAGTGGGATATTGCTCTTGCCACGAGAACATAAAATTCATATCTTCGAGCTAACGTGTAATATTCTTTTTATTATATAAACATACTGATGACAGTGTTTTTGATGATTTTCCGAAGATTTCCGACCACCTTCCGAAGATTTCCGAAGATTTTTCAAATTGTCCCGAAGACCAGACGAACGTTCCCGAACATTTTCCAAGAATTTCCGAAAATTTCCGAAGATGTCCGAAGATTTCCGAAGATTGCTGAGCACTTTCGAGGAAGACCCAAAGATGTTTCGATGATACACCAACAAATTTAAGTACAATTTAAGAGACAAACCTGATGTCAGTGAAATTATCGATATCTTCACATGTAAAAATATCGTATTTTTACGTGTGTTCAGATACCACATTTCTCGGTGGTAGAAATCCTTGTAAAACACTGCAGTTTATGTAATAAATATTTTTACCTAAATTATGATTATTTTTTAGCTCTTGAGTATTCTGATACTGGTAGCTGGTATCCTTTTAGTTTAGGCAGCAATGTTGCATTACGGATATGTTTTGCTCTGTCCGTCAGAGGGGAGTGGCAGATCTAGACCTTCAGATAAGGGAGGGGGGTGGTCATCCAGACACTGAGATAAGGGGGGGGGAGGGGGCGACTGGTCTCAAAAATTTTTTTTCAGCCCTTCGGGCCTCAGTTTGGTCTAAATATAACGGGGGCGGGCCCCCCGGCCCCCTCTCCTGGATCCCACCACTGGAGAGAGAGGGTGGAGCATAGGAAGGCCTGGGGGATCCCTTTTAAGGTGTTGTACTTGTCCTCTGCGAGGGTACTTAAAAAAACAGGGAGTAAAGGTAATACAATGTAATCAGGTTTACTTTGTATGTCTCTGAAGAGGAAAGCAAATGATATTAAAACAGCCTGTTCACACAATTCTGCGTTGTATTTCATGATGGTATGTATTTTTTGTGGTTGTTTTGGGGTCTTATAATAATTATAAGACCCCAAAACAACCACAAAAAAATACATACCATCATGAAATACAACGCAGAATTGTGTTATTGATGACAATTTTCATTTTTCTCCCTCCAAGCTTTTTCCTTTAGGGGATGAGGGTATCCTCCCATATTTAAGTTTTTTTTAAGGTATGTGCTACAGCAGACTTGCCAAACCCCAAAAGGCAGAGATTCTGAAATCAGAGCTGGGAAAAGTAGTGAGAAGTGGGTAAAAAGATAGCAGTAAACATCACGATTTTTCAAGTTAGGTTTTTGTAATTTCTATGTTCTGTCGGTAGCCATTTTGAAACAAGAAGAGCAGTAAGTCTGCACATTTGGTGGTAGTGGCAAGTCACGGGGTAGGCTAAAGAATGTAGTCAAACGTGACCACTAAGCATTTTCTTTGGATTGAGCTGGCTATCTATTTATATCTAACTTGGAAATGAGCCCTTCAGCTCCAAAATTTTTTTGGACTTGGACTTTTTGAGAAAGCGTGAGAAATCAGTTGCCAGCTGGTGAGAGTGTGAGGTAGGTCAGGAAATCTCTGAGACTATGAGACTTGGCATGTCTACTACAGAATAGGAGAGTCATGGGATAAGGTCTCTGTGACACAAAGCAACATGCACCCTTTTACCAAGTTCCAAAAATTTTGGTAAAACCTCTCTTTGCATATCCTGCATGTAGAAAGTCAGACAGACCTGAATGTTGGCAAGGTTTGTATCCTCTTTCATCCAGGGCTATCTCTAAAATTTCAAGTTGCTTAGTATATGCAATAAGTATGCAGGGAATTGAACACTGCTAGGTAGTCCCTTTGGTTTTATTTCCCTTTTACTTCCTGTGAAATTAACTGGGAGTTATGCTTTTAGTAGCTGGGGGAAATCCCTGGTCCCTCGCACTTAGTGACATCCCTGTTCATCTGTTAACTTTTTGATTTGATTTATTTGAATGGTTTTGATTTATAATTATTTTGTTGGCATGGCAGTGATATCACCATAGGGTCAGCCCTTGTTGTTGTTTGAGATTTGTTTTTTTTCTTGAGTACTAAAACTATGTTCAAAATTTATAAGTTTCCATTGTAGGTGATCATGATAATTTTTTTACTGTCATTTTTGCAGTACTATGGAGTGTTATTTGGACTGTTACTTGCGGTGGTGTTTGCCTACCAGTATTTACCTTTGATGAAGATTTTTTACCTTTCTGGTATGTTCTTCTTCATTTTTATCTGTTAAAAATGCATACAAATACACATTTATGAAGTTTACTATGAACATTTATAGATAGATAGAAACTAATAGATAGAAACTTTATTCAGGGTCGTTGTTAAGTTTTGAAGCAGCCATAGGAAATGAAGACTCACCCGTAACATATCTCACAAAAATCTAAAGTGAAATCTTTAACTTTACACTTTGGTCACTTGTAACATCAAGTGAGCTCAGCCGTAACTGGTGTTACAGGTTATAGGCCTTAATGACAGCACTGTTTTTAATGTGTCAGAGCTATATAGCTTGGGATACTAATCCGCAGATTCGATCAAAATAAAGTATATTTAGTTATGTTATACTTAGAAATGATATTTTTGTGATTTTTACAAGTTACAATTATCCTTGTACGTAATTATACATGCAAATTTTGTAGCTTCACCGAGGGCTTTGTAAATACCTTACATTTATTTCAAATTTCCGTCCCCCTCCTGTTCCCTTAAGGAACCTTTTCAGTTCAAGTACCTCTTTCTTTACATAATTTAAAATCTGATGTATGCTTTCAGTGATTCTCTTTCCATCTCTCTTGGAATGAAACTGTATTTGTTTGTTGTAGCTTGTGCCCTGTACTTCTGGCCTGTAATAAAGCACCATGGTATACACAAAAGAGTCAAAAAGACCCTGGATCCATTTTATATGCCCTTTGTTGTTCAGTGGCAACATACTAGAACAAAGCGTCAGAGGGATGTCAGTGCAAAAGGTATTTAATTCTTCTTGTCCCCTGGTGGTCAGTTAGTCATGGTACAGCTTATGAGAACTTAAAGACATGATTGCCCACGATCAACACCCACAGAGGGGGGCAAGCTTATTTTCATGATGCTGTGATGGACCATTTTTGGTGTCCCTGAATCGTGATGGCGACATCCCCCCCCCCAAGCAGCCGCCCTTTCAGGCTTCTATGACTCAGGCTTAAAAGGCAAAACTGGCTAGCTACGCCCCTGATTAATCAACTATGTTATATTTTTGTTTTGTAGTGATTTCGGGAGAACAACCAGGTAACAGTGATGACGAATTTGCAGAGGACCTGCGGCCGCTTGTAGAGGAGACAACTGTCAATCAAGATGTCACTTTGCGGGAGTCAGAGCCTAGCTCATCAGAACCACCCACCCCTGAACCCCCTCTACAAGTCAAGTTTCTTGAAAAAGTTATTGCGTCAGCTGTTTCTCAAGGGCTCAGCTCTCTCACAGAGTTCAGTCAGAATCAGAATGATGATGATAGCACTCAAGCTGGTAAATAATATTTTATTTTTTAAAATTTACTTTAATCTCTCTCTCTCTAATAATCCCCCTGGGGTTTATTTCAGGGTTGTCAGCAAAATTGGGTTACCATGGTTACCAGCATGTCGTGATGCCCCCTATATAACAGTGTCTTACCACTGTTTGGGGAAAGTGGCCATAAGGTCACTGACACTGACACTTATTCCAGGCCAATTTTTTTTTTTTTGGGAGGGGGAGGGTGGGGGCTATCAGAGAAGGGGCTCACAATGTATTTAAACAAGGAAGGGTAGTCCTTGGTGTCAAGAAATTTGGGAGCTCTCTTCTAGTGTTTCAACAACATTTGACCAATATGATGGTTGATTCAGAGGTTTTAGATCAAGAAATAGTACCTGAGCCCATGCCTCAGCCCATTCCTCTTTTATTTTTCCCCCAGCTGTTTGATAAGGCATAATTTGCCTGCATACCAATATATTATGTCCTAGTATCTCAAATAAGTCTGAGAGAACAGCTGTACCACCAGTACTTTTCCCCAGCGAAACGATGTCTGAGGAACAAGTGCAGAAATTCCATACTGTCATTTATGTATCATGACTCGATCAGATCTGGATGTGTGTGATTGGTCACGCCACAAGAGAAATTTGCTTAAAAAAACAGAAGCACTTCCCAGGTCTGGGTAGTGACACATCATCAGTATGGAATTTCTCCTCTTGTTCCTCAGACATCAATCTGCAGGGAAACCAGTGATGGCATCACAAATTGTTGGTTGTTTTTTCAGGCTAATCTCAAATGCTTTTTTGTTTCTTTTCAAGCAACTTCTGGAAATTCATCACCAGATGCTGAAAGTTTTGACAGTCCTTCCTTAATTTTGGATAGTCTTCAGTTTCCATCCATAAGTCAAGCAGGGGACACTCTTGAATTTGAAGAGGGCGAGTTCATGAAAGGATTAGAATTCCCAGACATTGGGAAAGATTCTGACTCAGAGACTGAAAATGTTCATCCAGTGAGCAGGTCGGAAGTGGACAGTAAACCAAAAACAGTTGAAATTGAGCAAATGCAAACAAAGGAACCCATTGACAGAGTTAACAGTCAGACAGCTTCAAGAACACCTGAAAGTGCATTGACATCATCGGCAAATATGGACGTGTCAGACTATGAGATGTTAGACCAGTCTGAAGCTGAAGGGATGGCACCAACAGATGAAACAGACAATGTTGATTCCCAAAGCGGACTGGGATCAGTGACTAACTATGTGGGAAAATGGCTTGGGTACTGATTAATGGATATGGGGTGGAAAAGAAAAACCTCCTCCTTGTATCCACTTAAACAGTGAATAGCACATGTAGTAAGTCAGTGATAGAAATTCGTATTCTGACCAATAATAATTACAGTATGTCCTCAAAATAGTGCCCAGGTATTTACATTTCAGTCAAAATGGGGAATGGGAGCACTTCTTTAAAGAAAATCACTTAATTAATGGAAATTAATTTCCTTGAGATGTCCTAAGTATTCTTGGTTTGCGTCATTTGATCAGGAGGCCATGTTAGTGGTCAATACGAAAATAACAAAGAATACACATGAAAATAGAGTTTAGTTCCAAGAAGAGAGAAATGCTTTTGTTCTTGATCACCAACATGGCTGTTGTGGTCTCACATGATAACCAGCAGTTGAAGCAAATGTGGAGGGTGGGGGTTGCTTGTTTGGTTGAGGCAGGTCCTTGACTACTTGGGAGGCTGGTAAGGGCAGTTAAGACTGTTCAGAGTCTCCTATTTTTCATAATGCTGTCATGATTAAGCAGTTACCAGTACAGACCAGGCAGCCATCTTGTTTTTGTATGCACCAAGCATTTGGGTTTTTAGTGGTGGGTGAGATCAGTTTCTTGCCTCCTGCCAAACTGTCTCCTACTCCCTAAGTAAATTTGACACTCGTCCAACATGGCAGCCTGTAATGCAAAGTGTTCAATCTTGACGATATTACCGAAAAAATAAATTATAGGGGACTGTGAATAGTCTAGGGCAGTTTAGTAGGGCTGTGCTGTAGCAGTAGGCAGTGGCATTTGGTACCCTACTCTTCCTCTTGGGCAACTAGGAAGTCTTGAGCTTTTTCCTATAATTCATATGCTGGGCATGCTAGATTTCACGGGTTCCAAGCACTGGGCTACCTCCAATTTCTTAGTTCACAACCTTGCACAAGCCAACATTTGAGGAACTGCATGATATGAAGGCTCTAATATTCTGTACAATTTTAAATGTGCTTGTAGAGATGTAGAAGCTTTTAATAGGTGGGAATATCACATTCTTTTTGGTGATAAGAATATTTAACACTTATTTTCGTGCTATAGATCTCAGTAAAACTTATACAACTGCAATTTAAACCAAGAACCATACTTTGTTGACAGACAGTTGTAATAATCTCCTTCAGACACCATGTATGATCCCCTCACTTACTAAGACCATTACATTTCCAGGCACATAAATTGAAGAAAAAAAAAGTTAACAGCCTCAAAATATTAATTTTGTTTCTGCTGCACTGAGGTTTGGTGGGATTGAACCATTGTTTCTGTAACAATAGGGTTTTCTTTCTCACTCTCTCTCTAGTGTGTGTGTCAGATTAATCTTATGTAAGATGAAGTCATTTAGTAACTTAAAGGATTTAATTGAAGGAGCGTGTCAAATAAGTTGCAAGGTGACTCTTGATGTACAGTTAAAAAAAAAACTTTCATTCTACAAAAAAAAATTAAGGCAATTTAGAGAGAACTTGCACAACACCCCTTCTATTTATGTAAATAATGCTGCAAATGTTTGGTTCTCTGGAAACCTCTTAGGCCCGGTTCAAACGTCGCATTTTACATGTACCGAATCTAATGCAAATGAAAACAATAGATTTTCCTCATTAGCATTAAATTTGGTACAGCTGAAAAGCGACGTTTGAACCAGGTCTTAGTTAGCATCAACTTATTTATTTACAATTACTAAACTGTCACCTTGGGGTGGATGTTCGATGTAAGGGACAACATATTCGCGATTTTTATTTACTGGTGTTCTTTTGAAAGGTTCTACTACAGTTTTGACCCCTCTGTGTCACAATGCCATGAGGGACCAAATCTGTACTGGAGAGGGTTTTGTTCAGTTTGGGGGATAGAAAATTCTGAATTTTTATACACAACTATTATTTTAATATTAATGATAAATACCGTAAGATTCTGAAAATAAGCCCCTCCATGAATAAGCCCCCCAAACTCATAACCCAACAAATCATCTATTAAATCGCCCCTCCAAATATAAGCCTCCCAAGGGGGCTTGTACTTGGAAATTGTCCTGTAGTACAAAGTGAAACAAGGAAAAACAGTAAATTTCTTTCCAAAAATAAGGCTAGCCCAATCGATTTTGAAACGCAAATTTCCCTCCGTACATAAGCCCCTCAAAAAGGACCTTTGAAAAATATAAGCCCCTGGGCTTATTTTCGGATTTTTACGGTAACATAATCGCAAGGTGTAAACCAGCTTGTTTTAAAATATAGTGTGGGCAATAGCTAATGCATGATTTTAGAATAATTTACAGTAAAAACTCAATAAAGGTGGTGTTTTTTTCTTCTTACTGTCAGCATTACAACTACATGCAACACTGATCTACAACACAGACAGCCAAATGGTTGATTAGCCTCTAGCTTGAATTTTTGGGCAAGCAAATGCCTGTTGTTGCCGCCTCTGACTAGTAACTAGTTTCTTGGTGTTGCAGACAGGTGCAATCACCAAATTCATGATCTCTCACCCATGTCACAAAACAGAAGGTACAAAACCACCAATGGTTTGTGCAACAAGAAACACCCAAAATTGGAGAGAATAAAAAGTAAAGTTTCTGGTTTCAGTAAAGTTTAAATAGCATCCTGTGCAAGAAGCTTTTTCTTGAGGCTTCATCAGCCTTGTACCCAGGCCAGTTTGCACTATCTGAGTTACCAGAGGAGGCTTGGAACCAAGCATGATAGGGGAAGGGTATCTTTGGCGAATTTTCCCAACAAGCTTGACAGGTGACGTCACTTCTGAAATCGCCAAGGACGACTGGACACAAGGCTGAGGTTTCATGCTTTGAGCAAGGATTTGTCCTCCTACGGCCAAGCCCAAGAAAAACAACCTACCCGCCACTACCCAAGCAAAATAATAGACTGGCCTTTTTAGAGTTTGTTTTTTTTCTCTTCTTATATAATAACCACGTGATGTTACCTGAGAGAACTGTTTCTTTCAAATGTCATCCTATCCATATGTCTTTATGGATATTTAATGAACGGACAAAAAAAAAGAAAAGGCAATTTCTTTGAGAAGATCACGTAGTCTGAATTGCATTTCTCCTTCCCCTTTTGAATGCAGGCTACAAAAGCTCTTTATCAAGATAATCTGCAAAAATAGTTGCACAACTGTCAAAATAATTTGGTAAAACATACTGTTTAACTTCTTGAACAAGAAAACACAAACAAAAAGTAAAGAGGAAACTTGTTTATTGTTGGACTGTACAAGAAAGTTATCTATGTCTCCTGCATCTCCCTCAGACGTCGTACTGCACTTCTGACTGTTACAGCAGCTGTGGTGCTAAAAGGAAAGGAAAGCAAACAAGTCATTATTAATAAAGGGAAATCCAAATTTGTAAAACATCCTTGGAGAAATGGTGAATGGTTCAATAATCGAGAGGACTGAAAGATTGGCAGCAGAATTACAGTGTTATCCTAGGGAAGAAAATTCAGCTTGGAGGTGGTTTGAATTATTGGCAGGTTGAGAGAATGCAGTTACCTGCTCATTGCAGATTTCTCATTTTGTTGCCAAATATTAATATTGTGATAAATTTTTTGCAAGCAACAGTAGCTTCAACCAGTTTTGAAGTCAATGCCAGAGCTAACTAACTGCTCTTGAAGATGATCAAATTAACTCTGAACTGAAAATTACAGCAAAGACGGATATATCTTTAGTTTTGAAAGCTTTACATAACGGTATTTTGAAGCAGGGTATTCTGAAAGCACTGGTAAAGTAAGATTAATGCAGATACACATGTACAATGAACATCCCATGCTGTACCTGACAACCCATGCTCCTCCAGCGATAGTCTTTCCGCATCCTTTGCAATACCAAATACCAACACATTTCCTTTTTAGTGCTTCCTGGAAAGCAATTTAGTGAGCATTAATTCTCTTGTATTTGGTCAAAAACCAAAATAATGACCCTTTGGGGTAGTGAGTTTCCAGAATATATTTAAGTTGCCTACAAGCCGAGCTTGTAACCTTTTAAAGATAAAACATTAGCATAAACCAGTAAACTAAAGTATTTACTATTACCTTCAATTAAGGCAAACTTAGTTTCTGATTTTTGCCTCAGTTCAGGGAAGTGTCATATTAAAAGCCCACGTGACCTGCTATGATTGGTAGGAACACAACTACAGTGTAACCCCGCCTTATGACAACCCTGTTTATACGACCACCTGGTTATTACAACCATACTCTTTTGACCCAAACGCAAAAAAAAACTGAGTCATTTTTTTATTATTTTGAAGACCCTGTTAGTGCGAGCTTCTTGATATTATGACCAGGATTGTATGGCCCAATGGTGGTTGCATTAACGGAGTTCCACTATACTGCAAACTTTTGATGAATCTCTGGACTGGTTTCTTCGCTTCCAGAAATAATGGACCGCACAATGCATGTACAGTACCCTGACACTGGAAAGAGCTGGATATGTGAATGCCTAGTCATTCCTTTTATAAACTTTTCTATAAACTTCAACAGCTTTTAAGCCTGACACTTTTCATATGTTGGGAGTATTCCAGAAGATAGGAGATTTCACCGTTCCTCAATAATAACAGATGTTGCTGATCTAACGAAAACAAGAAATTGTAGATATATTCCACTTCATCTGGGGTGGATTGTGACAAATAATGTTTCCCAATTAACTGAAGAAACGGGAGCATTTCTATTTTCCAGATGCATCCCAGATTTCAGCAATGTCAAACGATCACTCCTGACAATGATACCAAAACTTCAAATTTGTGCTGTCAGGGATGTCAGGGGTCAAGGGTGGTTATTCTTGCTTGGTCCCAACCCTTCAGTCTGTCCCTTATGCCATTTCGATTTATGAGAGAAAAAGGCCAGAGCTAAGCAATAAGCTCTGGCCTTTTCTCTCATAAATCGAAATGGCATAAGGGACAGACTCTGGGATTTCTCTGACATATCGGTACATCTGGGATGATCGTGGAAACAGTGAAAATACTAATCACGCCAGATCTTCCTGACGTATGCAAAATAGGCCTAAGGACAATGCTGTTAAATGCTGTTCTAGGTGTATATCTAAAGTAGATATACAGAAAGGCAAGGAATTCTATTTAAAGGTTATTTAGAAAGTAGATAAGCAGTTCTGTTGATATACAATATAAAGTGGATATGCAGATGGCTAGTTTGTAGCTGATATCAAGGTGGCAATGTTGGCTGACAAGAGCGAAACACTTCCCTCTGCTGGGATCTAAACTCTTTCTTCATACAAATTTTGTTACAAAAATTTGTGTTCATTGTTGCTCAACACAGCTACCTTATCATGTGGTTGCAAAATAAGCATACACCAATACATAGTGACCACATATCTGCCTATCCAGTTTTTTTTAGGGGTTGGTTCAACGATGACAGGGTGTTAGTTAAGCTGTACAAAACTTAATGATTATTTCATTTCGCTGTTTTATTTATGATAAGACGCAAGATGCTGGAAGAACGGTTCAGAAAGCAATAAATATTGATTTATTTCGAGTAGAGGAGACATCTCATGCTGGCTATTTTGAAAGTTGTTTTCTTTTTCAGTGTTCTTCCAACAGCACTTTCCCTTTTTTTCTGTTAAGTGACAGCCTTAACAAAAAAATCTTCAAGACTTACCTTTCCACAGAAAACACATGTGTACTTAGAGTGCTGTGTAATTTCCATTTTTTTAACCATTTTACGGAGTGAGGCACCATAACGTGTACCATACTTCCCGACAACTCCAACCTTCTTGGTCCTCTTTGCCTAGAGAAAGAACACGCGACACAAGCCCACGGAATCAGAATTACCGTGTAATAGTTACATAGTTAAATTCCAAAATTACACTGTATTACTACAAAATCGTTGATAGCTCTAGATGGAAGCGATTTCTTAAGGAAAACGAAGGATTTCTACTGACCATTTTCGGATGTTTCAGAGAGTTACGAGACGAGGAGAAAGAGGGTTATACGGGAACTTGGGTTTGTATTTAGGCCCGCGTGCCCCATCAGCGGAGTAACTGATACCTTATGTAAGATAGAGTGGCGCGAGGTACAAATTTTGGCGGGGAAATACCCGGAAAGTATAGTTCATATTTTTCTTCATTTTGTGGCAAAATGAGCAAGAAATCCGACGATGAAGGTATCTAAGAGATCAAGAATACGTTTAAATCATTATCCGGTTTAATTTGAAGCGAATATGAGTCGTTTTAACATTTCCTGTCCGTTTAAATTCTCAGCCTCAGATGCTGTTTTGAACTATCTCACCAAACAAAACAGACCTTACAGCGCGGGTTGGTACTTTCTGAAACTGTTTTCTGCAATATCACAATACAGGGATGAAGTCAATGCAAAAACTCATGTTTCCTATTCTGCTTTATTCCAGTTGACATATTTTCAAATCTCCACAAAAAGTTTGGAAAAACGGTAACTTAAATGTTTTTATAGCCTGTTTCTTAGCTCGCCTAGAGCCTGTTGATGACAGACCTTTTTAACTAAACAACTTATTAACAAGAAGTTCAATTATTTTCCTGTATACTTTTCAAAATCATTTTCTCAGGCAGTTCAAAGAAGTCTGGAGAAGCTTGCCAGTAAGGGTGTTATAACAGAAAAGATAAATGGCAAACAAAAAGTATATGCACCAAAACAAGTAAGATACCTTAATAAATTAAATAGCAATAATAGTAATAATAAATGTAATAATAATAATAATAATAATAATAATAGGTACATGCCACATTACGTGGTCCTTAAACAGTATTCTTTGTGGTACTGTGATCACTGCATCCTTCTCTCTCCTCCAAAGAGGTTCCTGTTGGGCATTCAAATTAAAATTGAACCCCGCATGCCAGCCTCCCGACGACACAAAGTGGTCTCTGCAGAGGAGAGAGCTTTATCCTTATTGTTTAAGTACTTTTAACAATATGGAAATCACCTGTTGAGAAAATTCTACACTATCAGTTTTCCCTCAAATAGGGTGTAATGTTTTGGTTATGGACCTCAAAAAAGGTAGAGATATTTCCAATTTTCAACGTTTTCAATTTTTCAGCTTTTTTGGAATATGCCTAGCCTATCCAAAATTGGTTTTACAGGGTTGTCATTAAGAGCCGGGGGCCGGGGATTTTCCCCGGCTACTTTCATCGGAAAATAGAAGAAAAATAGAACCAAAAGAAATCCCTAGCCATTTGATTCCCCGCCTACTTGTTGTATTTACCCGGCAACTTGAAATCTTAGTGACAACCCGGGTTTTATAAGTACCTCTCCCAAACTATCATCTTATCAAGATGATGTTTTTTGTTATGTAAGTTATTATTATTAATTTACTGCAATGACATACCCAATGGTCGTGGTATTTCTTAAAGGGACCTATCTTGTTTGCAGGACCAGTTTGGGGAGTATGATGAAAATGAAGTGAAGAAAATTGATGAGAAAATCCGTTTATCACAAGAAAAGTTGAAGCAGTTGCAGGAAACATTGAAAACTCAAGATGCAGGTAAATAGCCAGCACAGAAGTTTCAAAAGAATGGTTCTTACATTGCATTCAACAATCTTTGTCTCATTATCATCATCATCATCATCATCATCCCTAAGAGAGTAGTGTTGCGTGAGCAAAGAAATGCTGCTTAGGAGACTGATGCCATTAGGGCTGAACGACCGATTGAAACAAAGGTCAATTATTTTGATTCAACAACAAAGAAACCCACCTGAAAGGAGGCAAATGAGCAGGTGAAGTACAAGCATGACAAAGACCTTAAACTTAACCCGAGGCATCCAGAGAAAAGGGAATTTGTTTTGAAAAGAGGGAGTTGAAAAAAAATTGCAGCTAGTTACAGTGTGTTACTTAAGCAGGAAAACTAGTTTATCATAAAAGGTTTTAAAAAACTAGGTTGTAAACTGACAGGTTGTGTTTGAGTTATTAAGACAGGAACATAATAATGAAAAGATGATTAAAAGAAGTCCATTGAAAAAAAAGAAGAAAAAGAAAAAATAAATCTTTCTCCTGCACTTTTTCTGGACTAAATTTCCAGTGCACCCTTAAAATTCATTAGGCAAGCCCTGATGTTATGTTCTTCAAGTTAAGCATTTACCATGATATACAGGGGTGTTGGTGATCTTTATTTAAATTTAGAGCTGCGGAATGTCAACAGTACGCTGACAACCAAAGATGCCAAAGCTAGATTAGAAGATCTGACCAATAAGGTACTTGTGAAATGAATTACTGCAATAGCATTGCAACCTGCTTGTGGGGATGGGGGCAGTTGTTGAACAGATTATAAAACACAAGCAGTGGAGGACAAAGCCTTTGGATGATTTATCACTTATATAAGGAACAATGTTTCCTGACTTAAGTTCCTTTACCAGCTAATGGTAAGGCCCACTCTCTTTGCGCAAAGCAATCTACTCTATTATGTAAACCTTTCAGCTTCTTTCGCATGGTTTTGACCTTCTTCATTCTAAACCAAGGTCTGAAGGGTAGCTATTCCTCGCTTTCTTAGAAAGGCTGACACAAAACACACCGTTGACCAATCACAGTGCAGGACTTTCTAAATGAGCTGCAACTTGTGACATTGAAATTTATTGTCTAACAAGTTGAGATCAAAGGTGGTAATATGGGTAACAATGCAACAATGTTGCGTGACAAGTTGAGCGAAAATGTTGCCAGTATTACTTGACCTTAAGAAGTACCAATCCACAAATTTTACCCTCCTGTAAGAGTAGGCCTATCAATCAAGGTACTTAAGGCCTAGCCCCCTGGGTGTATTTTTGCTGCCCTCCAAGCTAATTACAGCATTTCACATAAAAATGACAAATCATGTCTTTCAGTGCAACAAATACCAGGAACGAATCAAGGACATCAAGTCTGGTAAGATAATGATTTTTTACAATGAGTATAGGCTGGCTACTCTGCTTGGCATTTCTTTATGGATAGCATTTTATATCCCTGGACTGGCCACTTGCTTTGACAACTCAGCAGTCTTCTTTAAAACTTTCTCCCGACCTGCCCCTGGGATTTGGTTATCAATGTAAGCATTTCAGACCCTAAAGTTTGGCTGTTTTTTCAATGCTAAAGCTATCTTTTTCAAAATTTTCTTTTTAGCCTCAAACCATGTCACTCCAGAGGAAAAGGATAAGGTTAGACAACTGAATTTGTTAGTAATTTGTGTCTATAATGATGTTTGACAAATGGTTATTATTTTCAAGTACTTTTGTCTCAGTGAACTTGCTTTTACTTTGAATCTTCAGATCTACAAAGAACACAAACTATATGTTCAGTCCTGGAGAAAAAGAAAGAGAATGGTAGGAAAGTGGTTTATCTCACTGGTGATATCTATGATTAAATTTAGGTGATTTTCCATTATTATGTACGCCTCATTGTTTACTTTGTATTGCAATTCTGTATATTTTCCTCTTCAGGCAACTGAAATTTTAAATAGCATCCTAGAGGGATATCCCAAGCCAAAGAAACAACTCTTTGTAAGTGCCATTCAGTGACAAATAGTCTGTGCTGCGTGCAGACAAAATTTACTGCTGTTAATTAACGACCGCATCACAGAGCATGGTTATTACGGGCACAGCAAGTTCAGTCCAGAAAACATTAGTGACTATCTTTTTGCTACAAATATTTAATTACAAGAATTAAAGTAAATTTAATAAATAGTTTGAAATTACTAGAGAGGAGAGGTGTGATGTCACATCACCATGGTAGCAAAATGTTTGGATAGCAACAAAAGGGAGCTTGGGCAACAAAGACGGCGACAGCAAGAAAAACGGCAAGAAAAGCAATAAGTTTATAATGTAAAACGGCAACTTTGCACGCACATCACGCTTTTTTGCACATTTTTTAGCGATCGTTGCACAACATGAAACTTTCTAATTATTTCACATGAACACATCATAGAAAATTTCACCAACATTTGACAAATTAAATGAAGTTGAATGAGATAAATGAAGCTTGAAACAGTGCGACTTTACTTTTTATGTGAATTTTCGGTTTGTTGTCATGCAAATTTTGCTACCATGGCAATGTGACATAACGACTTCTCCTCTCTCCGGATGGTAGCACAGATAAACAAATTGAGGGAGGAGGTGAGGTAGCGAGCAATCTCTCCACAATTCAAGCTTCAACTTGATGTTGTAACACTGCTCGCATTTTGAGTCTGAAGGCATACATCTATAACTCTTCACACCTCTTCTCACTTCTTCGTGGGAGTTCAACTGTTCAAATGTACAGGTACTGAACAGAGGTACCAGTAATAATGGTAACTGGGCCTAATTGTTTTGACCATGGCAGGATTAGCTCAGTTGGTAGAGCTCTTGACTGCAGAGCGGGAGGTCGCGAGTTCAATTCCCGGGATTGGACCAACACTCAGGGTCTTAAAATTACTGAGAAATGGAGGTACTGCCTTTTCCCTGCAAATGGCTAGACCTACGTGTGGCACGGATGACCAGGTAAAATGGCAGTCCCATCTCCAGTAGGAGACGTAAAAATATAGTGTCCCCAGTTAGTGCTTTCATGCTAAATACATTGACACTCAAATAAAGTGCATTTTTTTGTTCAAAACATGAATAACACTATCCACAGGATAAATCTCTATCCGGTGGATAACACAGTTGGTTTCCCTAGAAGTTATTTGCTGGATAGTGATTTATCTGGTGCAACAACCCAGGCCTGGAGTTCATCCATTCAGAACTAAATGTATTTTGAACTTCTTTTTGAACTAAAGGTTTGTTTCCTTACTGAAACTTTCTATACTGTGATCGCTATTTTTAAGACCATTTCCTTGCCTTTCAGGAGGACATTGGTATCGAAACGGATGAAGAGTATGGTGCAGTTATACCTAGCACTTAAAATGATATGTTTGCAGTAAAAATCACCCAAATAGGCTGTTATTGATTTCTAAAAGAAAACATCCACATTTAAACTTTGACTCATGCTCTAAAGGAGTGGGAAAACAAAAATAAAACTTACAAGCACCTGCACAATAATATTTTTGTTTTATACATTACTGAAATGAAAATAACCTCATAAAACAAACAGATCAGCACCACATTACAAGTTGCCCTTGTTATACCTTTATTAACCATATTTAACACTTAATTGAAATGAAAATGTTGTTTCCTTGGTTTTAAGAGGATATGTCCCTGATTTGGTACTTCTTTGACAGGAAATGCTAATATGTATATGACAAACCCCTACATTCTGGCAACTTTTTTGCTGCTTTTTGCATTGTTTGTACCCAAAAATATTTGCACAGGTATATATTATTTTTAGTTTCTGATGGAATGTTTGTAAGCCCCAAGAGAAATTATAATATTAAAATGCAACATTTGGTCAGCAAACAAAGAATATTATGGAAATGTGAAGATAGAGAATAATAATGACATTCTTTGCCCTGGTTATAGTAAAATATATGAAATAGTACCTGACATTATGTACCCTATTAGGAGCAGCGTGCAAAGAAAGCCCTGTCCAATAGCCCGGGACTAGTGGATTTTGCTATCGGGCTAATGATTTTTGTTCTTAACTTGCCTGATGGGCAAGTACTGTTTTTTGGGGAAATTCAAATTACAATCCTGCTAATCAAAAAGGGTTTTGGGGCTAGTTGAAATGACTTGTTGGTTAGTACATGCTAGCTACAGCTTGCCCAAATGGCAGGCTGTAAAACGGACTTTCTTTGCACCCTGAGGAATATACAATGGTCTATCCAAAAGTGGCAAGTTTTGCAAAATTTTATCCAAGTTTCAAATTAAACATTTAATGAGTCTTTGAATATCAAGGATATTCAACCACCTTGAAATTTTAATTTATTTTGGTTTGCACTATCTTGTTTATACCTATGCAAGATACTGTACATTTGTCCAAGCAAATTTCAGCAGGCAGCTTTGCAATACAACAAGTTTAAATTCACAAGTATCTTGAAAGGATAGAATAGTGCTCACACTCTAATCCCTTTCAAAATTTTAGTTACATTTTGAAGAAGGATTTGTTTCAAAACTTTTCAGCTCTTAGAGTTTCAGTAACTCGAGCTCGATTTCCCTCACAAAAAGTGTAACATCTTGGCCTGCAATTTGATGAAAAAGGATAAGTCCTCTCATCCTTGGATTTTAAAACGAGAGTTTCACAGTCTCACCAAGTCTGGGATTTCCCATTCTATACATAACCCTCCCATTATAACAGTGGCATAATCTTACATATTTTTTAGAAATCACACGCTGGGCACCCTAGATTTTACAGGTTCAAAGCACTGGGCTACTTTCAAGTTTCCCTCAAGCACAGCCTTGTGTAGTATCATTCATATCTATATGTTACTCACTCACTGCTTTTGAACCAAAATGTAAAGTTATCCCTTTCAGGTCTGCCACTAAGGGTTGGGTTGGCTACAAGCATTACTGGCTACTGTCACAGGAAACAAAAGAAAAACAAAGAAACAAACTTCCTAGCTGCTTAATTTCCCACATGAAATCTGGGTGACAGCCCTACCGTTAAAATATTTCAGTAAAAAATCTCAATACAGTACTTTCCAAAGTTACAAATAATATTGCTTGTCACAACTTATAAATCCACCATTATGTCTCCGCATAACATTATTGTAAGTGTTTGTTTACACAGCAAAAGGATGCAGTTAAATATGTCCTTGTCTGGAGAATTGCAATTACATGTATAAAGTTCTGGTTTCTTAACTAAATATTACAATTTACTGTTATTATTTAAGCATTAGCTGCTCTAGAAACCTTATTATTGATGGCTCCAAAAAAATGAAATTCCTCAAGCTGAAAACATAACTTTACACTACAGTAATGTGCATTCCAAAAAAACCCTTGACGCTTTCTAAAGTGACAAGCATCAAATCAAAAGATTAAATATCAGTGGTGTAATAATAGAAGCCTGGAAAAACTCAGAAGTAATTACATGATCATCGTTTAAGGTGATATTTCCTCATGCTTAAATTCTTAAAAGCCCAAATGATACAAAAAATATATTATTATTAAGATGCAAAAGAACACTTTTAAAGAACTGCTAGATGACCTAAACATACTGTTAGCATTTTCAACCACAATCTTAAAAGTTAGAACCCAAATATATTATGTTTCCAAAACCGTCTGTGTCAGTAATAGGGATAATTAACGGTAATAATAGAATCATTAAAATCAGCAATGACGTGAAGAATAGATTAGATTTAAGAGCTAATTAATTGGTTTCCCAAACATAGTCCAATAGCTTCATGACATTTTCATAGAAAGTGAACACAAAGGCCACATCAAAACAAACTCTGCCAAGCCGGGGCACTGTTCCCTTGTAAAATCTGTGGAAAGAAATGTAAATGTAGACATTTTTATTCAAAATGTTTCCTAAATGGGTATTTCTTGGTGCTGAAGAGACGGTTCCTGTTGGGTTTTGTTCTTTTATTTTGTCATGTGGTTATAGATATACCCCTTCTTCACCTTGACTTATTTTTAATTTTCATTTTCCACTCATCAGAATTGGTGCAAGGGTGGTGCAGTGGCTGACTTGTCCCCAGTCATCCCTCTCCGTCTCTCCTTAGTGGTGCGAGGGGTGTGATGGGAAGCAGGAAAGCAAAGGAGAGAGAGGACTTCCTCCCTTTTTCCTTCCCACCACCCCCTGCTCCTGCTGCACGCATTACGTGAAGACAACTGGGTAGAGTCAGGTGCAGTGGTGGCACACTTGCCTCCCACTAATGTGACCCAGGTTCAAATCCCGGTGTCGATGCCACATGTTGGTTGAGTTTGTTGTTGGTTCTCTCCTTTGCACCGAGAGGTTTTTCTCCAGGTACTCTGATTTTCCCCTCTCCTTAAAAACCAACACTTCCAAATTCCATTTCGATCTCGAATGCAGGGACATTTTTAAACGAGTTCTTAAGGACTCTTAATAGCTTTGTGGGTAAACAAGGTAAATAACGATATTACAAGCTAAGGTGGTATTGGCTCCTCCTTAATAAAGAAAATTTTATGCCTTGTAGTTATTACAGTAAGTAGTACATTTATTGTTGAAAAAGTATAATTTAAACCAAGAATAACTATAATAATTTACTTACGCCTTGAGCCCTTCATTTCGTATGATTCTCATCACACAGTCTAGGGTGTTCTTGTATTTGTGTGCTTCAAGACCCTTTACGAAAAAAGGAAAAATGTACTGTTAAAACTCTTTACAATGGCCATCAAGTAGAGTTAGGAAAATGAATAATGAAATAACATATTCTACCTTCATTTCTAGATCTTAGAAGGCATTGAATGCCAGAAATGTGGTTTTGAGAGTTTTACTGGTATTTGTATTTGGAATACGCTTAATCAACTGATTAGGGGTACTGCTTACCCAAGTAGCCACGCCCCTTTCATATAAAAATAGGGAAGGGATAGGAGGGATTTTGTTACCTACCTGCATTCTTGTTTTGACAACATCAACTGGTGTGTTACCAAACACACTAGCTGCTCCAGCTATCCCACCAATGATGAATGTACGTATGGAACCAATGTCTTTAGATGGGTCTCCACCTTGAAGGTAATTCTTCAGATTGGAGTACACAAAAAACCGGATCATTTGATTGGTTCCTTGTTTTATGACGGTTGCTGTTAACCCTTTGTACACTCCACCAAGCCCTGTCGAGACATTTTACTGGATATTAGTGTATTTTATTTTTCAGCTAGTTAGGCCTTCCAAAGGGGTAGAAGCAGCAAGCAACATGGCCCGAAAACTGGCGACAATCCTCTCAGAAGGCACCAACAATTGACAGAAAAGGAGGAAAGAATTGTGACAGCAACAATCCATGTTTTAAGAAGTAGTAAATTTTATGGTTCAGGAAGACAATGAACTTTGTTTTAATCCTTGAAAGTTCCAAGAGAGACCAACGTCAATTTTTCTTAACACTATTTTATTTAATACATCATCAGGAGAAATTAGGGAAATATGGGAGATAATGAAATGAACATCAAGGGGAAATGCTTTGATCATTTATCAAATTATCACAACTAAATTCTTCATGGAAATAAAGCAGATCAGTTGGGAGATTTTTATGTGGATATTGGGGGTTGAAGGGCTCAATAATATGGACACCTCTCCAAAGATGGACACTTAATGCTTTTGATTCCCCCCAAGGCCTAGCCTGAATTTGAGATGATTGCTTTGAGTCATTTTCTCTTCTCAGCAACATCTAAATCCACCGGCCATTAATGTATATTTATTTCATTGCATGATTGCGATCAAGTTTGATTCTGGAGTTTGATTATTGAATTAGAACTGGTTCAGAGTACTGCAGGCAGTTGACAGTTTGAACGTTAAACATGAATTATGATCGAAAAGAGTAAAGCAATTCTCTATCATGTAGACATTTCCCAGTGATATTTCTTGGTTTTCCAGTTTAAAATCATGTTTTACTTTTTTCATGAATTGAAGCATAGGAGTAGCACTACTTGATGTCACTGGACGGCATTAACTGCTGCTTGATTCAGACATTACTGAGGGAGCGCAAATGACTCAAAGTTCTCCTACGAAATTCAGGCTACCCAAGGCCAAGTGCTCTTAGGAAAATTGAAGGGTGCCCAGCATGTGATTTGTATGAAAAACTATGATTTCCTAGTCGCCCAAGAGCAAATCTGGGCACCAGGGGCCACTGGGCTCTGCTAGAGCAGTCAGCCTAGGCATCTCAGAATCCATTTATAGACAAATGACCATAACTTATTGTAAAAGGTTTACACCTCTACTGATAGTTTACCTTCTTGTCTTACTATTGTCCCAACGCCACTGAAAAAACCTTTATACTTTGGGTTTGGCTGGGTCTGATCGTGAATGAATTTGACCTTGACAGTCTCCATTGGACAAACAATGACCACTGCTTCCATTACCCCTGCTCCTAACCCGCACGTTAGTGTCTGCATTTGCGTAAGTTTTCCCTTATCATCCATCATGTTATTTTTCAGATACTCAAATGTCGCAAATCTGCAGAAAAAAAATGTTCAGAAAGATTTCAGGACCATAGCTAGAATGAGGAAGGATGAGCGATTTGCCTTACATGTACAATGTAAAGCCTCTGTATGGATATTTGTGGCAAAATCAAAGTTGTGGCAATCATCATTGATGAAGTGACAATCTTTGAGATTTAATTTAAGTGTTGATCACATTGCCATTTCAGTCAAAGTTGACAAATTATGTTAGTCGGGCAATGACGGCATTGAAACCTGCCAAAAAGTGTACTGTACGTTCAGAGTTTTTCTTTTGATCAAGTTCTCATTTCCGTCGTCATTGGGTTGCACTGAACTCACTAGTAATCACCACGCAAACATTATTATTGAAATATGATGCCTGCCTGAAAAACCTCATTGCATCTAGGATTTTTACCAATATGTTAAGTACTGTTGGACAAAATAACGATGACAGGCCTGTGCAATTCATGCATGTTTTAGCAATATTATTCTACAAGTTCACTGTGAAAAATATGTCTTTCTAGAGTGTTATTTGACTGCTCTTGAATGCCAACATTGTTTATAAGGGTTGCTTCTCTAGAGAGAAAGGTTAAGGGGGAGAATCAAATGTGGCACACTGTCTCATAACTCGGGACTTAATTGTTCAACAAATCTGGTAATTCTACCAGCCTCCAAATTTCATATTCTTGTTAAAATATTAAATATTTTAACAAGAATATGAAATTTTAACACCTTACCTTACAGATGCTTTTGGTATTGAGCCATACAAAAGTGAACTTAGACCTCTGTAGAGACCAAAAAAGCCATGACCCCTTACAGTTTTAACGGCACAATCAACAGGACCCTTGTAAACAGGTTTGGCAGCTCGCTCATCAAGCTGTATTTGTGTTTTAACATATTCAGTGGGAAAGGTGCAGCAGATTTCCAGCCCACCAGCAATTCCACCTGTTTGACAATAACATACAGTGTCGGCATTTTATGAATACAGGGAAAATTGGTCTTATAACCCTTTACGCCCCAAGATCTGAATACAAATTCTCCAGACTCATCTCCATACATTTCTTTAAAGAATAGTTGAGAGAACTTGGTAAAACATTTTCCCTTTGTTAATCAATTGAGTAATTCTCATAATGTTTACTTTTGATGATCTGCTAATGTTGTTAGGAGAAAATTGATGTTGGTCTCTCTTGGGGCCTAAAGGGTTAATCCTTGTTGCCTGAAATGCCAGTATTGACCGCACGATAGTGAGATAGCGAAGTCAATAAATCAAGGCCAATGTCTGAGATTACCCTGTAATCACTGAACAGAAGAAGTTAATAAGTTATTTATAAGACTACAATGAGAGTAGAACTTAGTAATTTTCAACATCCACTTTTGTGCAGAAGAGGTCACCTGGCAATGCAATCAAAACCAAAAGACAAAGTTTCTTTCACAATGAATTTTTGTCTTTACTACATTATTTGTATGTTAAGCTTTTACAAAGCTTTTATTCACAACTCAAAAGGAAAGATGCCAAGAAAAATGTTCATAATGCCTGGTCATTGCAAGAAAATCTTGTAGCAGCCAATCAGTGATAACAATTTTTATCTGTATGCAATTACCAACTGATGACCTTGACTGGCCTTTTGTCAATGAGGCATAAAAGGGAACAAAAATGATTTACGTAGAAAACACAGTTAATTCTGATTGGTTGTATGTGTGGATATCAAATATCCTGACTATTGCTGACTAATAGGGTTCAGGTTTCTTTTTCCTAACAAGAGAAACATCGCCAGTCACGCGAGAACAAAATATTGGGAAACGTACATGACACACCCCCAATACTCCCACTAGGGAATTCACTGGATTTCATCATGCAAAATGAGAAAACTAGAGTTCTTGAAGACAGCAGATTTAGTATTGAAGCTTTAAAATGTTAGTTTCATTCAAAGGGTAGAAGAAAAATAAGTTCAAACATCGATCGAGAAATCTTACAGTACTGTCAATCGTAGAGAGAGCGTTCGAAGGCTTCTCAGCAGAACAAGAGGAGTTCGTACACTAATTGCTCAAACAGAATCACGCCACGTGAAAAGATCAGTTTAAAATCTTCTGAATCTTATCCTGTTCTCATAAACTCTAAATAGCTAATCTAACATTTCTTCTCGAAATAGTATGGCTTTGTAAACAAGAATTCTATCGACGTGATTCATACTCGCCCGGCCACAATATTGTTGACAAAACTGACCTTTGTACTCAATCGGGCAAACGACGTGGATTTTATTACAAACGAGAAAGCTGAATCATTGTGTGACATTTTTTAATATCCAAGATAAGTTCACGATCTAAATAATTCACTCTTGGGTTTTAAAGTTAAGATGACATTACGCATCGCTTACGATCGAAGTGTACGAAATTCCGCTATGATAAACCACGACACGTAGTATCGCGCGCTACAATATTTTATCGATATTTAGGCCGAAGAGAAAGGCAAAAAATATACAAATATTTAGCTCCTAAGACGTCAATATAGAACAATAGTCTGTAAAAGGAATCACTCGTCATTTATAGCCAGTTCTTACCTGCGAGAATAGCTTTGCCTGGATGGCGTTTTCCTTTACCTCCGCCCGCTGGACTCGCGCAAAAATATTTTCTTCGATAGAACGTCGCTGGATCGGGTGTTGCAGCTAAAGCACCGCGAGAACAGCTCTCCAATGAAGGCATTTTGTAAGTCCGTTAAGCTTTAGGAAACAGTTTTTTTTAACTATTTCAAAAAAGGTTTTAAAACGGTCAAAATAGAGCTTTATTTAGTCCACGTGAACCAGCGAACGTGTCCAACGAAATGGTGTTGGACGTAGTTCAAGTGGTCTGGTTATGACCCACAGAACGCGCATATGATTGGCCAATCTGTTGAGCTATTGTTCTGCCAAGGCTAGTTAAAAAACAAAATTCTTTGAAACTGATTGTCATTGGGATCGGGAGTTAACGAAGCGAAATATCAGAGCAAAAACAAAATATCTCATGGCAACAACAACAACAAAAATAAACAGGAACTCACGGCAAAATCAAAAACCCAACGGGGAAAACAAAAACCTCAGGGCAAAAAAAGAAAGAAAGAAAGAGAAAATTTTCTTGGAGCCCAGTAAGTGCCATGCAAATTTTGCGCTCGATCTTTTTTCTTGTCTTTAAGTTTTTTCCCGAATTTTTTCTCGACTTAAAGTATCTTTCCCGACATTTTTCTCGTCTTTATAAAGTTTTTTTCTCGATTTTTTTCTCGACTTTTTTCCCGACTTTTTTTCCCGACCTTTTTTCCGACTTTTTTTTTCGACTTTTTTCACAGCTTATCAGATGCATCAAAGGCTCGAGCTCATTCATAGGTAGAAGTGCTTAGAGACATGGCCTGGTTTGATTCTTGGCTTGGTAACTATTTTATTTATCCGTAGTAGACTGTTGCACAATCAGCTATTGACTATCAATAGCAATCAATGAAAATCAATAACGCTTAGACGCATCGGCGAGTGATTATCGATTTTTATTGATTGGCTAAGCCAAGCAATATTAATCAAGAGATTTTAATTGATTTTTATTGATATCATTGATTGAAATCAATGATTGATTTTTATTGATCGTTGTCGTCTGGGAAAGGCGGGGAGCTCCCCATGTGACCATCACTGGCCAATTCCTTGAATAAACTCTGTCTAACACATGGTCTAAGAGCAAAGAAGGGCATCTCGGTACAAAAATCGAAATTCAGACCAAAGCTTAAACATGTTTAACACGTAGATATTATATTGGATTTTGCCCTTGAGTGGAATTAAAAATGACTGAAACGCGCCGATTTATTTTTACCGCTGAGAAAGTACCCTCTTGTGAAGGTTTGGGGGCGGGAAGAGGAGGCGCGTGAATCGGTTTTGGGAACTGTCGACTCCCGCTAACTCCAACCCTCCGGCGCTAAGTCGAACCTCGCGCTATTAAACTCGAACCAAAATCGATTTTTCCTTGATTTCCCCATACATTTACTGTAACTTTACCCTCGCTAACTCGAACCTCCCCCTAACCCCCGGGGGGAGGGTACTTGGGTTAATTTTTGATGGGTATGTGCCGCTGGCCTCTTAGAGCTCCTACCCTATTATAGTCTATTCTGTAGCCAATCATAGACCCCATCTTAGTCCCTTTTGGGCAAGTATGTAATTTTCGCGATCCCAACTTAGTCACTTTCTATTTTTGTATCTACGTTATCAATCCTTTAAATAGGTGATCCTAAAATGAGTTGACCCACTTTTCACCTACAGTACAAACAACATAACATTCTAGTACGTTTGCTAACCGTAAATGTGAAGAACTGTCTTACCCCAAAAAATCCGGAAATGTGCGACCCCATTCTAGTAACTCTCTTGAAAATGCGACCCCATTGGAGTCAATTCAGTCGTGAAATGCGACCCCATCCAGCGGCACATCCCCATTGGCCTCTTACAAGGAAGTACCCCCCACCCGGGCATCTAACTGAAGTAATTTTTCTTTTACCTCAGATCATTGCTAAATGATTTTACCCTTGATAACTCGAACCATGTTTTGAGCGCTTAAAAAGTCGAGTAAAAACGGTGTACTAGCAAAATAACCGAAATATTGAATTTGAATTTCCCATTTACGTGTTGTAGGCCCAGTGGAGGCTGATTTTATTTATCACAAAATCTAACGTGAACAGCTTTTCTTCTCAAAACAGTAAAAAGCATGCTCTATTTAGGTTATATTTTGTTACATAAAATGTATTCGCGGGCTACTCAATTTGTCGCTCTGCGAATTTGTTAAGACGAGTTTTTGATTTGCGCTCGCCGTCATCAATGCCGTCAAGTTGTCTTTGCTAAATCCGCCAATACAAGACAAGCGAATAAAAGGTGTTTATTTATTACTCAATCTGGCATAACATGTCCCTCGTTTATATACAAAAAGTTTTTATTGACACTGAGTTCTAGCGCTGAGTATCGAAAAGCGAGTGAATTCAACTTCCAATTTAAAGTTGAAACCGCCGTGTAAAGCTAGCACAATACTACAGATGCGCAATTTATTATATCCCCAAAGGATTGAACCTTTTTTGCGGGAACGAAACGGGGAATTCCGCGCGGGCAATTAGACTTGCCTATCATGTCTGCACGGGTAGCGAATTAGATAGAATACAGGATTTGCTTTATCGTGCCCACTCGCTTAAATTTCACTCATGGTCTGAAAAGTTAGAAACACTTTTTACAGCATAATAAACAGCACCACAGAAAAGTACTGCATTTGCTACATTTGAATGGTCACACTTGAGGATTTTGTCCATCGACTCAAAAGTTAGAACCATCTTGTGTATACAGCATGATAAACAATACCATAGAAAAATAAAACTGAGAGGCTTCCTTTAGAATAGTCACACTGCCTAAAGAATTTCATCCACAGACTCAAAAGTTAGACCCACCTTGTACATCATTGTACATAATAATAAGCATCACCACATGAAAGTAATGCTCAGTAGCTTTTATTGAATGGTTGACGGTTGGGATTTCATCCACAGTTGACAGTGATACGTACCAGATCTCTTGTTGACGAAGCTTCGTCAACAAGAGATCTCGGTAGGAGATTAGGTCATGTATAGTCTCTGAGGTGATACTCTGCAATGCGCTATTGACGCAGCTGTATCTGTTCCTAAATTTTAGTTGTTATTTCGAACTAATGACGTTTTTCTTCTGGCAATTAAATCCTTTGCATGCCTCTCCCTTGAGTCGAACAGGGACACAGACTAAACCCTTATGTATTCCAACAAGATAGCGGTGGAACTGACGTTTACTTCTGAGCTTGTTCTTTAAACCTTGGACGCATCTGAACCAGAAGCTCCCTGTGAACCGAAAGAAAGCAAGAGTTTTGTTGAGACGTTTAGTATTGGTGCCCGTCAACTGTTAAAATAAAGAATTTAACTGGGCAGAAAAGCAGTCCTTTACGATGATAGGCTCAAGCTCTCTATAGTATCAGTTGTCGATTCAATGTAAAACATGGTGTTTGCGGCTATACAGAAAGCTAAAGCTCTCTATTTTGAGTGGCGAGCAAAACGAGCTGGCCGCGATAGAACACGAGAGCGAGCAGCAGAGGAAACAGAGAGCTCTCCTTTCTTTCCCGCCCCTCGTTCTCGCACGTGCCACTCACGCATGACTGCTCACAATATTCTTTCAATGAATAGCCTGTTCCATGCGATCAGATAGTAGAGCGCGGGCGAAAAATTGACGAGGAAAAGAAAAAGGTGAGACTAGAGAGGGAAAAGCTTCAGTCTCCTCTCTTTTTTCCCCTCGTATTCCCCGCGTACGAGTAATTCGCTCCTCACCATCTGAACGCGGCGCCCTACTGTCTGGAACAGGCCACCAAATGAAGAGCTTGTTCGCAGGCTAGCTAAGTCCATAAACGGAAACTTCGACGTCTCTCATACTTAAGACTGATTTGTCTACACTATACTGAGATACTGGGATACTGAGCCTCTCATGTCGACTTGAACAATACCCGGCCCGATATGAACAGTTGTTCACATTGAATTGATAGCACAGGAACAAAAGATCCGATAGTTGGAGATCCACTTTCAAGATCGGCGCCCGGGGCCGCTTAGAGTCCTACCCCATTATAGTCTATTCTGTGGCCAATTGCAGACCCCATCTTAGTCACTTTTGGGCAAATATGTGGTTTGCGTGATCCCCAACTTAGTCACTTTCTATTTTTATGAATTGACCCATTTTTTAGAAGAACTTTTCTTCTGCAGTACAAACATTCTGGTACGTTTGCTAATCGTAAATATGAAGAACTGTCTTACTAAAAAATATCCGAAAATGTGCGCCCGCATTCTAGTAACTCTGTTGAAAATGCGACCCCATCCAGCGGCACACCCCCATTAGCCTCCTATAAGGAAGTACCCCCATCCCGGGGGATTGGCGTAACAGAAAACGCTTCGAAATCGCCGCACTTATGTGTGACTGTGAATAAAAGCTCTATCCGATATGGTTTTCATGCCGGCGCAAACCCTGTCCGGTATGGTCAGGGTGTGCCAAAACCTATGTCCGATTGTCCGGGACAGGTAGAAATTTAGTTCGGACATGTAAACCTTTGACATGACTTGTCCGTGGGACAAGCACATTTTTAATACAAAAAAATACAGGAACAGTTGAAAATCGACTTCAAATTACAGTAGAATTAAAATTTATCTTACTAATCATAAAAGCAAACCTCATGCTGGACGAAATAAGGTTAAAGAAATTCCCTTAACTTCGCGATTCTGCTGCCATTTCACTTGTTTTTACGTGCTCCGTTTGGCTCAGGAACCTAGTCTTAGTAATCAGGCCTGTTAAGACGTTACTGATATTATATTTAGGTTTAAGTCAAGAAAAATTTACAAGGCTAATAATGTGATTAAAAACGTTAAATGCCCTTTTTGAATTTTGAGCTTTTTGAGTTTTCTCTCACTCTAAATTAGTTTTGAGCAAAACTTTTTGGACAAGAAAACTCTTGTTGAACGTATTTTAGTATTTAAACGGTAGGACAACAAAATTTTTCATCTGTTCTCTAAATTAGTGATCGGACACAAAATTTCAGCATAATACAACAAAATGGGTAATAACGGCGGGAAAGGATACAACTTCAGCTAACAGATATTTTCTTGGAGGAAAAAAGGACTGTTATGAAGTAAGTGAGAAGGAGATTCTCTCACCTGTTGTTGAGTTCCCCACATGATATAATTAGCCTTTGTCGCCGCTTGGTATTCCTCTATTAACTGCTGGACAACCTCTCTGTAAAAAGATCCAACCTTAAAGCCTTTCTATAATCTTACGAGTACACAAAGTTAAATTTTACGAAACAAAAAATGCATTAAAGTGAAAGTATTACTACTTGAATTAAGATTTTAATTTGGTACATAAACTAAGGCCTGGTCGTTCTAAGTGATTACTATACCACTGATGTGATTTAAAGAAAAAAATTCGGACTAAGGATGCGCCGTGCAAGTACGCGACGAGGTAATTTCAGGGTTTGCAAGTAACCTACGGAAGATATATAATTACTGATAAATAATCCGTGTGAACAGAGCGAAAATGTTTAGCAGTCGCGTGTGAACAAAGTGTCCAATTTTTTTCAGCCGTCGAATTTTGACCGGTGCCATTTGAACGTGGCCTTAGATTAGCAAAACAACAAATGTTGCACGTGCATCACGCTTTTTTGTACATTTCTTTGCCGTCACTGCACGACTACGACGTGAAAATGCCTAATTTCTTGTTTTATAGAGGGCATAAATATTTTCTTTCTCTTTCTGAACTTGGATATAGTTCTTAGGAATTCAACTTCAGGAGGATTCGCCTACAAAATAAAGTCAGTTGAAGTAATCGCAAAGAAGATTAAAGGAATTTGAATGAATTTTTTCAGCGTCGTTGTCACTGCCGTCGCCGTCCTCGCTCCCTGTTGACGCAGAGAATGAATCCACCGAATCTCATGTAATCTTCGGGTAAAGTTGAGTTTACCAGAGTTGTAAACCTTGGAAATCAATTCTACCAATCCTGACTACAATGCTTTGAAATTTCGTGCGCAAACCGTGTTTTAACACCCTGGAAGTAATCCTACGTTTCAGTAAAGGTTCCCGTCATCTTTGGATGGGTACAGAACAAAACTATGACAAATAACTCACCTGGACGCATCAAATTCATCCAGGTTTTCCTTGAACATCTCCTCCTTTTTATAATTGTCCAGGAAAGCTTCTCTTTTACGCAGTTTATCAAATAATCGGCAACTCTTTTCAAAAACCTGTTGGGAAAAAAAAATCAGTGATTTATAATCGTACAGCCGTCTAATAGCCTGTCTGCGTTAATTAGCCGCACCTTCCTGCTCAAACAAGTTTGTTAAAGGCAAGGGAGTGGCTGTCCAAAGGCTATCGTCAAATGTGTACAGAACTACTGTTCTTCAAAAAAGTTACTATACATCAATGAATACTTAAAAATGTTAACAAAGTCGTGAATAACTTTCGCGGTTTCCAAAAAATTTCGAATTTCAAGGGGCACGTCAAGCCACTCGTAAGGAAAGCACAGCATTATTTTTAGCATTTTTTTAAGACGTGAGAACTTGCAAGTCGCAATCCCCAGTTTTCATTGTCTTTGTACATGGAGAAAGGTAACAATAAAAAAGTTTCATTGTGTAGTGGAGTGATTTTTGTACAAAACAGGAACATTTTAGGCCAGGTTCAGACGCCGAACTTTTCGTAAGCCGAACCTTATTCGAATTAAGGCCGACCCTAATTATTTAGACCGGCTGAACTGATTCAGACGGCGATCTTAATTCCAGCCCAACTAAATTCAAAAGGAGAAAAAACATTCATTTCGGTCAAACTACTTACAATAACCTATGCATTTGGTTCGGGACGTGAAAGTTTCAACGATTGACCGAATCAAAGCCGTTCCAAAGTCGAAATTCCCTTCCGGGTTAGGCGGGAAAAAAGGCTTAGCCGATCCAAATTGAGATAGCCGTTCCTGATTGATTCTTAATTCAATGTATTTGGTTCGGCTCGTGAAAAGTTCGGCGTCTGAACCGGGCCTAGACAATATGTTTGTTGTTTGAAAACACATCTTTAAGATTTTCCATTCTCTTCAGAGTGCCGCTGCCCCTTTTAACAACCTGCGAAAAACGTTCTCGAGAACGCTAACGACACAAACTGAATTTCTTTTCCTCACATAGTCAATTAAAGAAATTGGTGCCATTATACTACAAAACTATAAAAGCTTTGAACCCAACAGTCATTTCTTAAGCAGGGGGGACATGATCTTTCAAGTGAGCGTAGTCCTGAAAAGGACTGTCGCGATGTTATTGGTCGTTTCGCCCACGAGTTTCGCTAACGTCCCGTTCGCTAGCGTCTTATGTCGTTTCGCTTAGAATCGAAACAAGCGCTGCGCATGTGTATGCCTCGTTCGCTGAGCCATGATACAAAAAAGTGTGATGCGCATGTATAAAAATCGTTTTTTCAGCCACTGATCACGCGAAAGCAATTACGGAAATGACCCAACACATACGCGAAACGACTTCAGAGGTTATCAAACAGGGGCCGGTTGCTCGAAGCCTGGTTAGTGCTAACCGTTGGTTAAGAGGTATCAAAATGTATAGGTTTCCATGGTATTTAACGCTGGTTAACACTAACCATGCTTCGAGCAACCCGGGCCAGGACGTTGGCGAAACGTCCGACAAAAAACCTCGGGAGGTTATTGGTCGTCTGTCAGTTAAGCCGTGATGTTATTGGCTATGAAAACTCTTAAATGACATTGGTGCGTTTGGATCCGTCTTTCGTAACAGTTGGACAGTCGTTTATTGTTAGTCAAATTGTCAACTGTCCAGTCGCTTAGGACAAAACTTGAGATCAGGCTCTATTTTCGTTTTTAGAGCGACCACGTAAGAAAGAAGAAGCTTGATCTCTCTGGGCCTGATCTCAGGTTACTTAGGACAAAGCAACTTAACTGGCCAAACAGGTCAATAAGAGTGTTTAAGGCCATTTTGGTCAAAGTGATACAGCTCACTTTGACTCTGAAGTTGACTACCGCACAGGTTGACGAATCATCAGTCACTGTCAACAACAGTCCTATTCAGGACTATGTTCACTCGGATGATCATGCTCCACATACTTATTATACTAACTTACAGTTGCTATGCTGGTGTGATTGGCTAACATCAGACCACTCACTCTATGTGCTGTTTGCACATATGGCGACTTTCTGGACAGAGCAACCTACAGAGGGTGACAATATTATCAAACATTACCAACAATCAAACCACAACTCGTAAGCAACTAAAAATGCATTCAAAATTTAAATAATCAGTGTAATGAAATCTAGTGGGGTATACTTGATAAGTTTCAACTGGAAGCCAGTTAAAAGGGGCGATTTTGTAAGGATACTGCTGTTTTAGTTCAATTCTGTGCGGTTTACGCTGTCACGTCGCCAGAAAGTCATCTCGCGCGAAGTTATGTCGCCCGAAACTTTTAGTCAAGTCGCCCGAAATTTTATCATGCTCAACAACATCCAAACATGTTAATCGCGCCTGTTTCGTTTCATCAAATCTTTAAGAAAAAGATATATTACTCATTTATCCCACTTGTTTCATCTCATCACCGCACACAGAACGAGATCGGTTGCACATTCATCTTGCTTGCTTCGTCTCATCATAGAATCATAGCTTAAAGAACGAGACTATACTACTCAATTATCCTGCTTGTTTCGTTTCACTAAGGCTTAAAGAACGAGATATGTTACACACACTCTTTATTAAAATCTTAACTAAAAACTTCGGGCGACATGACTTTCGGGTGACTTAACTAAAAACGCTTTAAAGCTCACTTGCCCAATGGGTCCAGACATGTCGTCCTCCAACTGAAGCATTTGGGAGCTTAAGCAACAACAACGGCGACGGCTACCAAAACGTCACTTAACAAATGAATTCGCGCTGCCTCAAACTTTATCGCGCTTATTCCATCTCATTTAACTCGTCAAATGTTGGCAAATTTTTTTGGAGTTGAATTCTAAAGGACTGTATCAAAGTTCAGGAAAAGAAAAGGAAAGTTGTTGTCTTGTGTTCCCGTCCTCGAGAAAACGTGAAATTAGGCACTTTCACGTTGTGGTCGTGCAACGACGGCGAAGAAATGTACAAAAAAGCTTGATGCACGTGCAAAGTTGTTGTTTTGCCAATAAAAGCTATCGCTTTTTTGCCGTTCTCGTTGCTGTCGCCGTCGTCGTTGTTTAAGCTCCATATTAGCTAAGACAACTAAGTAGTTGCCCCGGGCGAGAAAAACGTGCGGGGTGATTGCCCGAAGGACAAGCTGGAATTCAAGTTTTTTTTAAGTACTGCTTTAACCCCTTTGTACTGTAAAAGGCACTTGGTCTATTAGATTAGTGCTGTGTTCAAACCTGTATACTGGCCGGGCCCCAAGGAATAAACTCCGCAAGTTTTCTCTCCCTGATGCGCTGAAGACTTTTATGAACCTAAATCACAAAAATACAAGAATATCAGCCAGATGACTCACACACTCACTTGCATTTTCTCAAATTCATTAAACCAACTAATGCAACAACTCAGTTTTATCCTGACGAGAAACTCTCCACAAAAAAACAACCTTGGACAGCTTTGGATAATCTTATTAAGTTCTCTTCAAGTATCTGTCATTATATTGATTGAAAAAGATAAGAAAAAAAAACTATGTTGCAACCGTCTGCGAGTCAAAGTGACTCCCTTGTAACCTCAGTGGAGTCATCTTAAAAACATTGCCGTAAAATACGCCATATTTGGCGTATTTGCAAACCCTCAGAAGATAACCTCGCCTGTCTTTTTTAGAAATAAAATATTTTCCAGCTGATAGGTAAAGGTGTTTTTCGTGGTTAAGTTGCAAATCCCTGGTTCCTCCTCTTCTTCTTCCATTGATTATTATTATTATTATTATTAATTGTTTAATGAAGCTACAACCATCCACAAGTTAGCTTTCGTTTTCCCTAAACTCCTACTACTGATGCCCTAGGTAACGCTCCAAGATAATCTTGATTCAATTAGAGAATGAACTGTAACACACCTGGGTGGGGTCGACTTCACCTTGGATTATGTTCAAAATAGAGATATAGCAGTGGGTATGTTTTCTGTCTCGCAAGGTTGAAACCATTACATTCTTCGGCTAAAAAGGACAAAGACAGTGATAGTTTTGAAGTAAGCAAAGATGTATCCTCACAAAGTTTCAAAATTTACAGACTTTTATACAGTGGTGGTGGTGGTGGGGGCAAAGAGGGATGGCACAGGTCAAACTTTCTTTATCCCAGGGCTGGAAGACAGAGGTACTCGAGAATCAACATATATAGATTAAATCATTATTAATTAACCTGAAATCCCATTTCACCCATAACATACTCACATCTGTAAAATTTCGTGATTTTGCAGAGCTGTATCTTTAAACAAATCACTCTCAAACTCGGCAACTTAATTGGGTGGTGTTGACTGACTTTTTCTATTTGGTCCACGTCAAATGTTAGAAAAACCAAGCAAGGGTCTAACATACTCACTTGCAAAAGCCTTCTCATGACGTCAAGAACTGTTGTTTTACGGATATTGGCAACCTAAAAAAAGAGAAAAAATAACAGATGTATTTTTTTTTTCTGTAAAACTTGAAAATTGCAACACCAAACAAGGAGACATTATGTCACACACAGATTTCAAAAAGCAGCACCTTTCTGACATTGCTGATACTAGCAGTACATAGGACACATGTCATATACAAATCTAGTAAGTGGCCTTGTAAAGGTTGATTGAGCCGGGCAATGCTCTAGCACGAGGAAGGAGGTATCCATGACAACCCTGCAAGCGGCCCCTACCAGGCACAGTCACACTGAACTGATAAGTGGAATCCTTACCGACTAATACTTACCTAGCCCTAAAATAAAGGGGGAGGGAGGGAGGGTTGGGAAAAACACAGCACAAAAATGGCAAGCAAGCAACAAGACTAAAGCAAAGACACTTTGCGAAGAACTGCAAGCAAGCAACTATGTATGTAAGCCACGAGGTGCCCCTGCTAGAGGCATCACGCCTCCCCAGCGCAGTTGGGAAAACTGCTGACCAGAATTTGTTTGAGGTTAAATTTTCCTAAATTACGCTAATTTTAGCCACATTCAAACCAAAAAATTGAACACGACTCATATAAACCATTACTCAATCATGTAGATACCTTTTGATCAGTAGTGAGAGGTGTGTAGCCTGTCATCAAAAAATGCAGTCGTGGAGTAGGAATGAGTGACGCAATCAGTCCAATCAAATCATTGTTCATATAACCTGAAAGAAGGTAAACAGACCACTTAGTGCTAATAACTGATTGATATTTTATTAAATACCGCTGGAAAGCAGCCTTTTTATTTGCCTGTTTTAAAATTAATGTTCTCTTAAAGTTTGCTGGGGTTTTATCACGTTTTAACACACACATAAAGAAATTAAAAGTTACTGGGTGCTGAGCAAGGTTTTAACCAGAAGGGTGTCCAGCAGTCCTATGGACGCCCATTTTTGGAAGAAGCACGAGGAAAATTCACTTAATCTCTTACAATTTTACGGCAAAACATGCCTTCTGGACAGCCAGTTTTTAATGTCTGGCTAAAAGCCTAGTGCTGAGAATCACAAGATTATTTTTCGAGCAAACTTTTTAATGCTTAAAAATTCTTACCTGGGTATCTTAGAGTTGTTGTACTTGTAGCCATTATAGTGGATACCTGGATTAAAAATATAAATAGTGGATATTAAATGGCCACACAGAGATAAGAAATTTCCGATCTTTTTGAGGCTAGTGAATTCTGTTTTTAATTGAAAAATATTTCATGAATTTGAATAACAGAAGAACTGTGAAACCAATTCTGCTGAATTTTGGGGCTAATTGAAATGAAGTCTGGGCTATTTTTGAGCTTCAGCTTGCCTCAATGGCAACCATCTAATGTTCTTTTGAGTTATAAAAATATTTCAAATAAAATACCAAAATATTTCACCATATAATTTTAAATACAAATGAAATACCAAAAAGCGCAACTTTAATTTTTTTTTGTAGCAAAAGTGCAATGGTGAACTTTTCAGATGTAGTTTTAAGATAATATGTCATAATTTCCACGTGAGAGTGAAGATATCATGTTTTAGCATAAAAGCTCTACTGGTATTTCAGTGGTGGTTATATAATAAGAAAATTTAACAAAATAAAAACCAAGTAAATAATGTTATAGAAGATTGAAAAATCTACCTACCAGTTGATTTACTTGGGAAAATGTTGGGTTTTGAATGTGTAGTCTGTCTGCAGCTATTCTGTTTAGGGCTGTGTTGTCAAGAACCACCTAAGAAATAAATTATAGTGCTCAACATTAAATCCAAAAGAGTTTGTACTTTACCTACAAGACAGTAGGACATAGAACTAAAATAATTCAGGGTTGTCACCACCAAGGGCTGGGGGCTGGGAATTTGCCTTGATATCACTACAAATGTTAGTTCTGGTTACTTTGATAGAAACCAGATATACTGACAATACCAGAAAATTTTGAAATTCCCTGTGACTTCTCCATTTCCTGGCCAACTTAAATTTAGTCACAGCCCTGATGATAGCTTGAGAAAACAGCTGACATTTCACAATGCGACCACTGGTTTCCCCACAAAATGACCTCTGAGAAATGAGTGCAGAAATTCTGTATTGATTATGCGATACTACCCAGATCTTGGTAGTGCTTCTGATTGGTTGTGCTGTGTGGGAACCCAGATCTGGGTAGAGTTGTATGTAATTTTTGTGCTCATTTCTCAGACATCATTTTGCAGGGAAACCAGTGATTGAGTCGCAAAATGCTGTCTGTTTTCTCAGCCTACCCTGATGTTTGTAATACATAAGTGCAAGGCACAATTACCTACCACACAATCTGCATTTTGAGTTAATCGCTTGAGTGTCAGTATGGAGTTATATGGCTGGACAACAACATCACTGAAGTCTTCCTACAAAACATAATGATACACTTTTTATGTTTGACAAGACCACAGCCAGTCTTAGTACCTTGTCTTAGTAATAATTGGACCCAACTCCTATGTTCCCTAGAGTAATTTCTAGTAAGAATCACGACATTAAGACCAGTACTCAAGTGCCTATTTCAAATGGGATTGCTCCCAGCATTAAATTGAGGGGAGTATAGGGACATACCGTGCCACACCTTATCTTAAAAATTAAGAGAGGAAAACATGAATAAACACCTACATGTATTATGTCAATTATTTCATTATGCTCTTCTCATTTGGGGCTATTCAGGTTATGAAACAAAATAATACTTCCAATGCAACTAACAAGTTTACAACCCCAGTTCTGGAAGATCAGACTTCAGGTTATTTCCAAACATGGCTGAGGGATTATAGTGAAGATTTGAAGCCAAGGTCACAGCATTGAAATCTAGCACTTTCAACTACTAACTAAAGCCATTTCACCCCCATTAATCTCGGCACAATGAGCCATTTTGTGTCCCTCTTACAAAACTATGCATTATGACATTGAATGAATGAAGACATTATCTAGACAAGTACAGTGGTCAATTCAATCTAAAATTAACAAAAGTTTAGCTTTGGTTATTTTACTACCTGTTGAGGAAACACCGAGTATGTTTGAATTAACTTCTTTGGAAACCTATTGAAAGAGAAAATATTAGGAAAATAAGTTGTCATTTTGTCAAAAATTAAAAAAAAAAATCATAAATTTTGATAAAAATTGTTTCTCTAAATAATTATTTCAGAATTGAGCCCATAACCCGTTCCACCAGCAATAGAATGGCAAGGCAAAAAAAAACATTGCATTGCCTATTAATTAATTTATACTAAAATGATATAAAATTAGGGCTCTTCCACTATAAATACCTGTCATTTTGATTTTTGTCCAGAAGATATGAAACCCATAAGCCAAAAAGACCCCAGTTGTTCCACCAGGCAAATAGAATGGCACATTATTTGTTAAAGTTTCCCTATTCGTAAACAAACATTCCGCCATCTTGCTATGACCACATAATTAATTTATACTAAAATAACAAAATGTTTTTGAAATTTTTGACTATTAAGTTCAAAAGTTATTAATATGTCCACAAATTAACATACAGTAAAAATATTGATGACTTTCATAAATTTCCTGGAATAAATTTTCATAAATTGCATAATCAATTAACCCATTGGCCCCTGGGAATTTCGCCAAAAAAAGTGTTTTGAAGCAAGTCAAGTGGTTTTCTGGTCACTGTCTGGCTATAAAGGGCTAAAATGTATCACAAAGATGTTAAAATGTCACACAGTTGGTGGTCTTCTTATCCAGATGCAAAATATTAGCTTGCAAAGTTCGGGCATGTTTTTTTAAAATTTCAAGATAGCTTTTGGGTCTAAAAATGACACAGCAGTCCTGACTTTTGCTTTTCTTGCATTTTTTTTCATTTTGTTGGGCATTTAGCAGGCTTCATTTCGGTGGGAAGAGTTTTTGGAAAAGTTTTTAGGATCTTGAGATTAGATGAAAAGAAAGGTACATGTAGGTGGGTAGTGGAACAAGATTTTTCATTGGAATTTTTGCGTCAACTTTACATAGGTCTTTGTCGGAATTGAATCGTACTCATTCTGGTATGGTTTGAAAGGTCTCTTCACCCTGCACAAGCTAGCCGACAAAGTTGTCCTTGACTGTTAAAACTGATGACATCACAAGCAGTGGAGAAGATGTGGGTCTGCATGGGCGGTTCAGAGACAAATGGGTGGAGTGACAGATCAAAACTTTTTCATTCACTGAATCTGACAGGGTGGTCAAAAAACTAGTGTAGTAATTCTCTGCAAGATTACCTCTAAACTATCACTTCCATCAGCCTCTCTATCAATGATATCAAAGGTTTCCTCATGGAGGCGTTCGGCCTGAAAATAAGAAAGGGGGATTGTGTTAGAAATATTACACCATCAGGATCAATAATTAATTAATAATAATAGTAATTCAGCAAAACTTCGTATAGACTGTTCACAGTTCTCCCTTTTTTCTCTGTGATTGTTTCAGTCACTGATTTCAAGAGATTACCACCTTCTTGATTTCACATGGTGGAGTAAATATGTGCCACTTCCTTGGGCTTGCTTGTCAAGAGCCAGATGTGATTCTAAATCATGTTTTGTTTGACATAAATTGTTTGTTTGAGATTTCTTTCAGCAGAATGCCTATACAGTACACCAGGCCCAAGTTGTTCAAATGTTAGATAGCACTATCCACTGGATAATAACTATCCAGTGCATAAGTACAGTATTGGGGAAAGAAGTTGTGCCATCCAGTAGATAGAGGTTTATCTAGTGGATAGTGTTATCCAACTTTTTAACAAACAGGGCCAGTTGAATCAGCCCACAGTAGAGCAACAAATCATTAACATTAATATTTTTACATTTGCTTGTAATAATTATCACAGTGTTATTAGTTTCAGAAACCTGTGAATATCCGCTGGCCCAGTTATTGCCCGCTCCCCCGCCATGTTTTGATGTGTACATATTCTCTGGATTATACAGATTTGCATATGGTGAAGATGTGATGGTATCAATAACCTGAAAGTAAAAAACAACAACACGAGCCATTGTAAAACATCTAAAACATCTTAGAATGTTATTAAGTTAGTAAAACACTTGCTTGACTAACAAAAATCTGCTTAGCTTTTGCAATAGCTATATCCTTGGATACCATTGTCAAACACACTGCAATACCTTGTGGAGGTAAAAAAAGGTAAAGGCGCACACGAGCCAAAGGCCTATATAGCTAGAGCTTGTCCTAGTTTCCTTAGCAGGAAGCATGCCTAGGAGTTTTGATACTTCCCTCTAGAAGGGATGCTAGTCCATTGCAGGACTACCCCCCAGCAGTATGTAGCTGTACCCATTTATACACCTGGGTGAAGAAAGACAAGGTGGAGTAAAGTTCTTTGTTTAAGGAAACAAGGCCACAGACAAGGCTCTACAGGGTTCTCAATAGATTTTTAAGTAGGAGGTGATCACTGATAAAGTAGGAGGCTCTTCAGCAAAGCCAGAGGTGTCAAAACAAAGCAAAGAAAAGCGACTTAAACACTAAGTAAGCGGCTATAAATCCCAAAGTAAGCGGCGATCAATCGCCGGGTGCCGCCTTCTATTGAGAACCCTGCTCTAACCCCTGGACCTCCAGATCTGGAGTTCAAGTTAACCACTCAGGTACACTTGCCTCCACAGTGCCTTGTGAAAGCTATTTTGAATTGACTGATAACCTGCATGTAATGTTTGCATTTTGTATGTACATGTATGTATGTTGTTTGATATGAGCATTTGTTTTTTTAGTTCATTGCATCACTTCCCCTGGTAATTATGATAAAATTATACACATTCAAGTCTTCTAAAAGTTTAATTTTCTCTAACTAATCCACCTTTCACTCACCCTTGGCTCCAGATCCAAAAGAACAGCTCTGGGAATGTAGTGCTCATCATCAGCCTAAATCAAAGTATGGAATAATTACTAGCAGTCTTAGACTTGTCCACAAGACAAGTTAAAAAAATTCCCCTCGGGTATTAAAGCACAAGCCGTAGATTTATATATATATTTTTTTGCAGGCTAATTCCCATAACCATAAATGAAATGCAAGGGACTTTGAGTCTTTAGCAGTCTCTCTATCTCCAGGGAGCCTTCTAGATCTTATTCTGTTACATTTAAACCTAGTCTGGTGGAGCAGGGACAGCTGTGGCCTGTTATCCATTTTACAAATGTGTAGAGATATAAGGGGTCTATTATCTCAATAACGGGGCAAAATGCCTTACCTTTGGGGGTTAAAATGTCCTTAAGGAGGCCTAAGTTTCCAAGGATGAGGAGTATATCATGGTTGGCAGTGATGTAACTCTGCACTATTTTTTGGTGTGGTTTTAAAGTAAAAATATTGATTTGAACCTGTAGTGTTACAGTTTTACTAGAATATGCCGTTTGCAGTTTTTATTAATTTCAGTAACACGACTTTACTTTTTTTACTTTCCTCTACGCAGTTTTTTATTATGTTTTTCTGCACAGGTTTTGAAGTTTTTGGACCCCCTTACCCTCCCCCTCCCCACCTCCCATCACCAGAATAGATGACCAGGCGTCAGTTGTTCAAAAGGCAGATAATGTTATCCACTGAACAAATCTCTATCCACTGGGTAGCGCAATTGGTTTCCATAATACTTATCCGCTGGTCGGATAACGATTTATTCAAAGGATAGCGCTATCCAACGATTGAACAACCTGGACCAGGGCACTAAATGACTAGTCACCCCAGACAGTAAATCCTACTCATTTTACCTGGTAGAAAAATACGTCTTTTCTATCAGTGCCATCTGTAGCAAAGTCCTCAAGAATTCCATCTAAAAGATCGAAAAAATCAATAAGATTTATCATTAATATGCAGTTGATTGAGTCACTACAATATGAGATGATAATTTGATCTGATTTCCATCAAGTCCAGTGTATAATTAACTTCAGTAAAGCTTAAGCTTTTATATTTAACTTGGATAAACAGTAGAATATTTTGCTTACATGAAAGTGTTCTTTTTCACTACCCACCTGGCCTTATTCCATGTTCAGCACAGAGCTGTTTCCAGAACTCCATTCCAACTATTCAAAAAAACAAAACCATTAGCTTATATACCTTAAGTTTGAAAACTTGTAGCCGATCAATATATGCATATTTGGCGATGATTTTTTGCCTATGAAAACATGAGTAAAGTAACCTTACTTTGATTTCCACATTGTCCAATTTGTAGAGTAATAATTTCACGAGGCATATTGCTTGGTTTTGTCGGATCTTGTCGATTTCATTCGCCCAACACTAATAAAAATCGACAAGGAATGTACAGTGGAAGGTGGAAGTGAAAAATCGAAAATGGCGGCAAATTTGTCAGTTGTCAGCGGTGTTCACTCAGACCCATATACTGTTTAGAGTGGGGAGGGGCAAAGGAAGTAAATCGTTGCATTGTCGCAGTGGAAGATCTTTAATTCATTCCAATGCATTATTATCTTTTCTAATTTCAAGGGCCATTTTAAAAGTTTTAAATATTAAGATAAAGAGAAATTTCGATGAACGACAGTGCCAAATTAGGTATTGTTATTGATGAATGTCTGTAAGCCTCCCCTCCCTAGCGATGACATTTTGATACTGGTGTTTTTGTTTGTGCACAAAAAATTGCAAAATGGCGGCCAGAAGCGGAAAACATCTTATCCAAGTTTTGTTGCAAGCCAGCGAAAAATCGGCTAAAATCGCCCGTGCTTGGCGCTGCCAAGAAGAACTATTCGAGCTGATGGTTGAGGAAAAAGAAGAAAAGGAGAAAAACAGTCGATTTGTGCACGATTTCAAGACGCTAGCCGATGTTCTTGTCCAAGAGGTTGTCAAACATGATGTCATCCAGGAGGTACCAAACATTCGGTTCATTTGATTACTATTCAGTTAAACTGACGTGAGTCTTATGATACTTACAGGACATCGCGGAAAATCTTGACATTTACGGGTAGATTTGGGTAGATAAAGTGTTAAAGCTTAAATTAATCCGAATCAATATACGCTTTAGTAATCCGGTTAGAGTTAATAGCGATAAGCTTAAACGTTAAAGGGCGTCGACAGACCTCTATAGGATCAACTCCTATTGCCCTCTCCTTAACCATTTAATCCGATTCAGATTTAGGCCATTCCCCCTTTTTATTCTCCATTTACCATCGTCCGACCGACCCAAATTTTTGGTATTTTCAAAAAAAAGTAACGACGTTGTTAAACCTTTTTTCACTTTAATTAATTCTTTTAAATCTGAAAAATGATTATAGTAACAGCATCCCGGGGGGTGGACTCCCATATGAAACAGACGGGGATGCTCGTCGGAAATTTTGAATTTAACCCCTAAAGGAGACCTTCTGGGCGTGGCTCAAGCTTTTTGTGACCCCTAAAGCAGACCAATCTGGGCGTGGCTTAAGCAAATTTTGACCCCTAAAAGAGACCGCTTAAAAACACACAAATACGACATGCAATGAGTTTTAATGATATAAAGCAGGAGCCTAACATAATCATCAAATCCTTTTATTTAATAGTAGTTTTTAAAAGCATTGTCATAAATCTTAAGTTCTTTGCGGAACCCTAAACGAGACCGTGGCGGCTTAAAATATTGGCGCTTTGCCTGGAACACCCTAAGCGAGACCAAATCCAAAATTTACACCCCTAAGCGAGACGACAAGCATCCCCGTCTGTTTCATATGGGAGTCCCCCCCCCCGGAACAGCATAGAGAGAAAAGGGAACATTATTTTTATATTTTCTTTGCATTTTTTAATCCTAATAAGTAAATAGTATTAAACTTTTTTGTCTAGGGCAGGGGGAGGGACTGCTTTGACATTTGACAGGCAGGGTTTTCATTAAGAATTCTAGTGGCGGGAGAAAGGTGTAATGTTGCGGGAGAATATTTTTAAAGAGGCTTTACATCTGAGTAAAAAATAGTCATAGGCTATTGACCGTTAGCTGGAGAATTCCACATAGTAAACAGAGAATTCTCCAATCTCCGATGCCTAATGAACACCCTGAATATATGAATTAATAATATCAAACTGATAATATATCAGTGATCACTGTAGTTAAAGACACAGCTTATGCAGTTGCAAAAAGAAAGCCTTAGAAAAATCAAGCTTTCTTTTCACGCTTTTTTCGCAACTACATAAGTTGGGTCTTTAACTGTGATGATTTTTAATTCTTTACATTCGTCATTTTTGTTATTGTAAATTTTATCATTCTGTCATACACTATTCATTAATAGTCATCCTTCTTAATTTTAGTTTCCTCAGCTCAGTGGCTTTATCTTTGGCGAGGAATCAAACAAATTCACAAACAGCACTGGTGAGGAAATCATAATAACTGTGAAAGAAGATTCATCTGCAACAGCTAATCATCTGGTAGAAGTTCTTTGTGGAAATGAGAGGGCTGCGCATTTGTTGGCGGGTTTGATTCACAATGATGCTGCACTGGAAGTAAATGAAATGCAGGTCCTTGAAGATAAGCTAGATTTTGAGCTGCCTCTTGAGAAGCTTGCCATCTGGATTGATCCAATTGGTAATATTCCTTCGCTTAAATTGTTTTAGATTCAGCAGAGAGAGAAGAAGGGTAATTTTCCACTGGCTGACGTTAACAAAATAAGTGAAAACTGTTTTTCTCACACACAGCTGGGGGCCTGGGTATAGGTCATGTTACCGAAAGGCCTGGGTTTGGGTCATGTGACCAAAAGGCAGGCAGTTGCTTTCGTTGTGTCCACCATTTCTGACCTGACCCCTACCCACCCACCCAAAGATTTCAGTTTTTTCAGCTGTTTAAACCTAATGTGCAACTTTGTAATTTTGTTATTGTCCCACATTTCTAGGGTATGCAGTGTGTACATTTTTATGAATTTGAAATAAAGGTCAGGCTGTGGCGGTGGGCTTGGCATGGCTACCAGTGGTGTGAGAGAAGTTGTACTTTGCCTGTAAGGAACAACAAGTTGTCTTCTAGAGGGTCCAGGGTCTATTTGATTATCATACACGGAAAAATTAGTTGTGTTCCTTGCAAAGTTATACTAATGTGAGGTTATACTAAGAGGCCATTGACATATTCTTTTTTTCCCGCTTAACATCAACTGGACATTTAGTGGGGGAGGGGGTAAGGGAGTGGACATAAGTGCGGGGCATTTTGGACAAAAGCAAACTGATGCATTTTCATAAATTTTAGGTCACAAGCGGAACGGTGCTCGTGACATTATTTAAGAGGAAGCAGGACCATTTGTACAGTTTACATTGTGATCTTTTGAACTCTATCCAAAATCACCAATAAATTTTTACGATATTTTTATACCAAAAATTATGGTTACCATAGTTTGCTGATATTGTAAATACATTTGTGAACACAACTGGAACCCTTTTTCAATACATACTTTCAAAACATGGCGGCCATGAACCAGCGATTCTGGCAGGAAAACGCGGTTATGCAGATTTTGCAAGAATTTTACAGGTTGGAGCATTGTGCAGTAAATTGTGTTGATACCGTTGACATCTTCACGCAAGTGCATGTCAGTATTCATCTGGAATGCAGTGACATTTGGGGCAACAAACTTTCAAGTGGACATTAAAGAGGGGGTAGGAGGGGGGGGTCTGACCTAAATGTCCAGCTGATGTTAAGCAGTTGTATAAGTCTTAGCATTGTATATAAGCACTATCATCCAATGTTAATCCCTTTCAAAATGCCAGATGTTAGCAGTCCCCAGATTACATTCAGTGGAAAGTTGCCAGTCTTTTTTAACTTTCAATAATTTGTTATTTTTACTCAAAGAAATGACAGTTATTTTTTTAACAGTTGTGGCACATGAGCAAGTGATGTAAGGTTCAGATCTATCTAATCTCTCCCCCAGACCTATGCCATGTTTATTTTGCTTGAAATCTGTTAGTTTGTTTGTTTCACTTTGTTTGTTAATGCTGCACTTCTTTAACTTTACAGATTGTACATCACAGTACATGTCCAATTCTTCTCCACGAGAGGTTGATGGTGTTGTAGTTTCAGGGCTACCCTGTGCTACTGTTCTTATTGGTGTGTTTCATCGGGAAACTGGTGACCCTGTGGCTGGTGTCATCAATCAACCATTTTCAGTGTTGACTAAAGACAGCCAAAATAATAACAAGTGGACAGGAAGAAGGCTTTGGGGAGTGTCATATCATGAGCACCTTTGTAATTTCCTGGGAAACACAGATCACAGATCATGTCAAGGTGAAAGAGATCTAGATGCTACTGCCCTCAGAATAGCTATAAGTGGAAGTGAACGGGAGGAAATAAAAACCTCTCTTTCATCCTCCGGTGCTAAACTTTTTACAATTTCGGGTGTTGGTCACAAGCTTCTTAATGTGATTGACGGTAATGTAGATTTCTATATTCTTTCCCATGCCACCTCCTTCAAGTGGGACACTTGTGCCGCGCATGCAATTCTTTGTTCCATGGGGGGTGGTATGGTAACTTACAGTCAGGCTCTTTCATTGAGATCAGCAAGAAAGGAAGTTGATAAAACGAGTTTAAATAATTGCAAAATAAGTTACCACACACCGGATAATAAACAAGGGAAAGAATGGAGCAATACCAATGGAGTGATTGCTTTCCATTCTTTTGAAAAAGTTTTCAAACTCTTGGAATATTTGAAGTAAAGAAACCACCATTTGCATTTTGACGATAAGATGCTAAAGATTAGATGTTATTTCAAAGAAGAAAATTAGAGGGGGTTGCAGAAAAACCAGAAGAGGTATTTTCAGTTAGCTATTTATTTCCATTATCACATGTACATTATAATTTTTTATCTGAATATCATAGAGTTTTAGTTATATTTAATTTATTACCAGTAAATTATGCATCAGGCAACCTCATGATCTTTGGGGCAAACAAAAATGGTAAATTCCCTGTGCCAGCTGGAATGAGACCACAGGTGATAATTTACCAAATGAGAGTCATTGTTGCATTGTTTGTTGTAGTTTATGTCTGTAAGGAATTCGTGCACATTTTAGGGGTTGTAGATGGCAATTTCATATTTGTGATTCTTGGAAACTTTTGATTCATTCCAAAAATCTTGGACACACTGTAACAAGTTACAAAGCCTTGTGTTTTGTTTGTGTGTCTTTATAACTTCAGAATATGAAGCAATGTGTCCAGTTTTTTTTTACACAAGAGTCTTGGTGACTTGGCCAGTCTAGTTTACCAGTCTCTTTCCTCATTTTGTCATACCTGTTTATACTGTATCATAGCAACAACAATAACAATAATCTTTATTTACTCACACGTAGATCGATAATGAATTACAAAAAATTAATAGTTATTTATGTGGGCTTTAATTCAAGTAAATTAAATGGAAAATAGCAAAGGGGTATTATCATTAATGAATATAAATAAATTGAATAAATAAATAAGTCAATTTCATTCTTGAAGCCTATAGGCTGGGGGAATTGGAAGATTTTGAGTTTAAGACGCCCCTAACAGCTGTTTAAGGTTAATTATTGTAAAAAACAGAAAGAAGGAGGTAAATGATACCTAGTGATGTTGTAATAACAGTAGAGTTGTTGAATTACTAAGAGTATTGCCGTGGCATTAAATAATGCAATTCTCTGGCAGTAGAAAATGTACTGTATATAAGGAGATAAACCACCAGCTAGCTTGGCTATATAAAGTAAATACATATAATTTATAACAGACCCTTTCACCATTTTTTCAACATCTGGGCCCAGTTATTCGAACGCCGGTTAACGCTAACCCAAGGGTTAAATTTTAACCCGGGTTCTTTATCTTTTTGTCAAAAGCACTCTCTCGGATAATTTTCTCTTTTCTTTTTAGAGTATCCAATCATCAAATTGTAGGCAAAGAGAATTAAACTGAATTTGCTTTTTAAGCCCTCATATCTGAGTTCAAATTTTGCACTAACCGTGGGTTATCTTAACCCAGCTTCGAACAACCTGGCCCTGACTGGTTCCACTCAGCGAAAAATCCACCAACACAGCTGGTAAGAATGCCTTCAAATTTCTAAAATTGCCAAGTTTGATAGTGGTTTGTTGAAAACTAATGACGATATAGCCCCCAGAGGTGTGAAATTTTTAGACTGCAAAACAGTCCGTATTTTTGCGTATTCAAGTACGCGTGAGCAGTCAAACAAAAGGTCTTGAATGAGGCTGAAAACAGATAGCGAGACTGGGGAGAGATGCTAGTGATTTTTTTCCTCTCGACGGGCGTGTGAGGCTTGCGCACTTCACGTGCGTAAGACTCTTACGCCACGCTTTACCGATTTCTTTACTGATTTTGAGAAAAAAAAAACGACTTTTTTGCAGTCTATGAAATTTTAGACATTTGTATGGCAGGGGGCACAAACTTGTGGAGCAATATCTTTCACTCTCTTTGGACAAATCACCTTTAAACTTGGTAAGTTACCTTACTTTAAGGTGTTCGTTGTAGCAGTGTCAATGGATATTCGCTTACTGCTCTTTACCAAAAGTTGAAAAAAAATGTGAAAGATTTTATTCAGGAACAACGAAAACAACTACAAAATTATTTTGTTGGCATTCCTATTTTTGGATAGAATGCCAGAGCAAAATTATTATTAATTTTAACAGTTATATGAACAACTGAGAATTATTGATAATAGGTAGTAGGTTATGACTGTAGTAATTTTTTAATCTTAAAATCCATATTAATGTGATATTATTGAAGAAAAAGATGATTGAGCAATAATTATTATTGGTAAATGTAGTTCCTTATAACTAGATAAAGCATATGCATTAAGCTGTCTGCATTTTATCAAGTGAGGGAATCTTATATCTTGTAAGTGCCTGTGTAGATCAGAAGAAATAAAACACTGTACCTTGGGTCATTGTTGAGCCATATAAGTACTTGAAGAATTGAAGTTGTCCTGCAGAAGTGCAAGAAACATTCTCACCATATAGTGGAGATCAACCTCCATGTGCGACCACCTCCCATGAGCAACTGCCTATCCAAAACACCAAAACTTTCCCGGTCAAAGACTAACAGTTGGAATCTCTAGTAAAGGACCACCGCCTGTAAATTACTGCGACTACTTTTTGGGCCTGAAAGTTTAATGATTTTCCAGTTGTTTTTATCCTCTTGTGTGCGACCACTTGATGTATTCTCTGATGTCTATGTTTGTAGTGTGCACTATGCTATTTAGAATATACAAAGAACTTTAGTAACAACGTGGAACTACACACGGTGTAACTTAGATAATTATCTTCCATAAAGTAGATGTGCCCAGACTTCTTCTCAGAAGAGGGCCCCCTCTTGTAAGCGACCACCTCCCGTAAACGGCCACAAAGTCTTTGCATTTTGGGTGGTTGCTTATGAGAGGTTCAACTGTAATTGGAGGACCCACTCATCCAGACAGGGGATGAAAGAAAAGAAGAGAAAAAGTGTTTTGGAATTGCAGGCATCAGGTTCTATTAAAGATCAGGTGGGCCATTGCACCCTATGAGTCCCCCCCCATAGATCAACCACTGCCTTCTTTTCGAAGCATGATTATTAAAAATTCCTTAATTAAAGGAGGGGGAGTGGAAAGAGAGGGAGGGAAGGATGGTAAAGAAAACCAATGGAGCGGTCCACTCAAGTTTTGGTTAGGGTATGTGCTGCCCAGAAATGTCAAGACACCTCTCCTCCCTCCCTTCCTATTTTCAGTGAGCATTCTGCTACAATCTTCATTGTAATATACTAATAAAGCATTGTACTCTATCAGGTAATGTATGCAACCAGTATCACAGTCAGCAACCCCACCCTACTCCCCTGTAAAAAAAAAAACTCCCGGTGACGGTTCTCCAATAAATTTCAGATAGGTGTGTGTCACCAAGGGTCTTTAACCCTATCCCTATTTAAGGATGCGACAAACGAAAATTGGTACCATTTTTAAGGCCAAAACCCCCAAAATGACACCCCCCCACCCTATTCAGAAAAACAAAAACTAAGAATTAAATAGCAACACATGAACCTTCATTAACCCTTCAAGCCCTAAGAGTGATCAGTGTCAAATTTCTCTTTGTAATATGACTGCTTTATAAAACAGAGTGGTCATGAGAATTAAGGATATGATCAAACAAAATGAATCTTATTGATACTTCAACAAATTCTCCCCACTACTTCTTTTGAAAACGTGTAGGGATAACAAATGAGAATTTAAATTTTGATGTTAGGGTTTAACAGGTTAAATCAGTGCTTTAAGGGATAGTTCAGTTTTAACAGATCATTTGTTTCTTTGTAGCTGATACAATTTAGGTACCCTATCTAAGAATCAAACCGGGAACACAATGCCAACAAGGACTGGGCAAAAATGATACCCTATAGCTGGTTTAGTCTTGTAAAAACACTCCTTATTCAGTCTTACGTTTTATTAGGTGATTTGATAAACTTTCTTGAATCCTAAGAGTGGATTTCTGTGCCAAAAAGTCGTATATTTCTTTGCTAACTTCACAAGAAGTATTGTCGCTTCCGGTTCCTGTTTTGAGGCTACCGGAAGTGGAACATTGTTTATGACCACGTGACTACGGAACAGTCAAAAATTTGGCGGGCTGTTGGCGGCAGCCATCTTTTTTGCTGACAGCCAAAATGTCGTTTTTCGAAACTCTAGAGGCACTCTTTGGAGTCCGGGATTTATACGAAGTATTGCATTTAACAAAAACAGCGTCTGAATCCGAGATAAAGCGAGCCTACCGTAAAAAGTCGCTTCAAGTTCATCCAGATCGAGCGAGCGATGAAGATAGAGAAGAAGCAACGAAGAGATTTCAATGTTTGGGTCAAGTTTACTCTGTTCTGTCCGATCCAGACCGAAGGGCTGTTTATGATGAAAGCGGTGAAGTGGAAGACGATATCATTGTACAAGAACGCGACTGGGAGGCTTACTGGAGGTTGCTGTTTAAGAAAATTACCGTGGAGGATATTGCAGAATTCGAGAAGCAATACAAGGGCTCGGAAGAAGAGATGAGCGACCTCAAAGCCGCCTATTTAGACTATGAAGGAGATATGGATGCTATCTTGGAGAATGTTATGTGTGCAACGGTAGATGACGATGAAAGGTTTAGAAAAATCATCAAGGAGCTTATTTCGAAGGAAAATCTTCCAAAATTCCCAGCCTTTGTTAATGAGGGTAAAAAGAAAAAGAGAGCTAGAAAAGAAAAAGTAAGTGAGCACCCTCCCCCCCCCGCCTTCCCGCCCCCTCCCTTCAAAAAACGTTACCCTGATTAAGAGGAAATACTCATTTAAACCTTTGATGTTGGTAGCCTGTGAACGCAGCCGTCTCTCCTCGTTCCTTGCCGCTAGAAAAGTTTCGCACAAGAGACGTCTGCGCCTCAGCGACAGAAATTGCATTGGGCTATTGCATTTAATATCCGCACCCCCCCCCCCCCTGGTTGAGAAACCATGGAGTTATCTAGGGGTAAGTTATAAAAATTGAGGATTTCTTTAGGAGTAGAGTAAAAAAATATGGAATTCTTTGGGGTTGAAGCTTTAATTTCACAAAATTCTTCAGGGTTAAGACCCATATTTTATGGAAGTTTTCAGAGGTGAATGCAATTTTCGCCAATCTTCAGGGATCAGAAGAAAAAGTAAGTCCTCAACCGGGGGGGGGGCTGCCGATATTAAATGCAATAGCCCATTTGGTGATGATACAGATCAATGTTTGCATAATTAATCCCGTAGTCATAGAGTTCCAAATGTGAATTTTTGCGATTTTATGTTACTCCTGGTTGATTATGATAAAGTTTTGTGTTCTTCTGCGTACAAGGCCTGGCAAAAGTCAAATGCTTCTTCTAAAAAATGATATATCCCACAAGTTTTGACTGTTTTGTAGTAGCCATTGTGTTTACATCTGACCTTTGTGGCTTTTTGTCTTTTTTTTTGTCATTTGAAAATAGTAGCAAAAACAATATAACTACTACATTGACCAACCAGAGCTCCTGATCAGATTCCAGACAAATTTTGCATCATCTGTGTGGAGTTTCTGTTGCTGAGGAGCAGACATATTTCCTTCGAAATGTCCCTAGTAGGCTACAATGTTAGCTTCTGTTAAAATTTCCAAATGTGGCATAATTTAAAGATTATCTTGTGATAATTTTTGACACAAGTTCCCCCTACCCCACCTCATCTCAGAGAAGTTAGTAACTGGATTATTGATTATTGAGTTATTGGATTATTTGATATAGCAGGTTATATTTACAAGGCAGCTTGAATGCCAGTGTGGACCTGCTACAGCAATACACAAAGATAAACACACATATGTGTTGACCAATGTAGACCACTCTATGGGTGTATACGTCCCCTTCTCTATCAGTGAGGATTCTGATCCCTAAAATGTGCAACCCCATTCTAGTAACTCTATTGAAAATGTAACCCTATTATAGTCAATCCAGTTGTGAAAATGTGACCCCATCCAGCGGCACACCCCCATTAGCCTATTTCTTGGAAGTATCCCCCTCCCCCACCCCCCACCCGGCTGGGGTTTCATCCTACGAGAGCTTGTAGGATGATATTAGAAAATGTAACTTATCTTGATTTTTAGTAACTCGTTATCAGCATCATTAAAGCAAGGGATGGCGCAGTGGTGAGAGTGCTCACCTCCCACCAATGTGGCCTGGGTTCAAATCCCGGAGTCGACGCCACATGTGGGTTGAGTTTGTTGTTGGTTCTTTCCTTTGCTCCGAGAGGTTTTTCTCTGGGTACTCCAGTTTTCCCCTCTCCTCAAAAACTAGCATTTCCAAATTCCAATTCGACCAGGAATCAGGTAGAGGAAGGACCACTTTGTGGATGTGCTACCGTCAAATCATTATTATCATTATTATTATTAATCATTATTAAAAGCAGTTTGAAGAATGTTGATATTAGTAATTACCAAGAGGTAAAAAAGACTGTTTTTTCCCCTCAGGCTCAAAAAGAAGCTGCTGAAGCAGAGGAAATGGCAAAGGAATTTGGTCTTAATGGCAACAGTTCAGAGGATGGCTTAAGACAACTCATACTGAAGCGACAAAGTGACAGGCAGGGAGCTTTAGATGACATGATAGCAGGACTGGAAGCTAAATATTGCAAACCAAAGAAACCAAAAACAACTAAAGGAAAAAAGAAATAAGTCTCACTAGGAACTTTTTTTCTGGAAACCATACTTAGCAGTTTTCCTTTTCAAAAAAAAAAAAGAAAAAAGTTTTCCTTTTCAACTGTTTTTTCCTTTGGCACGCATGTATGCAAACAGTGCACATCAGCTAACTTACTTACACTGTGTATGTCTGGAATGCTAGAGGCTGAGATTTAAGGAGAAAGAATACAGATATGGACTAAAACAGACTGAAAGTAAAATAATATTTAAGGAAAATCAAGAAGGAACTGGAAACTATGTGTATCTTTTCAGCAACGTTTCTCTAAGAGATGTTAAAAAATGAGTTAGTTATGAATGATTATGATTTTTGAGAGAACTATTTCCCAACATTCAGTTGTTAAATGATGCTGTGTATTGTTAATGCATTGTTTCTAATCTAGACTGTAGACTTAGAAGTGTTTGAGCTACTAAAAATAAAAATTTCATGTGTAATAATATTGCCCTCGAAATTTGCTCAAGTTTTTTTTATACCCGGGATTTATGCATTCATGAGGATTGTTGATCATGTTAACTAAACATTTTTATATGGGCTATTATTACTGTAAAATTCAAAATTAAGCCCTTGTGGTTTACAGTTGGAATGATAATAATAATGTGAAGCAGGGCTGTCATTAAGAGCTGGGGGCTGGGGATTTTCCCTGGCTTTTATGAACATGGTCCGCGGTTACTTTTATAGGAAAATAGAAGAAAAATAGAACCAAAAGGAATCTCCAGCTGTTTTTTTTATTCGCCACCTGCTTGTTGTATTTGCCCGGCAACTTGAAATCTTAGTGACAGCCGTGGTGAAGTTACTGTGGGATTTCAGAATTCAGACAGATCACCATTTAGACCATAACTGATCTGATATTGTAGTGCTGGAAAAGGAGGGAAGGATGTGCTTTATTCATGTAGCTTGCCCTTTTGATACACAGGTAGCAGAAAAAGAAAGGGAGAAGATCGATCACTATCAAGACTTAAAAGGGGAAGTGCAAAAGATCTGGAACTGCAGAAGTGTATCTGTCATCATTATTGTAATTGGAGCTCTTAGGACCGTGAGTAAACATCTAAGGATGTGGGTCAGCAAGTTGGAAACACCAGGGATCATTGCATTGCTCCAGAAAGCTTGTTTGTTTGGAACAGCTTAGATCTTAAGAAGGACCCTAGACACCTAAGGCCATAGGAGATAGCTTGATGTTTTGAGGAATAAGGCCACCAATAGGTGTGAGACATGCACATAATAATAATAATAATAATAATAATAATAATAATATAATGAAATATGATAATAATTATTATTATTTATTATAATGATGATGATGGTGAAGATAATGATAATTATTCATTCCTTTATTACCTTTTAGTAGCACAAAGGCTAGTAGGAGGCTGAGTTGGACCAAGCCCAGGGGGGTACTCTGGATTTCCAGTGACAGTGATTATCCAAGGATTTTTTGGGGTTTGAAATTTTTGATTTCTGGAATTTTTTGGGGGGTTGGAAAATTATATATATATTTTTGGTAGCTTGATATAAGTAGGGTTTTTTTGGGTATTCAAAACTAATGTTTCTATTTTTCGTGTTTTATCATTTAATGCTTTCTGGAAGTTTTTATGGCTCAGAAATTCGGCAGGGTATTTTTTAGGGGTCAAATTTTGGACCAGGGAATTTTTTGGGTTTTGATTTTTGCCCCCATTATCATCCCTGTCATTTGAAATCCAGAGTACCCCCCCCCCCCCCTGGGAACCAAGCAAATGACTGAAACAAATTAAAATTATTCAGATGTACGTAAGAGGGTTAAAAATCCCACCTAGCCATAGGTAAACCATTTGGCTATTTACAATGATGTTAGCATAAAATTATTTGAACTTGGGACAACCAAGAACAAATCCAGCTAGCTGTTAGGTGGACACCTGAACTTTATAGGGCCTTCGGATTGCAAGTCCAGCACCTGTTATGTTCATATTCTTCTCTTAAAGTTAATATCAGATGTTCAGAGTTTGTATAGGTTGCAAGGACCTCCGGGATGTATTCCCTTCTTTTATCATTGTTGCCATCTAACCATGTGTAGCGAGCTTGACCTTAACCTTTTATTAAATTGCTATCGATCTCTTTATAAATCCTGTATGAAAATATTGAAAAAACATTACAGTGCCCTAACCACTCAGCCACACTGCCTCCTTTGTACTTCACCAGGACTTCAAAGAACAAGTTGAAGGCCTGAGTTTTCATTGCTACATTCCATGAAAAGTACACTACTGTATGAGCTTCAGTATAAGCTACAATTTTGTAAACAATAGTGAAAATAACCTGGTTTAACATTTATGTTACACTGAATTTTTTATAGTATACTTTGTTCAGTACTAAATCACGTTAGTCATTTTATAGAAATGAAATTACAAATAAATAACTTCTACTGCAATGTTTAACCATACCATAGTTATTAAAGTGGAATGGTTATGAAACCTGTTAGATCCTTTTGTCTGATGTTTTTGTTAACTGTTTTGGACCTAGCTGTACACAACATTCAATAGCATTCCTATCATTTTGAACTTACTGACCAATAGAAACATCACATGTTGGAAGCTCCCTGACCGTGCACAATCCTTTGTTTTCAGTCACAAATTGTGACTGAATAAATTATTTATTCAGTCACAGTTTGTGAACAAAAAGAAAGGATTGTGCACGGTCAAGGAGCTTTCAACATAAACAACAGCTCCGTTGTTTTCAACTTTGATATTTGTCTGCTTTCCTAACCAGTCTCCTCTACTAAGTATGCCCATACCCTCTCCAATAAGGAAAGAGCATCAGTGAAAATTTTTAGACTTTTAAACATTTTCATGTCAAGACGTGGAACAAAACTGAACATTCTCAAAGGGCTATGCCACGTAGCAGGGTCTGTGATTGGGGATGGGTGGGTGGGTTGAGCTAGTGGTATACCTAGGGACTCTCTCACCCCCTATAAAACAGCTGCAGTTGCACACAGTGGAAGGTTTTTGGATTGTTCCAAGATCAAGAGGTCCCATCATCCTCTTTTGATTGCTAATTCCATTCAGGCCTGACCCTTCCCTGGCTGTCCTTGATTTCTTCATTTCTTTCATTTAAAAAATTGTCACTATTTTCTTCCTAACTATTTCTATTTTTATCTCATAGGAAGTCCAACTATTTGAAACATTTTCTTGTTTTTGTTTATTTGGAACAATCCCTCCAGGAAACAAAGTAATCAAGCAAACAAACTAATGTCGGTGGTAGGGAAGGGGAAACATGCAACCATTAACACGTTCATTGTAAAACACAGATGTAAGAGAAAATGGTTTTTCTTTCTACCTATTACATGTTTTGAATGCACAACTTTTTTCTTTAGGATTAATTAAGAAATTAAATAGTGCATTACAAAGTCAGACACGTGCACTTTCATTTTACCACCCCCACCCCGATGCAAATCTCTTACCGGCCCCGAGGGACTAGGAATATTTGTGGTAAAACGGCTCTCGGCTGATCGGTCACCCATTTCAACTGGTGCTGAGTGCTTTGCGTTTTGGTTAGTTTCTAGAAACTCTAACGTCGTAAAGGTTCTTGGTTAGGATTCAGAGTATTTGCTATGTGAGGAATATTTTTTTTTCCAAGGGAGGAAACATCAAAAGGCCTCGAACGTGTCAAGCAAATAACAGGTAGATTTTTCCATTGAAGAAAGTCGAGCGCTCATATTGCTTACTCTAGCCTAGAAGTACGTAAGCTTATATTAAGATGGTTATATTTCCCCCCATAGCCACTTGTTCTTAAACTATGCTGCAAAGGCGGGAAGGGAATTTAGTTTCTAATTTTCTTTTCATCCTGTGCTAGTAGTGCACGAATTTGCTCTATTTATTTTATTCATTTTTCAACACCTTCTGTATAGCAGTTGTTCAACTGTCCTCGTATGCCATGACAGTCACGCGTAAAAATGAGTCAAAGCAAAGTGCGTAACTTGACCACTTCTGCTCTTTGGGACGAAAATTTTATTTGTTATTTTTCCACTTTTTTTAGGAGGATTAAATTAAATTGTGGAGAAAGACTTGAATGACACAAGCACTCGAACCCCATCAGACATGGACCCTTCTGGGGGCATAGTACAAGCTCCGAGAAGGTAAGCCACAAACTTGCAAAGTGATCTGTAATTCTATCTTCTTTATTCGTCTTCATCTATTTATCTGAAAAGTTATCATTGTCCATCAGTTTACTAAAAAATATGGACATTCATCAAAGAATTTTAATTCACCATTTCGTCAAGCCGCAACGAAAACAATTTAGGCCATGTATTTTAATGCGTAATTTGTCAAGCGTACGATACAGGTTTACTCTCGAAGATATATATCAGCTCGATTGTGGTTCATTAAAATTATCCCTGGTTCCAACATAAATATGTTCGCGTGTCATGGGAGAAGGCACTGCACGTTCGTTTTTGGACGTAGTCAATATATGTGCCCTGAGGTTAGAAATAATCGCTCAATGTGTGGGAAATCTAACGCTTGTCTCCGAACTTGAAACGATCACACGCCGTGCAAAATAATAATGAATTACTAATTCGACGTTAATACAATTTTTTTGCCTCTAACAACCTTAAATGGGTTTTTCCAAAAAAATAGGAGGCTTCTTTTTTAAATCAGAGAGGTTGTAATTTGGTTACTAAAATTACATATGTCAGAGAATTTACTCTGAATTGTTTTGATAATACGCAAGTTATATAACTGTATTACGTAGATTGTATTGGTCGAAATTCCTAGTGCAATCTATTTATGATGAAAGCTAAATATAACTATCATACCACGCAGGATAACAGATTAGCTTTTAAGATAGTTTCATCTGACCAAATTTGAACGCTTTTTCATTTTTCTTCTTTTTTATAAAGTAAACAAAAAATATGAAGTGGATCTTTTGTTGTCTCAGATAACAAATAAATTAACATGGAAAACAAAAGGAGACAAAAACATGAATAATAATATTATTATAATAAATCCAGGGCAATCACACCAGTGAATTTATTATAGCAAGATCTTACAGTATTCTAATAAATTTATTCGCTGTTAAATGCCAAGAGACAAAAGTACAGTGGATCACAATAATAGTGTTTAAACCTTGTTGAGAAAAAAAGATAAGAATTAGATGACCAGGAGTTTAAAAAGATTCGGAAAAAAACAGTGTTTGACTTGGGAAGTGGAAATCATTATCAAGATTTTATTGTTCTTCATTGCTAGGGTATAAGACGAGGAGAAATAACTCTAACTCTTACAATATTATTATACCCAGACTACAATTTATATCTAACATCAAGGAGTCCGGGTTCCTGCTCACTTCTTGCTCGTCTTAGTCAGTTAGAGGATGAATTGCCTCGACCCTTGCCCACTGAATGGGCAAAGGTGCAGGCAATTCCGGGGTGGGGGGGAGGGGGTTCTCCTTATGATGGCCTATACGGGAAGGCTCCGCCTGAAAGGGGTATCTTTTTCAGGCTTCAGGTATATGAAAGAGTAGTGATTTTACTGGTTGAAGTATATAAAAGGGTAGGGAAATCTGTCATTTAGGTCTGTGAAAGGGCCCAGAAGGGCTAACAGATGAATTTTATAGCTTTATAAAGTCGAGAAAATGTTCTGTTTTTGTGATTGATTCCTATTTAAAAGACAGTGCATTTACAGAAGTTAAAGGGGATGCAAAGTTCTAAACAAGGTGTGTGAAAGGGATACCATTAATTTATTTTGTCAATAGAAGGTATACGAAGGGGTACCTTTTTTGTGAAGAATGGTATATAAAAGGGTTAGGGGGTGGCCTCAGGGCAGAGTCTCCCCTTATAAACATCAATTTTGTTGAGTACCCCCCGGGGTCAAATCATCCTCTTAATTTATCAGGCAAGAGTGCTTTAAAAGTTACTCGCCAGCGAGAAAATCTACCAGTCCTGGGCTTTTTTGAGCCCTGATTTTGTATATTAAAAAAAAATACTGCTCAGTAGCTTTCACTTGAATGGTCACCCATAGCTAACTCAACAGACTTAAAAGAAATATACTGACCATATTGTACAGTATCCAAAACAATATCGTAGAAAAGTAAAGCTTGTGAATAGCTTGAATGACTTTCACTTAAATGGTCACACCACAGGATCTCATCCACAGTCTCAGAAAGTACTACTTGTTTTCATAAAAGTTTGACCAAAAAAGGTAATATTGCCAGATACAAGTTTGATCATACTGCTTGGCACTATTTATAAAGCTTGAGTCATCCTATATTTATATATTTCTAACTGTACTGTACTTATCTGTCACAGCTAGGATCATCCATGTACAATATCACTGCTTTGCTCTAGTAGAGCCTGGTGGCCACTGGCACCTGACTTTTTCTTTCGGGGAACTTGAAAATCTTAGTTTTTTCATAGATATAAAACTTAGTGCCGGGCACCCTGAATTCACAGGTTCAGAGCACTGGGCTCCCTTCAACTTTTGTTAGAGCACATTTTTATTATAGCAAAAAGAAGTTATATGACAGTTTTACTATCGTGATCTCTATTTTAGTCTTAACAGTGAGTAGAATCTGATTACTCCCTCAGTACTATTTCCCTGTGTGAAGAGAATATATGAGTATATTATTACAGCTAGAAGGTTAATATTAAGAGCAGAAATTGTCCTTTCTTTTGTCAAAATTAATCTTATGCCACTTACTTAGGATGACCCTTAAAAAAGTAAGGGGTAGGATTATCTTCTGGTCTTGTTAATCAATGGCTGTTGTAATAAGGTCTGAACTGACACAAAATTTCATTTGGTACTTACATATTTACATAGTGCATATTAATTAATCTTGAATTTTTACATGCACATGTCTCTGAGTTAAATTAAAGTTAGTTAAAATATACTCATAATTATTAAACTGATCAAATTAAGTTGTAAAATTTACAAATGTGCATTTCTTCTTCCGATCAGTCATAAATAACTTATTTATGCAGTAGAGATGAGGAATTCTGGAACACTCAACAGCTCAGGCCTATGTACAATGCATTAACATGTGTGTAAGAATTCTTTAATAGGCAGTGATTCCACTGTAGTACTCTTACAAGTCATGTACTTCAGTGGAGGTAAATTTAATACACGTCAACTACCTCTCATAGTTTTAAATATAGAAGCTTATATTGCTTTCTCTGTCAGTATTAGGTACATGTCAAGAAGTGGTGTTAATTAGAACATTCAAGAGAAGCTATTCACAATATTAATTTTTACGAACAAGTTTTAATAATACCGGCAAAAAATAAATGGAGTGGTGTTCAAGGCTCAGAAATCATTTGCAGGTTATCATTGCAGATCAGCCAGGGTGGAATGAATATTGTATTTAAATATATTGTTACGTGGGCATGAATTTCCACCCCAAAATGGAGCCAAAAAGGAAATTATCATAAGGATTATAATATACTAATTGTCTTGAGTGTCCTTTAAGTGTTTTCATGGCTATGTTGTCATAAAAATTTTGAAAATTTGTTCCTACTCCATCTCATAATGACTGATGTTAGAGTGTTCTCAAAATTCTGATCTGGGTATAAAATTCATCTTCAAGCCCAGAGGCCATGAGAAAATGGTAATTATAACTTATCAGAATTTCATTTGTTAGGTAAAAAAGATAAGAGGCTTAACACATTTGTCTGTTATATTTTAATTGCTTATTTAGGATTTTTAATTAGCAATGGCATCGTTGTTTATAAATGTGTAATAGTGACATAATTATTATAATCCGTGGATCGTTATAAAAAGGTTTCATTTTTTTCAGAGGACTGAAAGTTTCTGTAACCATGCACATCATCTATGGGCTATTTTTAAAACTGTGCTTTAAATAATGCTAACTTTTCGGGATGTAGAGGAACAGTATGATATTGATGCAGTCCAACTGAAATTCATCAGAAGGTTTCTGACAGACAAAGCAACTAGACTACCTGTTTTAAATTCACAGACAATTTGCCTACAATTAATGTCAGCTGATGGTCACATGAGATATTATTTGTGGTTACTTATTATAACTGCTTTTAATAGTTCATTGTACAAAAAAATGAATCAGTGCGTAAACAAAATAACACGGAATTGATCATTGAACTTCAATACTGGTCCACGTGCAAACAAAGATTCACGGCTACTTAAATGGTCTAGGCTGGCATAGATTATTTGTCCAGAGGCCGGGGGGCAGTTGTGTTTTGAGGAACTAAACACCAGAGTCTGTTACTCAAAAATGATTGGCAAGTTTTCAGTGAATCTTTTTGCCAACAAACGAACAACCATGGAAACCAAGAATTGTCATCTCATGTATGTGATGGTATTGTATTATTGTTCTTTACATTTACTGTGCTTATGTTTTGCATTATTATTCACATCAATGAACTAGTTGTCATTGAATTTATGAGAGCGAAGACGATTAAATTTTGAGCAACATGATATCAGGGATGTGAGAAAGTTTTCAAGAAGGTTGCTTAATCAATGAAATAGATGTAGATGGCTGATTTTGCCATGTTCAACTTAACAGAATCAAAGGAATTGGCCAGCAGAATAGCTAGCTATAAACACAAAGTGGAATGTGATCTTTACTAGCTTCCGGCTACTTTTTATAACCCTGTGATATGAATGTTAAAAAAAATTAAGTGTTAGAAGTAAACCGAGCATTCAGCAACTGACTGTCAGGCTTATCTTTAGGGAATGTATGTATATTATCATTGTTTAATATTTTGTTTAATTTATTGTTATCAGCTGAGATTAGGTTTGATTTACTGTAATCTCAAAAAAGTGTCATTTTTATTTTAATTTGTCACTTTCAGGCTCAAGCCACCTGCCCCACCCCCTCCGCAGAAGGTGAAAAAATGTGATCCACTTGATGTGGAGATACAAGATGTTCCTTCAATCTTCAGTGTGTCATCTCGCAAAGGACTGATTAAACCACCACAAGAACAAGCCAAAGATCCACTAGGTCTTGCATTTAGAAAACTTGATGATCAAATCCAGTCAGAAAATGGTGACGGCGGCAGATCACAGACAAAGACTGATGATGAAAATAAGGTGCCACTCACCCATAATGGAGAGAAACTGCTAGCGAAATTTTATGCAATGTTTTATACTAATGATGGTTCTGAAAAGGAATGGAAACTAGAGGTGGATGGATTTATTCCAGTTTGTTTTGTACAAGTCTACGGAAATGCCAACAAGCCATTCAGAATCATTGCTGTTGAGAAGACGAAAAGGGTGAGTATTACTTAATAAAATATATTATTATGGTGGCCCACAACTGTCACGGCAAATCCAAAAACCTCACGGCAAAAACAAAATACCTCACGGCAAAACCAAATACTTCACAGCAAAAGCAAAATAGCTTTGGTTTTGCCTTGGGTATTTGCTTTTGCCCTGAGGTATTTGGTTTTTGCCGTGAGGTTTTTGGTTTTGCCATGAGGTTTTTGGTTTTGTCGTGAGGTATTTTGTTTTTGCCGTGAAGTTTTTGGTTTTTCTGTGAGGTTTTTGTTTTTGCCGTGAGGTTTTTGGTTTTGCCGTGACAGTTGTGGGCCACCGTACTTAATACTGTCCAGTGATTTTGTCACAAATAGTTATCGTGAGTAATAAGACTCAGCTTGTGAAAAATCATGAGTACCTGTCCATAACCAATGAGTTCCAGTTCAAAAAGAAAAAACAAGGAGTCATAAAGTGAAAATGCTTCGGCCTCTATGTAACCAGACAGTTAATCTGAAGACAGACTCCAAAACTCTGTATTACAGTATACTGAGATTAAAATATTATAGTCCCATTGTAAAACACCACAAAGGCTAAAAGAAATATGCATCGTTAAACAACAGCCATAATAACTGCCACAGAAGCTACATGAATGGTATATTTCTACAAATACAAATTTTCAGATCGATCAATCAATCTTTGTGTCCCGCGGGATGCATGCCATGAATTGTTTTGCGTCTTTGGGGATTTTTATGTGTCAGGGACGCAGGACGCAGAGGTAACAAAATCACTAAATAAGGGTTGGTCCTTCGCTTTCTTTACTCTTTTTAGCTGACTCTTTTTTAGAAGAACATCTCCCTAAGATGGACACATAGGCCCGGTTCAGACGCCTAACTTTTCATGAGCTGAACCTAATACATTGAATCAAGTACATGACAAGTTCAGCACCTGAATCAATTATTAGGAATGCCTGTTTCAATTTGGAATGGCTTAGCCATTCTTTCTGCCTAGCCCAGCAGGGAATTTCAACTTTAATTCGACTTTAGAATGGCTTTGATTCAGACACCAAACTTTTCATGTACCAAACCAAATGCATAAGTTATTGTAACGTATTTCCTAAGCAGTTTGACCGAAATGAATATTTTTCTCCTTTTGAATTTAGTTTGGCTAGAATTAAGATTGGCGTCTGAATCAATTCAGCCCGTCTAAATAATTTGAGTCGGCCTTTATTCAAATTAGGTGTGGGTCAGGAAAAGTTCGGTGTCTGATTTGTTTGGAGAAGATTACTATTCTTATTATTATTGTTGTTATTATTATTATTATTTAATTTTTTGTGAAGCTTGCTGCTACAGAGTAATAAGACTATTAAAGAGTGATTGTTACCCAGTGAAATTCAACCTTACCAGCAATGTCAAAAATTTAAATAACAGTACAATAATTATTGCTTTGCTACATGTATCGTTTACTTGTCAGTAAAGTTTGAAAAGTGTCACCAAGCATTATTTTTGTAAACTCACTCAAAGAACCATTTATAACATCTTATTTCTAATGTTAAAAGAGCCTGGGTATTGCTTGAAAATTGCCTTTCAAGAGCATTTAAAGGTACCCCAAGGTCTAAAACAGTACCACCAGTGAATTTTTCGCACGCTTAAAGCAAATTAAAATTGTGTAATGAGGAAGAATCTGAGTCATGTTTGAACAAAGATTTGCACAACCTTTTGTGTATTATGTTAATCCCGCAATGTTTTTATAACAAAGTAAACAGTCACAAAAGCTGTCAGCTTTAATGCAAATATTTTGGGAAATGAAAAAATAGTGATAGTGTTAATTTATTTTAAGTGGGTGGCAGTCTTTCAGTAATAGATGTGATGTGTCTTTGACCCTAGAAGCAGTTGTTTGTAGAATTGCTGGCTTATCTACATGTACATGTACATGTACATGCAAATGCAAGTCGTAGACAAAAAATAATATTTTTGTAACAACGTTGTTGTTGATTGTATTAAAAGAAATATATTTGTATCCTGAAATTGTATCTTCTCAGCCATAATCATATACATGAAAACATTTCTTGAATCTGTTCAGCTAAGAGCAGTGCAGTTTTTAGTGCTTTAACACAGTGCAAAACCGAGATATACAACCCTCCAAGTTAAATTTTTCCTTTGGTGGCCATTTGACGACCAGCTCTTTAAGTTTAGTCGCCAAAGGACCTTTTTAGCAGCCAAAATATATATTAATAATTTAAGTGTTAAAATAATTGGTTAATAATTAATTTGGGCTTAAGAATGGCGTTGTTCAGCCAAAACAATGTTTCTAAACAGCATTTACCAGGACGTACAAAAACAACAAAATGTTGCGTTAAAACTGCCCTTAAAGCTAGTGTTCTTTCAGTATTCTACGAATGAAACCGCATATCGAGAAATTATTTACCTCTGTCCTATGAAACTAAAATATTGTCTCCGTGACACAGCCTTAAAGGACAGCGTGATCTATAAGTCAACCCTGTAGCTTTCTATCAGCCAAAAAACGCAAACAAAAATACTGCTTGGGAGATTGCAATAAATACTTTTTGCTCTATTTTTGGTTAAGACAATTGTTTTTCACAAAGTTGAGATTCGTCTGATGATGATGTTTTGTTGGTCTGCTATGGTCGCTTTTTAATTTAAAAAACGATTCAACATTTCATGTTACTCAAATTTATTTTAAAATGTTCCATGCCAACTTTAACTTTCTGCTTTTCCATTTATTTTAACCCCCAAAATATTATATTTATTTGCGTGTCATAGACAGTGTTGCCCAATTTCAAAACGAGGAAAACTGGTTACGAGTCTGTGTATTATAAATTGGGGAATAGTCCTGTTTCATTGTATTCAGATGCAGCATGATGGCAAGTCCTGGAGGATGAACAAAGAAAATAAGTGGACATGTTTATGTAGTTTTTCTTTGATTCTGTTCACTAGCCTTAGGACGCACAATCCTGTTGAATTAAATTTTTAATTTATTGAAAATGGGTTGTTGTAGTATTTTGGTAATATGTAAGGGTCAAGCCATTTATTCCAAATTTGAGGTTATGTATACTACATCTGAGGAAAATGATTGATTATTGTTTTGCTTTGTTTCTTTTCTAGATTATGGAATATCAAGTAACTGTTAATACAACATGTGCGAGAAATTCAACTTTTGTCAAGTGGCAAGATGGGGTGTCAATGTTTGGTGTTCGCTTTGCCAAAGACGATCAAGCTGAACAGGTGTTTGTCACTTAAAACTAAAGGGAAAAATCTCATAAAAAATTCAATTGCCAAGTTACTTTTCATATCGTAATTTTAATAGTCTTGTCTTTACTCAAAAATGTACTTAAAAAGGCTAACCTTTCGCTGATTAAAGGGAAAAATCTGACTAAAGGGAAAAATCTCATAAAAAATTCAATTGCCAAGTTACTTTTAATATCATAATTTTAATAGTCTTGTCTTTTACTCAAAAATGTACTTAAAAAGGCTAACTTTTTCGCTGATTAAAATTTAGAGTGATTGTTTTCAAATTGTTAAGGTTACATGTACATTTATCACTGAAAGCAAGGACTTAATTTTTTCTTCCTTATCTTGCTGAGAGCAAGAGGTTTTAAGTTTTAGAACCAGTATTGTTGAGTAGAATGGTCCTTTATGTTAACTCTGTTTGATTATTATTTTATGGTTTGACTGTTTGTGACTACCCAAAAGAGGAAGTTTTTTTTTTCAGAAATTGTGTGTAAAAATCATGCTCAGCCTCTTTTTTCCCCTTGCTGTTGACAGAACAATTACAATTAAAGCTTTTGATATAAATTATGCTACAGGCAAATCTTGCAGTGTCCTACCATAATTCATTAATTTGCCAAGTGTACTTGGTATCTCATTCGAAAAAACACTTTATAGCAAGTTTTTCTGAATGTCCTTCTGGTTTGGGAACTTAAAAAATTCAATACACTGCAAATATTGTCCTTGCTTGTTTAATATTTTACATAGCCTAATCCAGGTATGTTTGGAATTGGCTCATAATTAACACATTAGGTGTTTGGTTTGAAGTGCCTTTTGCACATTTTGTTGCATAAAGGAAAACAACTAAGTACCATTTTCTGTTTTTTTTTTATTTCATTCAGCTGTAGCTGGTAAGAATGATTATTGTTTGTATTTTTCCTTCAAAAGAAAGGTCCATTCAATTTTGGTATTTTTATGAGGTTATTTTGCACTAACTAGCAGGGTGCAAAGAAAGTCAGTTTTACAGCCTGCCATTCGGGCTAGCTGTAGCTAGCATGTACTAGCCCACAAGTTATTTCAACTAACCCCAAAACCCTTTTTGATTAGCAGGATTCATTACAGTCCTTCTGTTTTGAATTTCCCCACAAAAAAGCACATGCCCATTAGGCAAGTTAAGAACAAAAATCACCAGCCTGATAGCAAAATCCACTAGCCCCGGCTATCGGACATGACTTTCTTTGCATGCTGAACTAGGCAGTTAACTGTTATCCTCTCCAAAGGCTGTCTAACAGTGATTACAAACTGCACTTTTTGTATGAATTGAAGTTCAGTGTACAGTCACTGTATTGACTGTATTGTTGTCGGTAACTTTCTGGGAATGGTTTGTTGAAGTTTGCTTGCTTTGGCAGTATTAAATGTCTATTAAAAGATAATTAAAAAGCTACTGCAAACCCAGAGGGCATTACCACAGGGATAAGGTGAAGGGTACGAAATTGAATGTGTGTCTTCTGCTTTACAGTTTTTTAGCACAGTGAAAAGGATGGCTTCCACATTGGCCAAAGCTGCACAGCTTCTTAAGCAGCCAGAGAGAAAGGTAACACACATATAATGCACAGGACTTGTTCAACTTTTGATTGAAATAAAATATTTGTAACATGCAGGGCGCAATGGTGCCCAAAAGGAGCACCAGGTTTCTAATGTAAACTACAAAAAAGATGTACTGTAATATTTATAATAAGGTAAGAATTTAAATCAGTGGCTCTCTTCAATTCCTAACAGACGGGATGATGAACAATAACATTGAGTCTTGATCAACTAAATGACAGGTTCACAATGAAAGTTTTTAAACGCCATCAACTCATGATGCTCTACTGACTTTCACCCTGAAGATTCATGACTATACCGGACAGATTGTGGAAATGTCATTCACTGTCTGCAACATTATATATATATATTAGACGTTTTTTTGCCTTACTTGAAAGTATTGTTTTTGATTTAATATTCTGTTTAGTTCTTTAGAATTAAATGTTTTTAAGACTTAATTTTTTCTATGTTTCAGGTCTTCCAGCACATTTCAATAATATTGATAAAACTGTAGGCTGTATTACTCTTGTTTTTTATTTGACATATCTTAAAGATGTAATTAAAAGAGGGTAAAGAATTTTAGCTATAGGGGAAACCATAGCCTTCGCCACAGGCGGAACTAAACTTCTGGTTAGGTCCGTCTGCAAAACAGTGGCAAAGTCCTTTTTCTAGGCCGCCATAGGCCACCTGGTTTGAGTACACGCCATCATGATTAGCCCCTTAAAAATGTCATTGTTGATTTGCTAATCAGTTTGAAGGGAAATTCAAAATGCATTTCCGGTAATAGGCTAGGGGGTTGTTGGGGCCACAGAACGAGGATATTGGCACTGCTTCTCGGATGTAACCAACCAGGCTCGAGTAAGTCTGCGACACAGGCTAGGGGAGCCATTATTTTTGAAATTCTGCAGGACTGAAGTGTATTATTGCAGCTATAGAATTTTATGGGTGTCTTTATTTCTACAGGCTGCCATTAAACAGATGTCAGATCCAGCATCATCAGGCAACATCCACCACACAAAAGTGTCACTGATGATAAAACTTCCTGACAAACAAACAACCATCATGTCTGTTCCTGGATTGTGAGTATTTTGATGATATTGTTGATATAATATTTCTAATGGGCCACAAAGGCCATAAACTTGAGCACTATAATATAGCTTACCATCACACTCTCAAACACAACTCAAATACAGTCACTGTGAAGTCCCATGACTCCAGTGGATGTACACTTTAGAAGTGTGAAAGGGGCTCTAGCCAAAATGTGTCTCGCAGTAATTTTTGTTACATGGATCGTTACTGGGGACACGCTGGTCAACCATTGGCCGATTTTTTCTGTGTCCTTAGTAATACTCCCAGAAGTTTTTGTGAAAGTTAACTTGGTCCAGTTTCCTCTCGTCTCTAAAGTGGCGAATAACATCCTTGATCTCCATAATTCTTCAGATGATACGAAAGCCTCTTTCAATAAATTATTGTTTTATTGTTCATTCAAAATAATTTGTAATTTTAAAACAAGCACTGTAAAACATGCTTTCCTCCATTGTTGTTAAGTTCATCTTCGATGGTGTAAGTTTAGGAGATAAAGGTTTGTTCAGCTCTGCAAATGTTCTCCAAATAGCAGATGCTGCCGTTGAGTTGTCTTCTTGCTGTTCTTGCTGTGTTTTTAGCCAGTAGTTTACCTCTTTCTTCCTTGTGAAATGAGTGAAATGTTCTGCCATTTTGTATCACTACCAAAACAACTCAACCTCGTCCCCAGGTCCTCTTGGTTAACCTTTCAATAATCTGGCAATTTTGCTGCACGATTGACGTCATCAATTCACGTATTGCAAAATTCTTCCAAATTTGGTCGACAGTAGCTAGTTATGATGAATTATGCGTGGGATTTTAGCCAATAGAAATGGAGAAATATTTTGAATGAATAATACTGTTACTTATCATATGCAAATTCTTAAAGGTTGACCATGAGTGAGCTATTTGAAACAATCTGTGAAAAGGAAAATCTGAACACCGCTGAACATCAGCTGTCATTACCGAGGACAGGAGCAAGAAAAGTCACTTTTGATTCCGGAACAGCTGTTGGTTCCCTCACGATTAGAGAGGTGTCAATAATTAGAACTGTGCTATCAGCCAACAATGTTGGAAGTGCAGAGGTTGAAGAAGGGTCCTTTGAGGATTTACTTGATGTAGAAGGAGAAGAGGTGATTTGTTTCTTCATCAGTCAGAGTTCATAATCCTCGGTCATGTTTGTAAATAGCTAACTGGTTCCTCCTGCCAGTTGGGGGTTTTGATCTTGTTATGTTCTATTTGTATTATTTGTTTCTAATTATTTAAGTGGAGCACCTGTAAATTAGCTGGAAAGCCTCCTCAGTGTAAACAAAGCTTAACCTTTTACAGCTGATTGAGTAAAATAAGCGGGGCTGTTATTTAGAGGTAGGGCCGAGGATTTCTTCCAGGTACTTTCATAGGAAAATAGAAGAAACATAGCACTAAAAGAAATCCCTAGCTGTTAGATTCCCCACCTTCTTGTTGTATTTATCCGGCAACTTGAAATCCTAGTGACATCCCTGAATAAGGGCCTGTTTACATGGAGGTGGGGGACCCCAAGTAGGTGAGGTAACCCGCCTGTCCATACAATCTCTCATTTTAATTTGATCATGATTAGAGATTATATGAAGAGGTGGGTTTCACCACCTAAGGAGGTTAGCTCACCCACCTGGGGTCCTCACCTCCATGTATACAGGCCCTAAAATGCAACAGTATTCATTTTTAGTTATTAATTTTTATCACATTGGTTCTTTATAGAACAAAATTCTTCACATCTTTCTTCCCAATGGGACAAGAAAGTCTTACCGAGTGTCTACAGACATGACCATGAAACAGTTAGTGATGAGAGTTTGTTCACGGGAAAGGCTTAATCCCCGTCACCACTCACTTCAGTACATCGACTTTAAACATGAGTTTTTAGACATGACAAGCACCGTGGATGAAATTGAAGTCAACCAAATCAGACTTATGGATAAAAGAGGTACATAAATATGCTTACTTTAACTGCTCTGCACTCGGCTTCAAACATGAACTGCGAGTTTATTGAATACCATTTCTTTTTTAAAACTTTCATCAAGATCTCCTTGCTACTGGATTAATCTTTAGGCTTTTTTAAAAAATTATTTTCCTGAAGAAAATCAGAACTAAATCGCGAGTTAAACCAGCGTTTATACCATCAACTGACGTGATATACCTCTCTTTGACTCTGAAGGTGACTACCGCACAGGTTGTCGAAACGTCACTCACTGTCAACTACAGACCTATTCGGGGACTACGATCGCCCGGAAGATCGTGCGTCACCTACTTACGTGCGTCGTGCGTCACCTACTTATGAAATTTTTCCAGGGCTTAGACCTTTCACAGTTTTATCGTCAGTGTGTATGTGGGCGAATCTTGCCTGACATCACTGTTACCATTTTTGATCCATAGCATGCAAGTTAACCTATAGAAGGCGTCGCCGTATGTACGCGTGCAAATTAAGATCAACAATTTGAAAAGTTTGTTAACAGGAGCAATTAAAGCAAGTTTCATCTCCTCGTAGGAAACAGCTAAGGAAATAGCCACCGTCAAAAACTGAAAAATTTCTTGGTGGCGAAAAAAGATTAATGAGTGTAATGAGCCACTTTCTAAAAATTTCGATTTTTTTTTCAGATACAGAGAATTTCAACGAAACTATTAGGTACAAAGCGTTTTCACTTGACATCACGGCGGTCATATTGGTGTTCCAATAATTAAACTGCGACCATGTTGGTAACCTGTGAACAGGCCGTCCTTCCCTGTCCACCGAATTTCGCTCCTCCTGAAAAACAGGACGCCCAATCGCAGGTTACCATGTTGGTGTTCCAAACCAATCCTGTGGAAGTTAAAGTCTTTTCTAATATAAAAACTTTCTTTTGTTCCAATAAAATTTACATAGCTGCCAGCCACCCGAGTGAAAACGCTCTATATCGAGCTCATATTTTTAGAGAGAACTAATATTGCCAATAGAGATATTACTCTGAAAGTTTGATCAGAGGAAGATAAGCTTGTTAATGACGCAAAAAGGAATGCAAACAGACATCCCAACTTCAGGTGTCAAGACACTCGATAAGAAGTAATTTCTAGTTTATTATTGTCTTTGAGTGTTGTGCGTGAGCAAAGTGAGGGCGTGTTGGATTGAATTGATTGATTGTTGGATTCCGTATTCTGGAATAAGAAAAAAAAAGGAATTGAGGTTGTTTTTAGAAAATGAAATGAAATCCAAGCTTCAATTGACTGCAAAACAGTCCGTATTTTTGCGTATTCAAGTACGCGCGAGCAGTCAAACAAAAGGTCTGAAAACGCGCGTAAGACTCTTACGCCACGCTTTACCAATTTCTTTACTGATTTTGAGAAAAAAACCGACTCTTTTGCAGTCTAAAGCTTCAACAGCTTCATTGCGGAACGCATTTCGGCTCCAGTTCCTTTCTCCGGCATTTGTGTGTAGCGTTTAAATGGCCAAAATTATCATGGTAGAAGAGATTTGCAACGAAACGTTTGCGAATGCACCCTGAGGCTGCGCGGCTGAGAGCTACATGTGTAATATAAATACCTGCTGTGTAATAGTGGCTGTTTTTCTTCTTGGTTGTATGGCGTATAGTCCGTGTAAGTTCAGTCATATAAGTTAAGCTCTGCTGGTTTACCTAAACTGTTACAGTGTCATGTGCTGTTAAGAGGAAACTCGCGCAAATTCGCTGCAAGCTTTGTCAAAATCCTAATTTATTTATAAATATGCTAAACCGCTACATTTGTGAGTCATTCCTCATTTCATGATTTTATTCTTTGCCTTTTTATTGACATGTCACTCTCATGTTTTCATTTCCTAATGCCATTTTAGGACGTAACGTTTCCAGATCATCGATAAGTGATGATAATTCTCCAACTAATGATACAAAACACTTCAGTGAGTACACTAACAGGACACAGTAACAGAGCCAACTTCCTTACCACAGTAATATTTCCCACTCCAGAAACTATAAGAGGAACAAGCTTTCAGCCATGTTTCAGCGCAACAATTTTTGGAATGGTTTGGTTGGTAAAGCATTACTTATGATTGGTTAACGGTTGCCTTGGATACCAACGACCAATCATAACTTACCCTTGTCCATCCAAACGATTCCATAAATCACTGCACCTAGAGCTTGTACCCATTCTTCCTAGAGTTTTTGAAGTGGGGAATTATGTTGATAGGGAGATTGCCTCATATTAATGCATTATCATCCTATGCACTGAATTCACGCATCTGTTCAATCAGTCATCCTCTTCTTTAATCACTCACGCAACCATGTCCTTTCTTTCACTTTTTCATTTTCCATTTTCCTAGTCATCTGTACATCAGTCATCAACACTTTGCTTAGACTATTCACAGTTCCCTACTTTTTCGTAAGATCGTCTTGGTCGAGTGCTTACCGATACGGGCGACTATCTTGGGTTCATATATACCGAGGGGGAGGGCGTCGGGGTTTATAGGAGTGATGGTGGGGGTAGGGGGCAGATTTTCTTTTGCCTTCTCCCAAACCATCCCCCTCCCCTTAAGGGACTGGTCAAAAAGTATAGGGGGGGGGGGGGTGGGCCGGAGCATTTGGAAATATGGTTGATAAAAAACGCATGACCCACCCCCTTCCTTCGGCACAAAAATGACTGACCCACCCCTAAAGCAAGGTTGGAAATTGCATGACCCACCCCCTAGTTAAAACATGGATGTTCGGTTTCCTCTTAATAATCCAATAAAACCTTGTTCTGTGCTTTACAAAATTTGTTGATACACTGCTACAAGCAATATCAAAATCACAGAAATCATACCTTTCACTAAAAAGACAAATGTGAAAAACCGAACATTTCTTGTTTCAAGGGACGTTATGAGTCTTGACACAAATATACAGCAAAACGAGGGTATATTGAATTTATCTGTCACAAAGCATATGAAAATTTCAACAAAGACAACCCATTCCTACACATTACTTGCCGGAAATGCTTAGATTAATCCTCAACGAAAATTTCTTCCACTTCAGTGGAAAGCAATACCTACAAAACCATGGAACTGCAATGGGCACAAAGACAGCAGTTTGGATTCTTTTGCCAATATTTTCATGACATATATTGAAACAACAACTCTAAGCAAAACTGTCTTTGGAACAACAGTTTGGAAATGCCACGTACACGATATCTTTGCCCTATGGGACATGAGTAAACCAGACATCGAAGCCTTCATTGAACAAGCAACCTTACATCACCTAACTATTGAATTCACGGCCGAAACATTTGACACTGAGACTGCGTTTTTAGACAATGTTGTATACAAAGGCACAAGATTCAAGGAAAAATCTATCCTTGATGCAGACACATTTTAAACAAACGGAAAGCTTCTTGCACACACATTTCACCTCGTGTCACCCTCCAAATGTTAAAAAAGAATTTGTAAAAGGAGAAGCCTTAAGAATCCTACGAAAAAACTCCTCAGAAACAACCTTTGAGGAAAATAATTCAAATTTAAAAAAAAACGACGGAGGCTACCCACAATCTTTCAGGGGCACCCAACGTCAATTTTCGGAAAATATTTGTTCGAAAGACGATTTGAGATCTAGAATTTTCGGAACATTTGTTGTAAAATTTCTTGCTTGTCTGCCCCTCCTAGGATTTTCGAACATCTAAAAAAATGGTATAATTGCCCATTTTTAACGGATTTTTACCCTAAGGTCACCTAAAATTTTCGGGAGCCTTTTTTCTGGCTGAAATTTTCGAAAAGTTAAGTTTTGATCCCTATAATTTTCGTATCACTAGACTTTCAGCTAGGAGATCCGAACAGATGAAAAATTTTTAGGGGATAAAAATATGCCTATATCTACTCTTTAAATACTAAAATACGTTTAACAATGCTATGTTTAAGTGGTTTTGAACCATATTCTCGTTGGGTGCCCCCTATCTTTGATAGAAAACCTACTATCAGAAATAAAATTCACAAAAGGGAGTCTAAACTTGTAAAACAAAACGACAAGGAGGAAAAAGAAATATTGCCATTCGTGACACAATACCAGCCCTCAGTGTAGATACTATAAAGGAAGCTTGAATGAAAAAATGGAATCTTATACAAAACCAACTATACCTTCAATAAATTTTAAAAGAACCCCCAATCATTTCCTTACAAAAAAGGAAAATTGTTAACGGAACATGCTCGTTAGAGCCGAAAAAAAAAAAGGTTGACAGAGGGTTCCACGCCCGTATAGATGTGCGGCCTGTCATATAACAAGTGGCCTGTTATATAACAAGTGTAGTCAACTTTCTCGTTAGTAGTTAGTAAAAAATAGGGTGACCCACCCCCTGAGGGTAGCTGAAAATTGCACGACCCACCCCTTGCACAAGGCTCAAAACCTCATGACCCACCCCTCTCTGCTCCGCCCCCCCCCCCTATACTTTTTGACCAGTCCCTAAGTAGATGGATGGTCGCCTGTTCTGCAAAGCGCGCGATCTCGACGATCTTGCAGAAAAATAGGGGACTGTGAACAGTCGACACTTAGTGTTCATTTTTTGTTCAGCTTTTATTCGCAAGAAGAGTTCCACTTTGCATTGAAACGTCATTACACCTTTTTTCGTTGCGACCGTGTGCAGTGGATTTTTTTAACCTTTTCAGTAAATTTCGTGGATTAACAAGCCATTTAAATCACAGCGTGGAGTATTGAGCCCTGCCGTGGTAACTTGAAGTAAAAAAATTTTCAAAAACTGATTTTGAAAGAAAACTGAGTCCTTTCCAGAGTCCCATCGTATTTATTCATTACTTCTGTGCGTCTTTTTGTTCTTTCATTTCACAATTGTGTCACTCGTGTTTCTAACCACTGACTCATTCATTGATACATTCAGTGGTTATCCTCACTTTCATCTATTCATTCCAACACTGAAATTTAAAGGATATGCATGATTATCTTAACCGCCATGCTAATATAATTGTAATGCTGGTGCTAATGGTCAGTTAAGGTTGATGCTGATGTTAACATTGATGTGATGCGGACGCAATGCTTTCCTGCTAATAGTGCTTTACTACTAATGCATGTGCTAATGTTAATACCAATGAATGGTGATATTGATGCTAATGCCTAGACTAACACCAAAATTATGGGAGCTCTGCGTGAATACTCTAACCTGTTGTTTTTACTAGCAATGTAATTGGATTGATGGGCAATCCAGTCTTTCTCACATTTGACATAACCAGGCTAACAGTAGTCTACTACTCAGTCGTTCTTTTTGTCGTCACGCAACGCTCCTCTCACGTGTTACGTGACAACACAAAGAACGCCCTTTGTAGCAGACTAAGCTAACAGTGGCAATATAGTCGCCCGAAATTTTATTAAAGAGTGTGTGTAACATATCACGTTCTTTAAGCCATAGTGAAACGAAACAAGCAGGATAATTGTGCAGTATAGTCTCGTTCTTTAAGCTATGATACTATGGTGCGACAAAACAAGCGAGATGAATGTGCAACCGATCTCGTTCTCTGTGCGGTGATGAGACGAAACAAGTGGGATAAATGAGTAATATATCTTTTTTTTAAAGATTTGATGAAACGAAACAGGCGCGATTAACATGTTTGGATGTTGTGGAGCATGATAAAATTTTGGGCGATTTGACTGAAAATGTCGGGCGACATAACTTTTATTTCGGGCGACATAACTTGGGGTGAAATGACTCTTGCGTGACGTGACCGTAAACCCTCAAGAAGACAACAGGAGTCTCTGCTCGCAGGGTGGGGAAACGAGACCAATCCTCGCGTGTCCCCAGTCCTCGCGTGCGACACCCACGCAAAGCTCAAGTGATGGCATCCTGAAAAGTAGCTGTCCTCCGATGTGAAAGTCAGGTCACTGTTTAATTAAAATTTTTATATTTTTCTTCCATCAGAGTTTAGAAAAAGTAGTGGAGTTGATTTGGAATCAGATTTACCATCAGTTATTACCGGAGAGCAGAAGGAGACGAGCACATCGTGGCAGAGAAGCAAGTCTCTGGATGAGCTTTCTGATGATAGAGAGCCTGAGGTGTTTTCTGAGCCGGATGGACAAGTGGTAGATAAGGTAGTTTGCTTAAAGTTGTCCATAAGGCACTCTATATGAATAACTGGCCGTAATACTTGAGAATCAATCGGACGAGTAACTAGTGGAAAAAGCAGTTCCAGGGGAGGGGGCCTGGGGACCTGCCCCCCCTTATTTTTAGACCAAACTGAAAAAAAATTTTTTGAGACTTCCTTCCCTCCCTCCCCATTATCTCAGGGTCTGGATGACCGCCCCCCTTGTCTGAAGGCCCCCCACCCCCCCGCCCCCCCTGTCTGAAGGCCCCCACCAATGTGGTTAGCGAATCTCTAAATTTGTGACTTCTCGCCCCGTGTACACGTCTCCTGATATCTGAGACTTCTGCGATTAAATACCCGCGAAAGTAACTACCAGAAAGGTACATTAACACTCAAAATGCGTTTTTTTTCTGTAGGTTAGTCCCAAACATTCAACCGCCAATGGTTCAGTTCCATCTGCTGCGAGACGACACTCCAGTGGGTGCGGCTCCACTAAAAAGCCACCAGTCATGCCAATTCCGTATGCGTCAAAGACATCAAGTTTGCCTAAGAAACCTCCCAGAGATATGCGCAATGGAAATCTAAAGACCTCGACCTTTAGCCCGATAAAAAAGGATGGCATCATTTCGGCTTCTACCCCCGACTTGAGTTTGCTTTCTGCCAAGTCAGATGACTCGCTTGGGAATGGCAACATCAAGACTTCTACACCTGACGTTAAGGCTAAACGCAGAGCCGCTCCGCCTCCGCCTCCACGCCCAGTAGCTCCCAGAGCTTTGTTTACCGACGGGAAACCAGATGCGCCAGCAAACAAGCCTGGTTTGTTAATGAAAACGTCTACACCCATGCCTGGAACTAATCCGTTATCAGCCACTTCGGCAGCTGATGTTAAGTTTAAGCCAAGTCACAAGAAAAGACCTGCCCCACCACGCCCACCTCGACCCGTCCCGCGCCATCATCCCGCGAGACGGGGTTCGACAGAGAGCAAGGACTCGAGAAGCTCTGAAGAAGATTTCGGCAAAAAAGAGGATGTAAGGCCACAATTTAAGCAGAACGGGAATATCCCCAGAACCGATCGTGCGGCATTGTCACTAGATCTTGATCCCACCATACGCGCTTACCGGGAGGATGAGGAAGGGGAGGACGACTTGAGGGGTGTCCCTATCTTTATTCCTCCTCCCCCTCCGGATGAACTACCACCCCCACTGGATGAGTGTGAGACACCGGTGGGGCCTTTGACCGACTTTGAGGAAGACATATTAGAAGGTAACAACATTAACGTTTTATAAAACTCAAAACTTAGATCTTTACTTCAATGCTTGTTACTAACTCTTCCTCAAACCTTTCAGTACCATTTTCTGTGAGGAAACGCTAGGGCCAAAACAGAGCTTTTTAGTAAATTTTAGTGAACTGCTGTAAAGAAATTCATAAAGCCCTTCGCTGTCGCGTCTCCTTTAGCGTGACCGCTCGCTCGTGACGTTGCACGATAAGCCCCAAATGAAGAGCTTGCTCGCAGGTTAATATTCACCGGGGTTGTTTACCATTTACACGGGCAAACCGGTCGGTCCACGGTTTAGGCAATTGGTACTCAGAATTCAGGACTGGTAAATTTCGCCCCGGAATCGCGTTTATCATTTGTACGAATCAGTTCCATTAGTATAGGTAATAGCATGATTTGTACTGATATTTGGCATAAATACCACGAGTGATATTTCGAAATTGTTTTAACGAGACAATTTTGAAATATCACGAGTGGTATTTTTGCCAAATATCACGTACAAATCGTGCTATTATTTGTTGATACTACTACTTCTACTAAAAGGTTTGTAATTTTCACATGTAGGTATTGCAAATTTAGCTAAAATACCACTGCTCTAAGCCAATCAAATTGCAGAAATTTTCTCGTGTAGTAGTATAAACCGGAAAACGACCGCGAAGGCCTGAAACTGGTAACAAAGATGGCTTTGAAGAAAGGGAACACGAATTTCTGTTTGGAATACTCCGTCCGGAGAAAACAGGACTATCTTTTCGGGTGTTCCGTTGTTTCCGGAAATTTTCCACTGGAACGACCAAAAAAGTCATGTTCCATTTACTTTGCAACCGGATTTTCCGGAATCTTTTTGTAAATGGTAAACAACCAGGGTTTCTTTGCGCACCAACCATTTTAAATTTCAAGGAATAAATCTATTGCAATGACGTTATTTTTAAATATCCTTACAGTATATAGTCGACTGAAATAGCCTTTATAATGTAAGGGCCATTTCTTTAGAGGGTGTAGATGGATGGGGGGATAAGGGAGATAATTATAAATGTTTGTCTTCTTTTTATTTTCATTTAGGCTCTCCAGGTGAACGCTTTCCGGTAACAGTCAACGGCTTTGTAGGAATTGGGAAGTATTTAGCTCCCTCTCAGACACAGACTATTGAGAAGGAAACTGGGCAAAGTTCGGAGTTCCAAAATCCAGCTCTGTGGTCAAAAACTGAAGCTACTCTGGCCACTGTTCCGGAGGATGATTCGATTTCTGTCGTCCCACCGCCGCCAATGTACTCAGAAACTCCGGAATCATCTTCAAGTGAAATCCGGCTCGAAAAAGAACCTACCGTCGTGTCAAACAAGAGAAACTTAGCCTTTGTCTTTCCAGATCTTAGCAACAAGGTCAGTACTCCAAGTCTGCCTGATAATCCACCGCCTTCATTAGAAACAGAGGCCACATCAACAAGCCAGCGCAGTGAAGAGAAAGGCCGCGATTCGGGGCTTGACGAGAGCCCAGAAAACCTTGATATTTCTCCTCCTTCAGATTCGTCAGAGAATGTCCCGGTTCAGAGCTGGGAGGATGTCGATTCTGGTTCCAATTTAGACGTCGTAAGTACCATTCCCCCACCTGTGGATTTTGCTACTACACGCCCACTTACCCCTCCCTGTCAGTTCGCAAATGCTACTGTTGCACCCCCTGAAAAATTTGTTGAAGAGGAAGTGAAAGGAAAAGAACCTGAGAAAGCACAACCTCGGAAGAAATTGAATGTTAGTGAAGCTTTGTTTCCATGGATGAACAAACCTCGAGCTCCTATAAATGCCACGGTACCGCTGGCAGTGTCCCTGGACAACAAAGGCGCTCCAGAGGATGAAATACCACAACAAAAGCTTCAAGATGGCGAGAAGATTTTTATAAATCAAGGCGATGGAGAAAAATCACAAGCTTCCTCTGCAAGTGCTGTTGTTTCGACGACAAGTATCATCGCAAGCCAAGGCCATCAATGCCAAAGTGAAGGCGGGTCGTCAACAAAAGAACTAAGCCCCAAAGAAGAGGAACAAGAAGTCAAAGGAGTAAGAGAAGTGTCAAATATAGAATTATCAAAAGCATTGTCGTGTGATGGTAGGGCAACACAAAAAGTTGAGTTGCCGGAGTCAAACGCAGTAAAAACAGATGAAGTCGCAGCTGTAAGTGTCAGCTCGATAAAATCAGAGTGTTCTGGATCTCGCAATACTTCCAATCCATTGACAAACACTGTTCGCCCGGAAGTGAAAGCAAAGCCCACGAGGAGGTCTGTCTATAAAGAGGAAATCAAAGTTGAGCCTGCGGTCACTGACACACAGCAGACAGCCCCAGTATTTTATCCATCCTTGGAAGTTGCAAGAGAAGAGCCAGAGACTACAGTTGCGAAACCAGAACCAAAAGTAGTAGCCGTTAAACCAGAAACAAAAATCAAGCCAGTTATTTCCGTAAAGGAGGAAGTAAAGGTTGTAAACTCCTCCTTAGTAAACAGACAACGGCCGGAGTTACCCTTTAAACCTGTCAAACTGGAAGTACAAGTCAAACCTGAAAAACAGGAAACGGAAGAAGAGCCTGTAACAGTGGTAAAACAAGAAGCTGGAGTTACAGTTGAGGTACATACTACCTCGGTTAGTCACTTGCCTGGAGAAGATACAAAATCGGAATTAGGGCTTTATGTTGTAGAGATCAAGCCAACCGTTAAATCTGAGAAAACAGAAACACCTAATCCATCAGCACTTATTAAAGATGAAAAAGTTGACTTTGAGGCTTTTACACCCTCCTCATGTAATCCGGCGGTAAATGATAAAGAGAAAACAGATGAAACAGAAAAGGCAAAGGTGCAAGTCAAGCCAGAGAAACTAGAATCGAGCGTTAATCCAGGTTCAATTGTACTAGGGAAAGAAATTAAGTTCGAAGTCGATGCCCCTCAGTATTCTGGAGATTTAAGCATTAAACCTCCACAGTTTGAAAAAGTACAGACGTCATCGCAGGGTGAATCTCTAAAGTCCGAAAATGCAGAATCACATGATGTTCAAGAGGTTATAGTTCCACAGTTAAGACCTGTACTGGAAAGCAGTATAAAAGTGGTTGACAAGGAGCAACCAGTATTTGCTGTCAGTTCTTTGAATGAAGCAGCATTAGAGGCAAATACTTCTCTACCGAAAGCGACTACAACGATTGTTCCTATAGGAAATGATGACGCTATTGTGGAATCCATTGTTACTCCAGAGACTAAAACTACTCCCTCCCCGCATGACACGTTCAAAGATTTGGCCGAAAGGCTTCAGGAACTAGATGAAGGCTCCGTACCCTCTATATCCAACTCGAAAACGTCCGGTAATAGTAAGGCTGTCTCCGCAGCGTATCACGAACCTACAGTTCCAAGTAAAGACCACTTTGTCGAGGACGTCATCGTACCTGAGACGAAACAAGTCGAATTCTCTGTATATAATCAGTTTGAGGAGCTGCTGAAGTTGGACAATGAAGAGATAAAAGCTGTTGACGCTGGAAGTAAAGTAAAAGAGGATCTGCCTGTTAATGCTATTGCGGAAGAGCAGTACCATCCTAATCAGGGGTCTTCATCAAATGAAGCTGCTGATAGTGATTTGCATTTAGATCTGTCATCTCTACAGAAATCTCCCGAGCCCCCACGCCCTCCTTCTTCGTCACCTCCCTCAGTGGTCGTCTCGCCTAGGTCATCTGTATTACCTTCTCCCAGGGAATTACTCAGCGACGGGTCAACTGAATCTGGGATCTCCCTCACCGAGGAGCCTAGAGGTCCTGCCTCATTGTATACAAATGAGAAAACGGAATATACGCCAGTTCATACTTCCCATACACAATCGGCTAGAGATACCGGTGCTGCGAGGCAGCACCCAACAGAAGAGAAACCTGTAAAAGCCCCTTTTAAGCTTCAGCGTCCACTTAGCATGCCGGCGGGACATCTAAGTGACTTAACGGGTGACATTGTTCAAAAAGACCTCAGATCGACAGTACAATCAGACTCAAGAAAGTCTAGCACGTCTGAATCGACTGGTGTTTCTTCGTCGTCTTTGCCTTCATCTCCCGTCGAAAGTGATCAACATGGCAACACAGAACTAGTTGATCTCCCCAAGCCACCTCCATTTACGGTTCCACCTCTCAGGCGCTACTCAGATCTTGCAGCTGACCTCAGCTTCGTTTCCTCGGCGGCGAAGGCCGCTGTGAAATCACGCGAAGATGCACCCGAGCCTAGCGCACCTCCTAAACCAGGTAACTCGTTCCTGAAGCGCAATTCGTTTTCTGTTGAGGAGCGGCCCCGGAGTTGGGTGGGACCAGAAACAAGTAGCAAAAACGTAGAGAAATCCCAGGAAAGTGTCGCGAAGCCTAGTGCACCTCCTAAACCAATTAACAGTGCCCTGAAGCGAAGCTCGTTTTCTGTCGAAGAGCGTCCCCGGAGTTGTAGGGTACTAGAAACAAACGACAAAAACGTGGAGAAATCCCAGGAAAGTGTATCGAAGCCTAGTACACCTCCTAAACCAATTAACACTGCTCTGAAGCGAAGTTCGTTTTCTGTCGAAGAGCGTCCCCTGAGTTGGATGGGACCAGAAACAAACAACAAGAGACCAGGGATGTTTTCTTCGGCTTTCAAGCCGGTGTCATTTAGTGTACCGGGAAAGCCCGTTGCTCGTCCAGTTGAATTCAATGCCAAGCAATTTAACACACCAACTGCATTGCCGGGTGCACCATCTGCGAACAACCACGTAGTGTCCATAAATGAAAAGTTACAAGTGAAAAGCTCTCTTAAAACGAGTGACGAACCACAGAAGCCTACCCTTGTAGAAGCAGAAAAGCCTGAGGGGAATTCAAAGAGTGTATCTTCTCTGGCCCCTGAGGTTTCGCCGCTATCCATAGACAAAACAACTCGCGCCCATCAACCTACATCAATTGATGCTAACAATAATCCCCTGTCAAAGAAATCAGAGCCTCATGAAACAAAGTACGAAATCGCTTTTTCCGGCAGTCCATCAGAAACGCAAATTGCTTCCCAAGACCAACTTAACAAAACTGTTAGTGGTTCACGTCAGTCTTCTAAGAACGTGTCTGGTTCCAGCTCAATTAGGGAGCAGATATTGCGTGACGCATCTGGAGGGAACAAATTCACGCGCCCCAGACCTCAGTCGGCCGTTTTTGGTGGCTCTAAATTCCAAGTCTTGTCCTCAGATGAGAAGACGACTGGTATGAATGGAGGCAATTGGGCTGACGTTAAGAAACTTGCAGCTCTCCAATCAGGCTCTACAAAGGGTGTGGGTGCATCTTGGGTGAAAAGCCAAGCAAATGAGCCGAGCAATCCGGATTTGCCGCACGTTGCACCTAGGCCAGCCCCACAAGAAAAGACCGTTAACCTGAAGCTGCATTCAAGGGAAGTAGAAAGTAAACCACTGCCCGTGAATACTGTTGGTGGTAAACAACAGCAACAGGTCGTAGCTGATACCAAAAAGCACCCTGTGAAGACAACTGACACCACGCCGCAGCCAGTGAAATCAACTGCTGCTGTCACACCCCAGCCAGCAGTCAATAACGGATCTCTCCCTAATGTTGTCATGAGAACCAAGACGGGGCCACATGACCTTACCAAGCGTCACTCTGTGCCTACCTACATCATCGAAGGAGCTGATGGGAACCAACCGCTTAAAGTTAGTGGCGGTGGAAGGCAGGTATGATATGCCGTTATTTAGGGCCTGTTTACATGGAGGTGGGGGGCCCCTGGAAAGTGAGGTAACACGCTTAGGTGGGATAACCCGCCTTTCCATATAATCTCTTTTATGGTCCCCTTACCTATCATGTAAACGTGATCAAATAATATGGACAGGAGGGTTCCCCACCTCAGCGGGGTACCTCACTTACGTGGGGTCCCCTACCTCCATGTAAACAGGCCCTTAGCCTGCGTAGCTGGCGCAATTGTTTTTGCGCGTGTGTTTAGAGTTTTTACGCGTTTTTTAGAATTTGGCGGCTTTCGCGGCCGCCTGTTCCGCCTATTTCCCTTTCGTAAACGGTCGTTGCCATTTTTAACGGTCGATGTCACCACCAACAACAAAAACAACAGTTTATTCAATGACCAAATAATTTAAGACTATGTTACCCACAATTAGCGGAGCTATTCCGGGTGGGCAACAATACAAAATTGTCTCCTATAAAGTCGGCAAAACAACGGTAAGTCAAGAGAAAGCAAAAACAAAATGATATAAATAAAAGATAGAACCTATAGATATAAGGAGGGAAAACCCTTTAACTGAATAAGGAGTTCGGGTAGGAACTGGTAATGGTACTCATATTACCATTGGTAACCAAGCCTTTAGTCGTGATAGATGCAATATCTTCCCTGGATTAAGGTACAATAAGGCAAATAATACGTTTTTTAATAGTCTTAGAAAAACAACGTTAAAAGTTATGGAAAGGGTCAGCGTCACCTCTTATTGATGTATCAGTCAAGAAAGACAGTTTTCCAGTTTATGCACTTAAATGTTTCTAAATTTTGGCGGATCAGTCTGGTAGCTAGTGTAGTGGTAAGGGAGAGAGAGAGAGAGTTTGCAAATAGTAATATGGTAATATTACCCCACCTCTTGTGCCTGTAGAGACATTTATTTTCTCGTGCTTTTAGTGTCACAGAATTCTGACACAATTTCTGGATAAATGTGAAACCCTGTGGGTGTGGTCCCCCGGGCTATGGGAGAGGGGTGGTGGGTTGAGAAGAGGACACCTTACGCATAGACGTGACTGATTCTTAGATGTTTTTTTTTCACAGTTTAATTTCGTCATGCAGAAAGTAAAAACGGACACAACTGCAGAAAGTTGAAAAGAAAGAAGGAAACACTGAAGGTAAAACCATTAAAATACTGTGCACTAACAGGGCTCGAAATTAAAAAAATCCTCTGGTCGCCTTTTGGCGACCAACTGGAGAAATATAGTCGCCAGATGCAAATTTTTAGTCGCCAGTTCGTATAATGTAAATGACGCAGCTCGTAGTCAGGGCTTCTGATATTTTGCGCCGTCGCAGAGCCGCGAAATTCACAAAAACACGCAAAATACCGTGAAATTCGGTAGAAATCTTAAAACATAATTGAAACTTTTCTCAGCTGAGAAACTTCGTCACTGAAACGTGAAACAACGTCTCGTAACTCCGAAACTACCAAGAATTATGTAGGAAAAAGGCATTGGTTCAGTTCTGAAGGTTGAAAACCAACAACATTAAAAACGCTGGTCTGATCAGCGCAAAAACGATCGATCTCACTTTTCCCCGAAAAATAACCATTTTTTGTTTTTCGGCTGAAGATTGAAATAATTTTCCCGCGAATTTGCCCCTATGTTTGACAAGCGACCTATTAGAAGCCCTGTGGGATCCAAATTTGACAATATCGAAAAATAAATTTGGAGGTAAACTGAGTCCCCAGCATGTCACGCGCGTGGGACAAAGAAAAAATCTGAGTCCCCGACAGGATTTGAACCTAGGACCTCCCAAACACCGCGTCGGGCGGGCGCTCTATCCACTGAGCTGTCGAGAACTGAGAGCGAGGCCATATACATTTGTTTTGCCACTCTTCTTGAACAAGATCAAGTGCTTCAAATGTTAGTTCTCGGTCTTTATCCTTGTAATAACATCAACGTCTTTCCGAATGCTCTTTCTTTATAACATGAGAGGGGCGAGAAAAGCCGCTACACGTGTGGTCGGTCTTTTATCACGGAGCTTAGCAAAGCCGTTTTTGAGCGACGCACGTCAACCGGAAGTGGGCTTTTTGCATCCTTGGGCAGTGGTTTTACCCAGTTTTTCGGCAAATCTTCTTTACAAGAGAAAGGACACTTAGTGGTACAATTTTGATAGCGTTTAGGCATGTTAAATGGGAAAAGGCCTTACTTTAGTCCGGTGGACGTACGTCGCTCAAAAACGTCTTCGCTTAAGTTCCCTATTAATGACTGACGGGAAGAGAGACATTAGGGAAGCTTTATAAGCGGATCAAGTTAGGTTTCTTGGAAACTTCCCTCCTACCCCTCCCCTAAGCTATCATTTTCCTCTAAGCGAGAAGTAAGTGTTAATGTTAGTTTAAGGGAAGGGGTAGGGGGGCAGTTTCCCAGAAACCTACATTGATTCGCTTAAGGAACGACAGCGTAAAAACACAATTGGTTGCATGAGCAAAACAACATGATGCTCGTGCATCACGCGTTTTATAACACTTCTTTGACGTTCACTGCACGTCTACGACGTGAGACCTCCTAATGCAACGTTTTATGGAGGTTGCGAACATCCTACGACGAATTTTCCTTCCTCTTTTTGAACCCGCACGTATTCCTTCAGAATTCGACTCCAGGAAAAAATCGCCTACATTTGACAAATTAAGCGGATCTAAATAGAAGGGGTAAAGTTTGAAAGGAAGCAAATACCTTTTTTAGCAACGTTTTGACAGCCGTCGTCGTCATTGTGCTCAGTTAAGCTCCCTACCCCTTTTGATGACGGATATTATGCTATTAGTTTAGCAATAGCCAATCATCGTAAAATATTAAATACGAAATGAGGCGAAACAAATTTTATCAGATGCCTTATAAAAAAAGGCCAAAGTTGTTCTTAGCTTTACTCCCTAACTTGTTTTGGCCAATAAACTCTGCAAATTCACCACTTAAGAAACGAGAAGGGAACTGGACCGAATTTACTTTCGCAAAGACTTTTGGGTCTGTTACTATGGATAGGGAAAAAATTGGCCAATAGCTGACCGTCTCGTCCCCAAAAATTATCCCAGAAACAATTGCGGGAGGCATTTCGGTTTCAGTTCCCTTCTCGTGTTTTATGTGGCGAATGGCCAATGAGCGCCATAGTGTAAACTGATTTCCCTTTATTCATGTGAAAACCAAAAAAAAGCTCGTAAAGCAGTAAGGGCGAACTTTGGCGTAATGGCCTTTGTTAAATTAATAGGTTTTCGCGCGCGTGTTGCTGCTAATGTCCTGCAATAGCAGTTCTCGTGGCAATATTTCTCGAAAATTAACCTACCAAATAAAGGTTCCGATAGCATCCTTTTACTTGTTTAACTACTATGCATGTGTTCTTGAAAATTATTCCACAGATTAGACGTTACGATCACGTCTCAACACTCTTTTCATTAGCCATGTACGTATCCTATCCAACCCTTCACGTTTTCTTTTGTTCGTAAGCTCACTTCAAATTGCTTGAAGCATAGTGAGTAGTAAGCGATAACTTAATTTTGCCTTCATGCCAAGTTCAAGCTAATGGTAATCTTGTTAAGGCTTTAAGTAATTAACGAGTAGTACGAAGGAGTTAAGAACATATCTGTTTTATTTGCCAGGAGATTGATGCAAAATGCGCTTGAATCAGATTGTGTAAGTGGCTATAAAAAACTAATATTATTTTTGCTTGTTAACAGTATGATGCTTCTTCCTCCCTCTGCTGTTTTCTTTGCGTTTATTATTATTATTTTTAAAATCTTAACTCTAATCAACAACTGACCATAGTGCTGCTAATCATTACGGATCATTTTACGTTTCTGGGAATATGCTTACCTACCCCTCCCCTAAGCCTGCATTTTGCCCTACGTAAGAAGTAAGTGTTAATGTTGGCTTAGGGGAGGGGTAGGTGGGCAGTTTCCCAGAAATGGATAATGACGTTGGGGTCCAGTTTATGTGGAGAAAACATATCTCGGGTAGAAGGATCACTCGCCTACCCGAGCTACCCTGGGCGGAACCAGCTTTTCCTATATTTCCTTACCAAACTTGGCGAACCGTTTTCACGAGAAGCAAAAAGTTGACTCGTCTAGAAGGGTGACCCATGCACCTAGCCGGGTCATCCTTTTACGACGGTGAGGTCACACTCCTCAGCGAGCCCGCTTTTCTCCACATAAACACTTTGGCTTGCCCAGGCAGGTCAACTCGGATATGGCTCGACAATCAGAGCATGCGCGAGTGCCGTTATTAGCTCTTGACTCGGGCAAAGGGGTAAACCTTTTTTTCTCATATAAACGCTCGCTTAAATTGACTCGGTTGGGACGGTGCCCCTCTTTTCCGGGACAACTTTTCTCCGTATAAACGGAGCCATAGTAAGATAGACTGCTAGCAGTCTCTCTTTTTATTCAGATTTAGTGAGGGGAGTGCACGCGCGCGGAAGCGAGACGCGAGAAATGAGGACGGCAGCCCGAGAAGAAAACTCTCTTTTCGTGCCTACGTCTCGCGCCTTCAGTCACGCTCGTGGTAATTTGTGTCTCGAGCGTTTTGGTCGACGGACCAAGAAAAAAAGAGAGACTGCGCGTAGTCTATAGTAAGATGGCTTTCTAATGACTGCCATACATTCAAAACGAGTCGATCACAACAATTGTAAAAAAGCCAGAAAACCAATAAGTATTGGAAACACTGGAAATATTGGACGGAAATATTCTTTTCAGGGAGTACCCAACCAAGTTGGAAAATCGCGGAAATTCCAGAGAGTGGGGGTGGGGGGTATGACAAGCACCTGCTGGGATAGAAATTGCAGGTGGTTAGAGGTCTGAAACAGAAGTGCCCACCGTGGAAAGATATATATGGATATTTTTATTTCGGAACTACACATTCTGCCAATAAATGATAAAACTAACAAGCACGTTGCTTGACCGCTGAATGCCTAACCGAAGTTAACCAATAAGTGGAATAAATTACTAAGTACTAAACGTCAAATAGTAAACATTCACATTTTGTTCGTACCTGCATGCATGTTTATTTTAGTCGTTTTAATTTGGCTTTACTACTTTCCATCTTGCAGGTAGCAAATATGGAGAGGTGGATCTTGAGAATACCTTATGGGTTTAAAAACATTTTCATGCAAATGTAGTATTACTTTCGCTTCTAAGAATATCAAAAAAATTCAAGAAATATAATTTCGTCAGGTCAAATTTTGAAAAGATAATATCACCATGCGAAAGTACCATTGAAGAGGTTTCATTTGAGTGACCATGCTGCATAATTTTGTCCGCGGACTCAAAAAATATAACTACAGTAGCTTGTACAGAATTATTAACAGCACTACAGGAAATTACTGGTCAGTAGCTTTGATTTGAATCGTCACGCTTTAGGATTTCATCCACATATAAAGTTAGAGCTATATTAGAATTACAGCTTGCTTTTCTTTATTGACTCCAGAGTGAGAGAACGAAAAACGTTCTGTTGAACGTATCTATACAGCAGTTATTTATTGTGTCGTCTGTTTGTAGATGTTACAAACATTTTAATAAGGATCAGTAGCAGTTTTGGTGACATGCACAGCCTTTCTCGCCAGTTTCATACACTTGCATTGGGAGAATATTTTAAAATGTAAAAAACAAACTAAAACTTGCTTTCTTATTTAAATCTTTCAATCCCGCTGAGGCTTAAAACACTGTAGTAATACGACATCATCTTGCATTTTACCTATTCATTACAAAAAACGCAGATTTGCAATTCGTGTACGTGACTTTTTTTTTACCGTTTTTTGGTTGTGCACAGAGCCCTCGTTTAGTTTGGTCAGCGTCTTAACGTAATATACGAGACGTGCATTTTGACAAGCATGACGTCATTGCGCATGTTTTTTCAAGTAACGCTGTTTGTACAAAACAGCGTAGGTGTAGTAAATTAAATTACAGAAATTACTCTAGCTGATATAGTAGTGTACATATATAGCACTCTGACTCAAAAGTAAGTATATAATCGACTGTCGACATTGGATATCTATTTAAGGGCAAATTTGATTTGCTGTCTTTTGAGCAAGTTATTAAAGCACATCATAGTTGCCAGCGGCTTACTCAAGAATCGACCCTGATACTGTAGATATGGTCTGATCGTCGAAAAATT